CCTGGTGTGTGTACCACATGTGCACCACGATCCCCAGTCTCTGCTGCTGCTGGGACAGAGCTCTGGGCAGCCCATTCTTGTTTGGGTAGCCCTAGCTATTCTACCAAGGGATGGCCTGTCTTCACTGCTCTAGTCCTGGTTTAGGGACTACATAAAAACAGATTTGATACCCAGTCCTGCAGATACTGAAGGGACCTCTCCTAAGCCCTTCTCTGGTCTTCCCTGCTGTGCTTAAATGTAATACCTATGTTAGGTTTCACTGTGCTTTGTCTCTTCTGCATTCTTCCCCCTCTTTTCTCACCCTTTTTAAAGTCAATATTTTTACTATTTCAGTTCCCCAGCCTTCCTATGAAGGTTATAGCTAATCCACATCTCACCTGGATAATCTCTTTTCAGTGCCAGTCTAGATCAGAGATTGGTTGGCAAACTTTGAACTGTTAGTTCAAATCCAGTCTGATACATGATTTTATGTGACCTACGTGCTAAAAGGGACTTCAAAATATTTTACACATATTTTGGCATATTGTCCAATCATTCCAGCACCATTTGTTGAAATGACTAACTTTTCTCCACTGTACAGTAAGCCTGCTTTATTTGTGAACTTACTACAGATGGGCTTGGCCAAACACAGTTTAAAAAAATCAGAAGAAATTTCAAAACCCAACATTTTAAATTCCCGAGCACACATTATGCAGTTCAGTTGAGGTGGAGAAACTCTAAGTCAGTCCCACATTATCATCAGTTGTGTTTAAATTGTTGAATGATCTGCTGAGTATTTTCCTGCCCTTCACTGTGTAAAAATCTGCCTCCCAAAAAGCAAATGGTGCCCCAAAAGCAAGGTAAAAGTTAGCATGCTTAATTTAAGCAATGAAGTGAAAATTTTACAGTTGTTGAAAGCTGGCCTGTTTTTAACAGAAGGTGGGTAGCATGGTGGGAAAAATGAACCAAGCTTCAACAGCACAGCTGTGAACTCTGCCTCCTGAGCATCTGCGATTTTTCATCAATGGTGCCTCCTTGGAAGTATGTACCTGTGGATGCCAAAGGTCTACTTTATTGGCTTTGTTTCTTTGTCAAGAATGCATTGACTATATTTGTGCAGGCCTGTCTGGGCTCTCTATTCTGTTCCATTGATCTATTTGTCTGTTCTTTGGCTAATACCACACCGTTCATTATAATTCCATAATAGGTCTTGAAGTCGGGTAGTGTCAATCATCTGACTTTTCTCTTTCAACATTGTGTTGGCTACTCTGGGTCTTTTGCTTCTCCATATGCACTTTGGAATCAGTTTGTTAATATCCACATTTGTTCATATCTACATTTTTGAATGGTTGTAAAAAGTAAAAAGAAGAAAAGTGTTTCATGACACCTGAGAAATACATGGATTCTAAATGGTAGCCTCCATAAGTAAGTTAATAATGGTCACATATTACCTAGAGTTGCTTTCCCAATATAGGGCGGCTGAGTTGAATAGTTGTAACAAAGACCATTATGGCCTTCTATACCCAAAATATTGACTGTCTGGTTTTTGTAGAAAACATTTGCTAGCCTTATGCATGGGGCTTACACTTAGCTATTGAATCCAAGTGTGACCCATGGAGCTAGATGAGCCAAGCTGTCAATTTCAAGTCTTTCCATCACCAATTGCTAGGGGTGTCACCTTTAAAATGACACTTAACCTTTTTGGGCCTCATTTTCCTATCTGTATAGTGAGATGATAGCATTTATCTCATCAAATTGTCATGAGAATGAAAGGAATTGCTTTGTGTAAGTGCTCAGAGCAGTGCCTGGCTTGTAGTTTTATGTAAGTGGTAGCTATCATTTACATTTTTATCTTGACTCAGAAAGAATATTACCTAAATAGTCTAAAATCTCAGCCTTGCCAACTCATCTATCCCACTACTCCCAGAGTGATGGTCATCTTACAATGCACCTTCAAAGGCTGATCATGGCTCCCAGTTACTCAGGACTTAGCTTCCATCTGTCCATGTCTTCTGTGACTACCCCTTCCCTGCCCTTTTGTCACAGACCTTGTGTTCCAGACTTTTCCAGCATTCCATGCTGTCTACAGCTCTTTGTCTTCCCATCATGAGACACTATCTGCCCAGAAATCTGGCTTCTAGGAATTTCAAAAACGTCACTGAGACCTGGAGGCAGGTTATAGCCATCATTCCTTATGTAAATTCTGACATGGAAACTGGTATCAGATCTCACAGTGGGCAAGAAATAGAAATATACTGCTCCTTCTCATGAGACTCTAGATAAATTATTTTCAGGGCCAAAAAGAAAGCTTCAGAAGTCTGGAGTAGAGAAGAAAACAAACTCCCAATAGGGCTTGCCTTTAGCACAGTCTGATGCCGTTTAAGGGTTCTTGCTTGGCATCTCCTATAAATAGTGTACACTATGAACAAAGAACCGATTGGGGAGAAGGCAGAAGACGCAAGGGATCTGAACCTCCAAACAAATATTAGTATCATAGAAGGTATTATGTGGCTGTTGACATAAATACCAAGAGTATGTAGCACTAGGAACAGCGCTCAGGATAAAACACTTAAAGGAAGCATGCAGGACACTGAATGAAAAGTATGTGTGATAGTGGTTACGAGAATGGCAACAAATGAAATGACATTTGAACATGGGATTAGTGGCATTTGTTTAAAGTGTTGTTAATTTTACTATTTGCATAGTTAAACTAAATGTTTTATGGAAAAACAACCTGTACACTTAAATGGCTCTAATTTATTGTGGGGAAATTATACTTTTAAAAAGTAAACCTACATTTTTACTTTTAGTAAAATAGAAGTTTTAAGAGGCTGGCTAAGAGCAAGCTGGGGCAAGGATTGCATCTTTGTGGTCTTCCTGCCTGCCTTTTCTTTCCCTTTTTCCTCACATTCAGCATGCAGCATGACTCCTCGAACACAGCCCCTGTTCAGACATTTAGCACAGTAGTGGTTGCTAGAAATTCCATGATTAGCTCTTTAAGATCACATCACCTGTGACTGAGGATGTTGTGCTGTATATATATGTATATATACAAAAGAATATACAATATATATAATCTTCAGACTCTGCTGGAATGTTCTTCATCTTTCCTGCTTTGCACTGGATCCCTAAACAATGACATCAATTTGTTCAACGTTACCTTTCTGGAGGGATCTGCTCTTTGCTAAAGAACCAATAAGCAGTCTGTGCTAAAGGTGCTCTGTAAGACACAGCGCTGCTGCCCCCTCTCAATGGCAAAATTTTTGCACTTTAACCTGGGGATTCTGCCCTAGTACATTGCATTAATGGGAGCACAGCGCCCCAAACTTTGACAGCTGGAGAAATGGAATCTGGGTTTTCCTAACAAAAAGGACATTACTGAGCTGGGCACAGAGGGCTGGGAGGAAGAGCAGGAAAGCCACAAATTTGGATAAGAGTTAATTCCAGATAAAATACTTTACTATTTTTCCTTTTTATTTTTTGTAGAGACCACCCAAATCCATATCTCTCCTGAAAAGAGCACAGTGGAAGGGCAGCTATGGCCAGAGGTGAGGCTTTGCCTTGGTGGGAGGTGAAGAGGGAGTGGGTTTCCCTCTGGTGGGTAAACCCAAGTTCCCGTGCAGGTTGGTGGGTCCTTCCTTAAGGCCTTGAGGGAATGGGCCATATGAGTGGTTTTTCCTAGGTTGTGCCTGCAGAGCACAACCATATATCTTGGAATTTGGGGCTCATCGTGCCTGCCGACTGAGTGGGTGGTTCTCAGAAGTATCCAGAAAACATTATAAATGGGTGTGTTATCTCTGTGAACCTTGAAGCAGATGTGATGAGTTATCTGATGGCAACTGGGTGAGGTTTTCCCAGAATATCTACAAGATAAGAGATGAGAGTAAATGCTGAATCTCTTACTGTAATTGGTCATTCAAGAGAAATTAGCTTCTTGTGAGATGTAGTCAAGTACTTCATTTATTGATACATTTTCCCCTAGTGGAGTGTTCCCCCTTCTGCTTCCAATTTTGGGGAGAAAATATGCAATCTCCCTTCCCAAAGTCTTCCATGTTCTTCTCAGAAACAGAAGCAACTCTGGATTCTGAATAGCACCTGAGGAAGTCCAATGGTCTTGAGGACCTGAACACTGGTCACTGTGTCCCTCGTCCACTCCCAGTTGTCTCTCTAGGCTCAGGACACTCCAATTTGGAGGACATAAGGGTCTCCCAGTTTCAAATTTACCTAGTGTTTATTAGCAAATAAACATAAGCCTCATATACTTGCTTTTGTGGAAATAATCAAAAGAAAGGGAAAGTAAATAATACAAATAAAAGTAGCCTAGAATTGATTTAAAAAAAACTTTTAGTCTAGGTAGACTGAGTTTCTCAATTAGTATTTTTATTGTGGTAAAATATGCATAATATAAAAGTTAACATTTTAACTATGGTGAGTGCACAACTCAGTGGTATTAAGTACAGTCAGGCCATTGTGCGATCTTAACCACTATCCATCTCCAGAGTATTCATCGACCCAAGAACTAACTTTTATTCTCCTTCGTCACCTGCCCTCCCTCTCCACCCCACTGCTCTCAGACATCCTTACATGGAACCTGATAAAATCATTGTCAGTCATATGTTCTCTTTCACCAGGGTAACTGGAGATGGAGGTTGGGAGAACATGACTATAGACGTTATTGCTTCTGGATTTTGAGTCTACGTAGAACAAGTACATGGTCATTTCAAAACCATGTTTTCAGAACCTGCAATACTTCCATGCAAAGCAGTTGATATTTTGGATGTTTGGTTTCAGTTGCAGGTCCTGAAGAATTTTTCATTCCCGTGCAACCCAAGGAAGTTAGGATGGAATGCGCCTTCTACGTCAGGTATGGGCCTGCTGGCTCTGAGCAGGAAAGGCCTAGCATCTTATCTGTGATATGGTCAGAAATTCTCTTCTTCATCCTCAGTCCTTCACATCACTGTTTCTACCTCAGTCATTCTATGGAAGGGTAGCCCAACACACCATGTAGGGATAAAACCAATATGGCCCCGTGGCCCCAGTATGGCCTACCTGGACATGACAACTTGAGGGATTTTGACTCCTTGCAGGTGGACAGTGTTGTGGGAGTTATGGGTTGGGGGTGGTCATTCACATGACTTCCCATTCCTATACAGTAGCAACAGTGGCCTGTCTAGGCATTTTCCTTATGATAGGCTAGGCTTGCCTATAATTCTATGATGCTATGAATGCTCTCTTGAGCTGGCCTTCTTCCTTGCTTTATCTTAAGTGGCTGATTGTGCTCAATGGCTTTATATGTATTTACATTACACTGACTTAATAAGGGTTTCCAGTTAAGCTTGCTTTTCTTACTGTTTTGTTATATGAAGAATTTGGATATATTGCTTAGAAAATGGGATCTTCAGGAGATTTACATATGAATGCCCTATACCATAACCAGAGGATTTGGTCAGTGGTTTCTAGGGAGACTTAATTTTGAAAAATGTTGGTCACTCAAGTGAGTCAAGTAGACGTCCATGTGTATAATTTGCATCTGATTCTCTGTGTGCTCACAGACTTTGAGTGCTATTCTCTGGCACTCTGCAAGCCAAAGATAACTGTTGGATACCCATGTGGTTCTAGTTTCAGTCTGTTGCCCTCTTATTTATTAATGGTGGCTTAGAAATACAGGTTCATGAGGTAGAGGGAAGTATGAGAAAGGCATGGGGCCAGGCAAGAGGGGAAAATGGTGGCCATGCTTAGCTTCCCTGGGACACCTGCCTGGAAAGCCCTAGTCCAGGTAGCAGCGTGGCCTCAGCTTCTTTCCAGCATGGGTCCTGGGATTCTCAGTGACTGCATGGTCTTCAGCCTTTCTCTCCTACATCAACTGACTTGACCTCAGCAGCTCTTCAAGGACTGTGGGATGGGGGGTCTGCTCTGCATATCCCATGTGGCATCTTTAGCCTACATTGTGGGGAGTATAGATCTGACCTTGCCACATGGGTTCATGTCTTCACAGTTCACTCTCTGAGGCCTTCTGACATTAAACTTGTGGCAGCCATTGGCAACCCGGAAACTGTGAGTACTTAAAGCAGCTTGGGGAATGAGACAGTGTTTGGTACTGGTGAAACCACAAATTAGTTCCTGGTAACTAGTGAGAATGCTCCATTTGGGGAGAGAACATTGTATGAGATGAAGAAATCTCAAAATCCAGGAGGTTCTGAATTTTTAAAAACCTAAATAAATGGCTGCCTATACGTCAGGCTGGGAAAACTTTGAAATTTCTCATTAATAAGTTAAATCCATTGATGAATCAAGGATAGTCCAGAATTTTTAAAGCAATCTTTCAAGCTTTATAGTTATAAAATAAGTTTTTAAAACATTGATCTTAATTAAAATTTTAATTTATAATTATGGTAAATAGGCATACATAAAATCTACCATTCTAACTATTTTAAGTGTGCAGTTCAGTCATGAAAAGTATATTCTCATTGTTGTGCAACCAATCTCCAGAACTTCTTCATCTTGCAAAACTGAAACTCTCCACTCATCAAACAATAACTCACTTTCTCTTTCTCCTGGTCCTGGCAACCACTGTACCACTTTCAGTTTCTATGAGTTTGACTACTTTTAGTCAAACTCAATATCATTCAATATTTGTCTTCTCGTGACTGGCTTATTGTACTGAATATAACATCTACATGTGCCAGACTTACCTTGCTTTTTAAGGGTGACTAATATTCCACAGTAGGTGTGTGCCACACTCTGTTTACCCATCATCCATCAATAGACAGTTGGATCACTTCTGTATTTTGTGTTTATACACATGTGTGTATAAATATCTCGTCAAGACCCTGCTTTCAATTCTTCAGGAAATATATTCAGAAGTAGAATTGCTAGATTATAAATGATAATTCTATTTTTTTTGACCAACTACTGTATTTTTTCATGGTGTGTGCACCATTTTACACTCCTGCCAACAACTCACAGGGCTTCAGTTTCTCCACATCCTTAAATTTACTTTCTGTTTGCTGTGTGTGTGCAAGTGTGTGTTCTTAATAGTAACCATCCTAATGAATGCAAGGTGGCATCTCATTGTGGCTTTGATTTGCATTTCCCTAATTATTAGTGCGGTAAGGCATCTTTTCATATGCTTGTAGTTCAAGTTATATATCTTATATGGTCAGGTTGGGGAGAAAGGAAGCAATGAAAAGAGAGGAAAGAAAGGGATGTCAGAGAAAGGTGCATCTGGGGAGAAGGGTGGAAGAGCAGAGGAGAAGGTTGCATTCTCCCATCAGCCCTTGCCTCCCACATCTCACCTACTCCGGGTTTGGCAAAGCACAGCAGTCCCTCAGTCCTCCATGATCCCAGCTGAGCAGAGTGCTTCTCTTCCAGTTCCTGCTCTGCCCAGCCCCCTTCTCACACATGAGCCAGGATGGCCTCCCTCTTTTCCCCAGGCACTGCCTCCCAACTCCACTCCTTCATTTCTCTCCCACGTCTTTCCCTACCCATCTGTAGCCTCTGCTCTCTCAACTGCAGCCCCTTCCTCCAGGCTCTGACCCTCTATTCCAGCCAACCCAATACCCCTGAGACCCTAGCTCTGTTCCCTCTCCTCTTCTTCTTCAATAACTAATTTCTTTGGAACTTGCCTAGAACATTCAACCCTGCTGGCATTGACTCTACCATACTTACCTTTGCTTGAAGAGTGGGTGTACTTACTGTGCAGTCATGAATAGTTTGAACAGGGGAAGCTCATACAGCAGGGAGAAGGGTGAGGAGGTACTGCTGTACAGAGGTGGGCACTTAATGTTAGGAAAGAGCTTTGGGCCCAGTTGGCATCTGGCTGGCAGAGCTTCCCCATCTCTGTTCCATTCTTTTTATAACTGTGTGACTGTACATCGATGGAGAGAGGAGAGGCTCACCAATGGAATAACGGAAAGTGCAAATGGAAATCAATGAGAAAAGAGGCCTCCTATCCTGGATGGCAGGTTGACATTGCTGAGCCTGTGTATCTGTGCACATTGATGCTGACACTCCAGGGCCCCACAGGTGTGACCCACTCTCTGGAGGCCTCTCAGATTCTTCCCTTCTGGGCAGGGAACTCCCCACAGAGTTAGGTTTCTACAGTTAAACCTCTTAGGAGATTATAAATAAATGTTTCTGTTTCCAGGGTCTCTTGAAAGATGAGATCTGGCAGTCATGGGTCCCTTGGGCAGCTATCAGCTCAAGCTGGTGGACAGCACCCCCTTTGGTCGTGTGCAGAGTGTGCAACTTGCCATAACCCAGGAGATCAGCTTCACTATCTACTTGCATCTATGCTTACAGACCTTGACTTGCACTTCCCTGTGATTTTTGTTTAACTTGTCATCTCTCCCTGAACGATTGGCCTATCCAAGTCCCTATTATTTTTTTTTCATTTTTATTAGGATATACTCATCATACAGGGGCGATTGATTGTGACAATTTCCAATAGGCTTACATTATACATTGATTAGAACCGTCCCCACCATCTCCCCCTTCCAACCTCCTCCCTGCCCTACTTAAAGCACTTGCTAGAGGTTTCATCATTCTATTTCATATATGTAAATGAGGCACATTAACCATATTTCCTCACTTTCATCTCCTCCATTCACCACCCCTTCCATAAGTACCCCCCCCACACACATTGTATTTTCCAAGTCCCTATTTTGACAATCAAAGGATTCTGTCCCATGTAAAAGAATTTCAGGTTTAGCCTCCCTTCCCTCAGGGGCTCTAGAGTGACCTAGTTCCATGGCTTGGCCATAGTTGGAGTTGATGGTTAGGATAGCTGTGCTTTTTACAGTGCTGGGTGGAGACAACGAGGGTGTAACTGTCTACCTGTCACCACCACCTGGCATCCTGTCTTCCAGGATGAGAGAGAGAATGTGTGTCGGAAACTGTGAAAATTCTACTACCAACAATAGCTAATATTTGCCGAGCACTTTCTACATCCCAGGCACAATTCCAAGTATCCATAAGAGCTTGCAAGTATCCTTAACTCCTGGGGGCTGGTTACCACTGTCTCACCTCCAGTGCTAGGATTAGAACACCTCCAACAGGGAGTGCCCTGTGTAATCCAGTGTTTTATCAAGGGGAAAAATCAGAAACTTATTTTTATCACTCAGAAAATATTTACTCAACAATCATTCAGTGAGTTTTTACAGCACATCAGGCACAATTCTAGGTCCAAGGAATATAGCCATGTACAAAACAAATGACAATTCCTGCCTGGGTGGCGCTAGTGTTCGAGTTGGGGGAGACAGATAACAAAGTACTTTTTAGATTATTGAGGATCGCCAAAACAACAATTTTTTTACTCTCTGTAGAAAATGTGAGTTTATAAAGTGTTTAAGTCTAAGCTCTGAGAAAAATAGTCACCACTTCTACGGCTTAGAGGCCTAACAAACTGCTGGGGAAGCCAGACATGTTTCCCTACCCTCCTTGCAGTGAACAGGGTGGGCTCAGTCCTTCTCTGGATCCAAAGGTTCCTTCTTACTGGTGGGAGGGGTGCCTGGGGTCACATGATGAGCTGGTTTGTTCACATCAACTGTCTCTTCCAGCCTCTAGATTCTGAGACTGTCAACCAGGAGACGCCTGAAAGGTACCTACCTGTCCTGGAACACAGAGCAAGCAGAAGGGTGCCCCAGACTCTCTCTAATCTGATCTCCTTGCTTGATTGATGGGGAAAAGTAGGGCCAGAGAGTTTAGGGGCCTTGCTAAAGCTCTCCTAGCTGCAGAGACCAGGACCAGCACTTCTAGGGCCTGTGGCTCCTGGTAGCTCCACTGGGTGAGTCAGGGATGAGAAGTAGGAGGAGCCCCAAAAGATCGAATTCCTGTCCCCAGTCCCTCTTGCTCTGCTCTTGGGAAACTGTGCAGGGTTTGGACCAGGGTCATTTTACGCTGGGGGCAGCTTTGGACCAGACTAGAGAACTGGGTAGATAGGTCCAGAGGGAGTTCTTTGACCCATGTCGCCTTTGACGTAGTCACTCCAGTAAGAATAATCCCAGGGCCAGAGCAAGGCTGGGCCAAAGCATGTAATGAAGTAGCCCACAGCAGCCAAGAGAAAGAGTTCTGGTCAGTCATTGGTATCATCTTGCACTTGAATACTTCCCTTCTACTTGTAGGACCAAGAACAGGACGCAGCAGGTGTGCATGGGAGTGATAACAGGTGAGTCCTGGTTTTTTCATGACCAGATTTCAGATTGTCCCCATCTTTCAGACACAGTAGCACACAGAAGTGTGCAGACAACAGAAGATGTCCTTTATTGGCCACTTATCACCAGAGCCTGGGAAAGGAGAAGGAACTCTGAGAGGGGAGATAAGGGAGCCAGAGCATGTAAGGTCACGTGCCCTGAAAGGAGGGCGTGAGAAATGTTCCATTGATCTCTGGACAAAGAGAAGCCAAGAGGCATTGGGTTAAGATAAAGGGACATGGGAGAGGGACTAGGGGCTGATTAGGCAGGGGTGGTTTGGTCAGAGTCTTGTGGTTCCTTCTTCCCCAGGACCTCAGGGCTGGCTTCATGGCACTTCATCTGAGAAAATGTCCTTGTTCACCCCTTTTGCCCCAAAGTGGACTCAGGTCTAATTTATAGTCTATGTCATTTGGTAAAATCTCCCTCACTTGCAATAGAAAAGAAAATAAATCAACTGTAATCCCACTATTCAGAGATAATTATGGTTAATATTTTGGCCTTTTTACATGCAAATGTGTTTATGACTATACTATCTATAACCTAGGTTTCTTCATTTAATACCAGAGATCTCTAATTAAGTCATCCTAAAACCCAAGTGCCTTAACACCTGCTAAGTTAGCCTGGCAGAAAGGTAGAGTCTTCTATGCCTGGTGCCCATAAATCAGCAACAAGGGAAACCACCTTTCACTGTGTAATTGGAGGGAGAAGACACAGGCAGTGAGGCAAATGCTTGACTGAGCCGATCTCTGCTGAAGTAATGAACAAGTAAGGTGACTGGTGCCTTGTCAGTCCAACCCAGGAATTGACATTGAAGAGCCTATGAAATACTAGGCTCTTGGAAAGTAAGGTGACTGGTGCCTTGTCAGTCCAACCCAGGAATTGACATTGAAGAGCCTATGAAATACTAGGCTCTTGGAAAGGACCAGAATAAACAGGCTCTCCTTCTGAATTCACAACCCAGCAGGAAGGTTGAGGCCTCCTGTCCAGTCCTCCTATGACCTGACTGACAGGTGAGGGCATGTCAGTGGCTATAGTGAGAGGAGGGTCTCCTAGAAAAGAGTCTCCTCCAAAAGAGGAGACCAATCACTGACTTGGTGGCTGTCACAGCTGTACCTAGGCCTGGCTTTCTTTGTCTTTGCATAGTAGAAGAAAAGAAAGGAAACAGAATTACTGGGGATGTCTAGGAAGATGGGATGAGGCCACCAATGTGACTTCCACTTTACCTGATTTCTTACTTTGCTTCTATTCCCCCCTCACTCACCCTCTGCCCAGCCTGAGTGCCCTTCTTTCAGCACGCAGTGACCAGGAATCCCAGCTAGCCAGAGGGGCAGCAGAGGAGGCAAGGAGGGCTGATTTGGTACTAGAGCTATCAGAGGACTCCTCTGCAGCTTCCGTGACCCCAGCATACCTGAAGGAAGGAAAGGAGAGTGAAAGGGAAGAGAGGGGAAGGAGGACTGTGCCCCACGGCTGGCAGCAAAAGGAGCAATCAGTCTTCCCAGCAGAAAGTGCTCCGGGAGATATCCAGGTCTGAACAGTGCACAGTGGGTTGGCCCGGGCTCAGCCCACCCCACTGTCTTGCAGTACCAGAACTGTGGAGCTCTTCAGCACCTTAGAGACCTCCAAGTCTAGCCCACCAAGCCCATTTTACAGATGAGAAAGCTGAGTGTTGGGGAAGTAAATAGACTTTTCTAAGTATATGTGTTCAGTAAGTAGCAGATTCCTGGGAACCCAGGTGGTCCAGCCCTGCAGCCTTGCCCTTGGTTCTTTTTGTTGTAGCTTTGTTTTTGAGACAGGGTTTCACTATGAAGCCCAGACTGGCCTCATACTCTCAATCCTCCTACCTCAGCTTCCCAAGTGCTGGGATGAGAGGTGTGCATCACCATTCCTTGTGTCCTTTGTTCTGACCTCACTGCTACCAGGAAGCCCCTAGGTAGGCAGTGAGGATAGACCAGGAACAGAGCAGACAAAATGACCTGCAAATTTAGGTAAAAAGGTCTAAGGCTGAGCTTGACTGCAAAGAAGCTGTATGATACAAATACCTTTGATTTTGAAAGCAGCTTTCTTTCAAAGAATTAATTAACAGACATTTGTGTTTTGTCATTGGTCCCTACAGGCTGTCCTCACCCAAGGGACTGTGCTCCCCATATACACATTCCTACTGTCCTTGTCATATTGAATTGGGCTCACAGCTTTCCGTTTCCCCACATGCAGGCATGAGCTCCTTCTACAAGCTGGTCGGGGGTGAGAAAGGGTTAAGAATGGAGAAAATTGAATCCTACATGAGTTAGGTGGCAGCCTAAGGTCACAAAGCCAAGTGGTCAGTCTCCTGATTTCTAGCCTGGCTCTCCCACCCTGTCCCTGACTGCTGCCTGCACAGAGTCAGCTACTCTTATGGGGACCCTGCTCCTGCAAAGCCCTGAGGCACTTCTGGGTGGGGACAAAAAGAAAAGGAGATGGGGAAGAGGGTGGAGGCATTTCCTCCATGACACACTCCCCACTCTGCCCTCTCCTCTCTCGGGAGCAAGACACAACTTAACTGCTCCTGACAGCACTATTTTTAGCGGTCCTCTGGCTGTCAGCTCTGGGATGTGTTCTCTGTGTGTTCCCCAGAGCTTTCCCGCCCAGCTGTCACTCTCAGGAGGAGGGAGGGGGAGTGGAAGGCAACCCCGACAGCTAAAGGCTTTGGCACCCCAGAGCTCTGGTTCAAGGCCCAGCATCCTCTGTCAGCTGGGAGTCCTTGGGTGATTTGCTTGGTGTCTCTGTCTCATTTGAAATCGTGTTGCTGTGTGTTTGTTCCTGAGGAGTGAATGAGAGAATGCATAGAGGGCGCTTGGCCTGGGATCTTCAGCTTTGTTCACTTCTGGGGCCTGCTGCAGAGGTGGCCTCACAGCCCAAGGCAGGATGTGAAGGCTGTGCCTTGCCATCGGGGCAGTGACTCTGGCCTGTTCCCCTAGGTTAAAATAGCATTTAGAGGTGACCTCCAGATTTCTCTTTAGTCCTTTCAGACATTATCAGACAATTCAACCCTGCTGTCCTAAGCCCCATGTGTCTTCCTGGGAAGAATGTGGTACCCTATGATGATACTGGGTAAGTAAACCCCTTCTGGCCTCTCCAGGTTGTGTATTCCTGCTGGTCTTGGGCATGCAAGTGGGAGGCCTGGGAGGCTGGCAAAGGCCAAAGAGATTTAAAAATCGAGATCTTCATTAAGTCCTTCCCATGTTGCTTTCAGTCTACCTTGCTGGGTCACATTCTAATAATCAGATCAGTGTCTGTCCTTCAGAAGCCACTGTGGTCCAGGGTAGCCTTGGGCTCAGAGACTGGATCTGGATTGGTAAGTAAAATTTACTGACTTGTCTCTCTGTTTCCATCCCTGTGCACAGAGACTTAAGGAGTCAGGCTGAAGAATTGGTGAGAAGTTTGAAAGAGAACCCGGTAAGAGTCCATCTAACTCTGGTGTGTTTGGGCTGCCTATGTTTGCTGCAAGGCAATCAGATCAAACATAGTGAGTGACAATGGCTCCTATACCATCTTGTCATGAGCACAGTATCATGTGGCCTGGGATCTTCAAAATGACCTTTACACTGTGATCACTAGAGATAAAAACCAACTCCTCTGTTCTGAATCGTTTTCTGTGTGTGCTGTGTAAAGTCAGCAGATGGACAAATGACTTCTCACATAGAGAGGTGATAGGGTTCCCAAGGGAGGCTGGCTTGAGTGTAAATCCTTTTACCTTCTAGCTATAGTAATGTGATGCTGAGTAAGGCACTCAACTTCCCTTGGCCTCAGTTTCCCTATTTATGAAATGGGGATAATGAAAGAGACTGCTGCGTAGGGTTTATGGAAGATTAAATGAGGTATTAGATGTGCCTGCACAGAGTCAGTGCTCAGGAAAAGTCTTTAGTTGTCATGGTCATTGTAGAGGTGATTGCTGTTATTATTAACATATTAATTAATGTTAATTAATTTTAGTTCTTGGGCCGGAAGCTTCTGTAACATACATACTGGATACCTTGTTATCCTCTCCCCTAACAGTTCAGGTGCCTTTTGTTCAATAACTCATTTTCAGTTTGTAGTAAGCATCCTCTGATCTTACTCCTGTCCTAAGGGGCAAGTTTCAAATCAAACCTTGCACCAAACTGGCTCTAAACAAGCACTGAGCCTGGACCCCTGAAGCCAAGGGAAGCTACTGTCTCGGCCAGCTGTGACAAAGTTCAGGAATTAAAGTGGAGGCCACTCCAAGTTATACAGGGACAGTAGCCAATGCAGGATTTGTACCATGAAGTCTTGAGTTCTCTTTAGCAGAATTACAGAATTTCTGGAATAATAATAAGCTTATTGTTATTTTGGAAAATAGCTGGGAGGTCCTGAATCTAACTCTGTAATTTTTAAAAATGAAGATTGGGTGTGTGTCTCAAGTGGTAGAGCACATGCCAAAAGACGAGGTAACTGAACTTCTAGGAAGTCAAGTGACTAGTTCAAGTTCCCACAGCCAGTTAGAGCTAAAATCTAAAGAGTGTAATTCACAGCAGTGTTCCTCAAGCACAGTGTGATGCCTCAAAAAACAAAAGTTTGTTTTTTATTGCATAAGTCACATACAGTCAATATAGAAAAATCAGAAAACACAGGCAAACTAAAAGAATATTAAAACCTAATACCCAAAGATAATTACTGTTCTAACATGGTTTGTATTCCCTTCCATATTTTTTGTTAGTATGTATAACTGTATTTATTTTTATAAAAATGGGGATATTACGGGATATAGATACTTTTTATAACCTACCTTTCTCAATATCTTATTTCCCATGACAGTAATTATATTTTCTGGTATCATCTTAATAGCTACACAGTGTGTCATCTTCTGAGTATTCCCTCATTTATACAGCAATCCCCATTTTAGATATTTATGTTGTTTCTTAGTTTTCATTCTTATGAACAAGGTGCCATTGTAGCTAAATCTTTCATGTACCTTATTTCCTTAAAATACATTCTGGGAACTAATTGCTGGAACAAAGGTATGCACTTTTGAAAAGTGTGTTTTGGCAATTTGCCTTCTAGAACAGTTATTTCACTGTATGCTTCTTTTGACAAAAAACTCATGATGTGACCATAAGGGGTGAGTGTATGAAATTAAAAGACATGAAATGATAGTTTTTTACTTAAGGTCTTACGTGAATCTCTTTCATGTGATTACTGTTTAGCAACTTGACTTTCACCATGACTGGAAACTCATCAACGTGTTCTTCAGTAATGCAAGCCTGTGTTACCTGTGTCCTTCCGCTCAACAGGTGAAGTGCAGGCTGGGAGGTTAAAGATTGCAAATGCTGGGGAGGGGAAGAGTGAGTTCAACTTGCCCGATCCCTACCTGCTGGCCTGGAGCTGCGATGACCTATTTCAAAATTAGGGCAGATGGGTGTGTGAGTGTATGTGTGGATGGATGGATGGATAAATGAATGGATCTACTTTCCTTCCACCCTTCCTTCCTTCCTTTCTTCCTTCCTTCCTTCCTTTTCTCTTTTTCTCATTCTTTCTTCTCTTTCATTCTCTCTCCTTTCTCCTCTCTTTTTCTTTGTTTCCTTCTCTCTCTCTCTCTCTCTCTCTCTCTCTCTTTCAGCAGTACTAGGGTTTGAACACAGGGCTTTCCACTTGTTAGGCAGGTGCTGTACAACTTGAGTCACACCTCCCCTTCCAATTTTTTTATTGTGGTAAAAAAAATCACTTAACATAAAATTGACCATTTAGCTATTTTCAAGGTTACAGCTCAGTGGTATTCCATACATTTGTGATATTGTGCATTCATAACCATCACAGGAAACAGGGAATTTTTACTCATATCAAGAAAGGGAATTTTTTTGGTGGGAGTAGTACAGGGGTTTGAACTCAAGGCTTCATGCTTGTTAGGCAGGTGCTCTACCATTTGAACCACTCCACCAGTCCATAGTCATTTGCAGCTGAGGCGAGTCAGCTTCCTACGTAGCTAAAAACACTTTGCCTCTCTTAATCCTGACTATGTAGGTGCTGAATTTCAGAAATAAAAGGTGCATACTCTTTTATCACCCCCTGGTTAACGAGTTCTTGTTGTAATGGGAAGGCTGCTGTTTACCTAAAGGAAACTGTGGACTTTATCTTCCAGGCTCCTTGCTTCCCTAGGTACAGGCCACGGGCCATGTAACAGGTAGCGATTTTGATTTAAGTCCGTATTGAAGACCAACCAGGTTCCCATCAGTTGAAAGATAAAGGGTGGATGAGAAACCTAGACCATGTTGACATAATGGCACAGACCTTTCTTCAGGAGTCTGAAGCCTGGCTGCCACCAAGCTGTCTTTCCATGTATGACAGTCCCATGGCCTGCCCACTGTCCTCTCAGCCACCCTCCGGAACCTCTGTCAGACAATGGCACAGGCATGGGCAGTTTCTTTAGTTTTCCCTCTCCTGTGACGTACACTTTTGCCTCCCTCCAAATGGCACATGCTCTCACTGATCCCTGGCCCACCATCAAAACTCCCCTTCCTTTAGTGAGGTGGGACAATGTAGTGGAAAGCCCCTTCCCTGACCAGCTGTGGTCCACCAGCATTCTGCAGATCTCCTGTGTGTGCAGCATGTAGATAGTGAAGGTTTCTGATCTTGTCAAGGCCATGTAAAATTTGCATGCCCTGTGTGTTCTCTGCCCCTCCCCTTTTTTGAGTCATTACGCATGTTAACATTAATTCATGAATTTATGCATTCAGGCATTGAAGTAGTTACATAGGCATTTAAACATTGCTTAAATAAGTGGATATATATCAATTATCCATTTATCTATCCACCCATACATTGTCATAGTCATATATAAAATCACCCTCTTCTTATATGTAGACACATGTGATTGCATGTACGATGAGTTTATTTGTGCTAGCGTCATGTGCAAGGTGCACTCATGCATGCTTAATTTCTTCTGTACACTCAAACTTGCAATGAAACATTTCCACATGAATTCTTGCACTTAATGTATTTGTCCCTCTAAGAACCCTGGAATACATGACACATTCCTGGGTACATGTATTCCATGCATGCATTATTCATTTTTATTAATTTGCAGTTCCACAAGCAATATACAAATGCTTTTCTTTTTAAAAAGCTAAAAGATTATAGTTAAAGTTAATATATACTTTGACTCCTACCTTAATCCTTTCCCTCTTTTTCTTTCCAACCTCTCCCCTTTTTTAACTTTTAATTAAAAGTTAAAAAATTTAATTCTATACTTTATTATACTTTTAATTCTATACTTTATTAACATTCATTAGTTATATATACTAATGGGGTTCATATGACATTTCTGTGTAGGCATGTGGTGCACTGATCAAATCCAACCACCCTTTTCTTACCCTGTCTTCTATGCATCCCTCACACCCCTCCCAATTCCTAGTATCGCTACTACGTTCACTCAGGTCAATTTCTTTTTTTACTTTTCACAAATGAGAGACAGCAGACTTATCTTTATCTGTTTTGTTTATTTTACTTAACACAATGTCCTCCAGTTCCATACATTTTGCTGCAAGTGACAAGTTTTCATTCTTTATGACTGAATAATACTCCATTTTCTTTTCTTTTTTTATTATGAAATTTTTATTAGGATATATTCATTAAACAGGGTGATTCATAGTGACAATTCCAATTAGGCTTATGTTGTACTTTGGTAAGATCACCCCCATCATCTCTCCCTCTCAACCTCTTCCTCAACCCACTTAAAGCAATTGCAAGAGGTTTCTTTGTCCTATTTCATATAAATGTCTGTAGTCCTTCAATCATACAGCCTCCCTTAAGGTCCCTCATTCACCCTTCTCTTTCACTAGTACCTTCCCCCCCCCACTGTACCTATTTTACAGTCCCATCTTTCATTATTAATATTTAATATTTAGGTTGATGTTCAAAGGGGTTTTCTATGTATCCCCACTGTGGGTGTACTTTATTTTGGTCTGTTCAACTCCTTCCATTACTCTCCCTAACCACTTTACCTCCCACCCTCCCCCTTTTCTACCACTTTCAGTACACATCCTTATGTCTTCTACCTTCACAGATGTTGTGTTTTACGATATTACTGATGCTCTATAGTTCTCTTTTCTTTTCCCTCTTTCCCCAAATTCCATAGGGTAGTTCCACTATTACTAACATGTTCTAAAATGAGTTTGTATATGAATATGCTTATTTTTGTGTATGGAATGGATCAAGAAATTGTGGTAAATATACACAATGGAGTTTTACTCAGCCATAAGGCATATGGCTTGAAGGTAAATGGATACAATTGGAGGACATCATGTTAAGTGAAGTAAGCCAGGCTCAGAAAGACAAAGGCCACATGTTTTCTCTCATACATGGAAGACAGATCCAAAAGATAAGCATATACACAAAAATAATGCTCCATTTTGTATATGCCACATTTCCTTTATCCTTTTATCTGTTGATGTTCAATATCTTAGCTATTGTGATTAGTGCCACAATAAATTTGGATGAGTAAGTCTATCTTTGGCATACTAATTTTACCTTTTTGGATACACAGATGTGGGATAGTTGGATCACATGGTAGACCTAGTTTTAGTGTTTTGAGGAACTCCATAATGTTCTTTAACAATTGCTGTTCTAATTTACACTCACACCAATAGTGTATGAGTTCCCTTTTCTCCGTATCCTCACCAGCATTTGTTATTATTATTATTATTATTATTTGGGGGGACAGTACTGGGTTTGAACTCAGCCTTGTACTTGGTAGACAGGCTCTCTACCACTTGAACCATGCCCACAGCCCTTTCTTGCTTTAGTTATTTCTCACACAGGGAAGAAAGAAGGAAGGAAAGAAAGACAGCAAATGGAATAAGCTATAAAACATTTTAGTTCATTGCATGAGGTAAAGCAATGATAACTTCGTTTCTATATGGATATGTGTACTGGATTGTGATGTGAAGCACATCTCATACTGTGAGTCATGAGCAAAATAGTTTGAAGAGAAGTGTCTAGAATAGACTTTTAAACATAGAATTGCCAGCCCTTAGATATGTGCAATTCAAGGTTTTTTGTTTTTTTCATTTCTTTTCTTTTTTGAAACAGGGTCTCTGTGTAGCCCAGACTGACCTCAAACTCGAGATCCTCCTGTCTCAGCTTCCTGAGTGCTGGGATTATAGATGTGCTCTACAATACCTGGCTAGGCATTTAAGTTTTAATAGGGTCTGCCTAATTGCCCTGCAAAAAGCAGCTCAACTAATTTACATTCCTACCAATGTCCAAGAGCACCGATCTCTAGAACAGTCCCAACACTTGGTGACAAACTTAATTGCTTCTGTCAGTATGCGAAACTCCCTAAAGATCTAGTCATGTTGATACACAAGGAATGAGTTTATTCACACTTAGAAGCTCACACTTTGAATTGCTTGCAAACATATAAAGTAATCATGTCTCACTCTTAAGTTCTAAAGTATTATAAGCCACTTACTACATCTCCATAAATTTGGAATTTAGCTTGTTGTAGCAATGCTTGCCAGTATCCACTCAACACCCCTACTCCTGGCTTTGTGCAGTACTGGAGCTCAAACTCAGGGCCTAGTACATGCTAGGCAAACACTCTACCAATAAGCTACATCCCCAGCTCAAATTCTCTCTTTGCTGCATTTTTCTCCTCCTGTATTGACTTTCCTTTTGCACAAAGACCAGTAAAGCTTTGAAATCTCAACCGAGCCCCATGCCACTTTCCTTCTATTTCCCTCCATGGGCCTCCTGGCTTCTGGGTCTGCCTGTCTTGGCCTCCTTGGTTGGAGTCTACAGCCCCTCCCTTAACACTTCCGAAGTCTCAACACCCTTGCTGCCTCTGCCTCTGGCCCTGGCTCCACCTTCAAGCTATTTCCGTGATATAGCTCAGCAACCCCAGTGGAGAAGTTCTCTCTCTGCAGTTTTGTAATCCTCAAAACATGTTTCCAATGGTATGTCTCCGTCACTCATTGTCACAATGTGCTCTTCAGCGTCCCAGGGTCCACTGGCAGTAACCTTCAAGGGCAAAGGTTGCACAGGTGTGCTCCAGGCCTCAACTTGACCTCACAGTAAAATTCTGCCTTTACCTGTCTCATGCTGAGCATTGTCTGAAAGTTCATATGAGAAAAAGAGTTTTTACCTTTAAGGAAACATGTTAAACTATGGCCCAGCCCTAGGACTTCGAATTTTCTTCTCCTGAGAACTTTAGGCTGCTTTAGTGAGAAGTGAACAAGGGTTGTTTTCCCCATTTATTCTTTAGGGGTTTCTTAAGACCAAAGTCCTAAGAATGAAATCACCACTCTCCTCTATGCAGAAGCAATGTGTCATCTTCAGAGGTAAATGGTGACCTGGCTCATAGCAGTGACACTGGAGTGCTTGCTTGCTACTCCCTAAAGTCTAGTTGTATTCATGAGTAGAATAAAAAATCAGAAGAGAAACAAATGAAGGAAAAATGGCTGATGACATGACAAGAAAACACATTGCGGACGCCGTTGGAAACAGGTGTCAGGGTTTTGGAGGCCTCGTTGGCAACATGATTCAGGAAACTTAAACGTGTTCTGTCTTTTGACTCCATAATGATCTTCTTTGGAAGAAATCCCAAGGAAATAACTTATTAGAAAGGGTTAAAGTCTGGCCTCAGGCACAAGTTTGATGATAGACATTCTTTGGAAGCTGGGCTCAAAAGATATAAATGGAAGTATATAAGTTCATTGGGAGAAATAAGGTTTTTCCTGACTTTGAGCTCAAGGAAGAGCTTATATTAGGTATGATATTACAGAAGAGGGATAGTTTATAGAAACTTCCTCTAAGAAACAGACAGCTGGTGGTCCTAGTAACAACCATTCGGTGCCTGGAATGGCTGGGTGAGCTCAGATTCCTTCTACAGCCATAAACCTGCAAGATTCACACTCAGGGGACATCCAAGCTGGGCGTCCCCTTCCCCAAAGATGAATGTCCTGAATCTGGTACAGATGGGCAGCAAGGATGATTCTAAACTGAGTTCCCAGGGCTCTGCAGAGGAAGGGAAGTGTGCTGTTCAATACCACACTCAATGAGAGACTCAGATGGAAGAGAATCAGATAGAAGGCTTTATCCCTGGCCATCGCAACAGACCTGGCTGGACTGGTCTCCCAGAGCCCAGCCTCACTCTAAAGCAGGAGTGAATAGCGGCGAGACAAGGACACAGCATTGACTCCCACACTGTGTGCCCTGTGCTCTCGGCTGCCCTCTGCACATTACTTGCATGGTGATTGACAGCTGTCTGCAGAGACCTGTGTGTGTCCCCCAGGAAACAGAGCAGCTCCCTGGCCTTCCTTGTCTTCCTGTCGCTTCAGGGGACAGCCAGTCTGCAGGCAGCTTAGCAATATATCTTACAGAGCTCATTTATTTATTTTACATTGAAAAGGTCAAGCACACTTGCTTATTTTCATTACCTGCAAGGAAGGGAGGTTGTGGGCTGACTGGGTAGCAGATGTGTGTACATACTTGGGAGATGGGGTCCTTTCATCCTCTCTCTGGAACTTTTCTCTTACTCTGAACAAATGTGGCAAAGAGAGGGCTGACAAATAGTACACATCGAACATTCATGATATGAAATCCAAAGTCTAAGATGTTTGAGCATTTCAGATTTTGAATTACGGACGCTCAATTGTTAAAGTCTACGTAAATATTCCAAAATCTAAGAAGCTCTGACATCTGAAATACTTCTGGACCCAAGCATTTTTTTTCCTCTTTTTTTTTTTAATTTCCTTTATTCATATGTGCATGCGATTGGGTCATTACTCCGCCCTTCCCCCGCCCCCCACCCCCTCCCGCTTGTCCCCACCCCCTCGCTTCCAAGCAGATACTGTTCTGCCCTTATCTCTAATTGTGTTGAAGAGAGAGTATAAACGTTAATAAGGAGAACCAGGGGTTTTTGCTAGTTGAGGTAAGGATAGCTGTATAGGGAGATTCCTAGTTTTGCTTCCATGTACATGTGTGTTACTTTCTAAGTTGATTCTTCTCTAGCTAACCTTTTCTCTACTTCCTAGTCCCCTTCTCCTATTAGCCTCTGTTGCTTTAAAGTTTCTGCATTAGTTCCTTTGCATTGAAGACATAAAATGCTATCTTTTTTTTTTTGGGGGGGGGTTACCTACCTATCCTCATACCTCCCTTGTGTGCTCTCGCCTCATCATGTGATCAAAGTCCACTCCCCTTGTTGAATTTGCCCTTGATCTAAAGCCCGCCTATGAGGGAAAACAAACGATTTTTGGTCTTCTGTGGACCCAAGCGTTGAAGGCCATCTGGGACCTTGAATCCAGGGTTGGTTGTGTCTCGCCTTAGACCTGATTGTTTTCAGATGAAAGTAATTCCATTAGCCCTTGGGAGTATGTCTCCCAACCTCAGTGCGAGCATCGGAACTGCACCAGATGTTTCTGACCTTGCTCTAACCTTCGGTTTGCCCTTTCCATTGAACTTCCTTGGGGAAGGGATTGGTTTTTCTTCTGGTGGGTGATGGATTGGGGAAGTCAGAGAATGGACTGAAAACACAACAGGAAACGAGATGAGGGAGGGGTAGGAACTACATACTGGTTGTGGGGAACCAGGTGTCCCTCTGATGGAGCCGGCATCCTGGGCCTCATGTTCCACCCTTACTCAGCCCAGTTCTCCTCTTACAGAAAAAGCACTCGAGCAGCATGGACAAGCTGGCCGAGACACTGGACTACCTGCACCAGGAGGTGAGGCTCCGGCTCCCCAGCCCCATGCAATCTTCCTGTGGAGCCTCCCGCATCCCTTCTGACGGCTGATAGGGCAGGTTCTTGTTCACTCTCAAGTGGCCTCTGCCAGGGTGGGCAAAATGGCCTTCTGTGAGGGAGAGAGCAAGACCCTCAGGACAGGGAAAGCTCTGAGGACCCCATCTTCTGCCCTCTGAAATGACAAAGCTCTATCCTGATAGAGTACTCTACTCTCTGAGAGAGGCTCGGTTCCTCCACGGGGACAGATGGTGCTGCTCTTTCTAGAGGCCACTCTCTCTGTCCAAGTCTGGGGTAGTAACAGCCAGAGGGCTTAAGACCCTTCATTCTCTTTCTAGAATGACCTAGGTAAAATCACAGTGTTTTTTGTTGTTGTTGTTTTTGTAGTACACAGCTTGAACTTGGGGCCTTACACTTACCAGGCAGACACTCTACCACTTGAGCCTTCTTTTTGCTTTGGCTTTTTTTTTTTTTTTTTAATATGGTCTAGCATTGTTGCTTGGGATGGCTAAGAGCACAATTCTCTTATTTATACCTCCTGTGAAACTGAAATGACAGGCATGTGCTATTGTGCCCTGCTATTGGATAGATGGAGTCTTGCTAACTTTTTGCCCAACCTGGAGCCACGTGATCCTCCAGATCTCTGTCCTTCTAAGTAGCTGGGATTACAGGTGTGAACCACCATGCCTAGTAAAACCTCAGGTTCTGACAGCCCAAGGCTATCACTGTGGCTCTTACTTTTCCCTGTGCTCCCTGGATCCCATCACTCTCATTGATACTCTAATTGGTGGTGCCCTGCCCACCACAAGGAAGGCAAGAGTCACATTTCCATGATGCACAACAGCAGGGGTGGCAGCTTTGAGCCAATCTCAACCAAACACCTCCAAAGGAGTTTACCTGTTTGACCAAGGGGTGGTTCCTGTGCTCCACCAGACCCCAAACCAGGCCCACACTAGGATTTCAAAGTGTCCTTGAGGAGTCATGGTGACTTAACAATGCCCACACCTTCCTATCCCTTGTGCACATCTAGGTCCCCAAAGCATTTGTGAATCTGGTGGATCTCTCCGAGGTTGCAGCCATGTCTCACTGGCATCAAGGATCTGGGCTCAGGTAAAATGGGAAATAGAATAGGACCAGCACCTGCTGTGTGACTGCCATGGGCCAGGCATTGCACACGGATACTCCATGTGCATTAATCCCACAAAGAAGCCTGAAGCATGGAGGTGGAAGAGGCCCGTAGCATGTGTGAGTTCACACACTAGTGAGTGGCAGAATCATGATGACCAGGGCCCACTACCAAGTATTGTTTTGAGGACTGAGTTACAGGATGAAGTATTCAGTCTGGTTGATGCAATGACAGAGGCCCTTCCCCTGCCAGAATGATTTGAGAGTTTAAAAAACAGGTTTGAAAATATCTCTAAGCCAAGAAATGTTTCTTCTGGGAACTCATTTTTTTTTTTAAAGTAGATTACAGGTATTTTAACTTCTCAGAACTTGATTCCCATATGGTTCTAAAATTTTTCATAGAATTTAAACTTTTTGGGTCTATATCCTAAGAAGCCTGGATTTGAACTTGGAAAAGAGTTCATGTAGGAAAAGTCAGGGCAAGGACAGCTGAGACAGGAGAGAGGGATGGAACCTTGGGAAGGGAGGTTTTGAAGAGAAGGAAGGTGAAAGGAATAGTATGTAGAGGGAAGGATGGGAGGTGGGTGTCTGAGTAAGTGAGGGTAGGAGGCATCCCAGGAGGTTGAGGGAGAGAAAGACATCTCCACAGCCCATCTCTGCCCTCAGAGACAAGTGCTCTTAGGGGTGCCTCTTCACTCTATCCTCCATCCTCCCATTTGCCTTGGCCTTTTCTCCTGCACTCTCAGGCTCCCTCCCAACTCCCTAATTGACTCCCAGGCCCCACCAGTCCCTCTTCCTGCTGGAGGCAGCCTGGAAGCTCCCCACCCCCACCTCTAGCTCTCTCATTGCTGGCTCATTTTGACCTGCAGTAGCTCCGCACCAGAGTCCTGCAGCTGCTCAGGGGAGACCTCAAAGCTGGCCAAGGTCATCACAAGGTGGTCCTATCAGGTGAGGCGTCTCTGGGAGCCTGGGATGCTGGCTCATTGTGGGATTGAGGGGGAGATGTTATGGAGAATGGGGGAGGCATTGCGGAGAGTAGAGATAGTGGGGATAGTGTTAAGTTTTCTCAAATAAGACTTATCCATCTGAATTCAGTACTGAGTCAGGAACCAAAAGGCTACTCTTGGTTAACTTGCCCTTGATGAGTCCATATTTCTGTGTGTAATATGGGGCCATGCTGATACTCTAGGCAACAGATAGTGAAGAGTTTGTGCATTCATCCTGAAATGCTCTTTGTCATCATTACTCTTGTAGTGCCATATCTGTGGTTGGTGAGCTGGTTTTACCTAGGAGTTGCCTGTACCCGATTGCAGCCCAAAGCCAAGCCAGGGATCCTGAAGTTGTGCATTCTAGTGGACACAAGAAACCCCAGCAGGGTGTGGATGGTCCAATGAAAGCCATTGTCCTCATTGGCTAATGGCTCAAAGCCAAGTGATACAGGTTAACATGACAATTTGTGTTTAAGAAGGAAGTTGTGAGTGAAGTTGTGTGACACTTCTTTCACTCTGGAAATGACAGCACTTTTTGAGTGGTTCATGGCATATCCCTCTGCAGACTCAGCCCCTGAAGACAGTGTGGGGCTCCAGTGGCCTGCTGGGCTGCGGTGTATTGCTCGAGCTTCCAGAAAATTCTCTCCAGATCTGTCTCTGGCATTCCTGGATGCTAGGGCTTCAGAGCCAAGTGAGAACTCAACCTCAGAGCTCTAAAGTGTGAGGCAAGGGAGAGCTTTGAACAGCAGGTGATTGTGCACAGAGCATGGTGGTGATTCTGAGCCAGGGCCTAGGGCAGCTCCTGCCGGCTTGAGCCCTGGAAACACACTCTCCACTCCCTTCCTCAGGTAGCCTGGGAAAACCTCCTGGCCTCCAGCAGGTTCAGTGACCAGGACTCCTTTGCAGTGGTTTTCCAGCCTTTCTTCTTTGACATGTTGCCACCGTGGGTGAGTTGAGCTGTGTGAGGGATCAAGGATGGGGATGGTGGGGGGCCTGAGCCATGCATCTACTCTTACCTCCCTCTTCCACCTCCTCCTCCCACCCTTCCCCCCCGCCCCACAGAAGCTCCAGCCCAGTCCAGCTTTACTGACACATGCAATTCTGCAATCTTCTCTTTTACCTATGCAGTCTCCCGTGGGGTTGAGTAGCTCCACGAGGCAGGTCCTCAGAGGTAGGCCAGCCTCAAGGTGAAGAGCAGGGACTCAAGCCAGATGGCTTCAACTCATGGCTCTGGAAAGGCCAGCTGTGTGACCTTGGACAAGTAGTTTGACCTCTGTGCCATGGTTCCACATCTGTAAAACCAGGACCATTATTAACATCCCCTCAGTCTAGGGTAGTTGTCGGGATCCCAGACGTAAGAAGAACTCAGTATTTCAGTGCTTGGGAAGTACTTGGTACCCCTTAATTGCTATGATTTTTCAGGATGGCACTTCCAAGGGCATCAACACTTGCTTTGCCTCTCCACACTCTTATACATCCATCTGTGAAGAGACGGAGTTTGTAGTTCCCTTACCCACCCCACCCCCTAGTCACCAGACAAAGATCCCAATGCACTGGGGGCAGCACCACATCTGCTGGGGCTCTAAGCCTGCAGGACTGTGCGTGGAATAGTTGTTCCTTCCAGGCTCCTGCCACTTCCAGGACTTAAGCAGTATTTAAAGTCACGATTTAGAAGGACAAGGAGGAGGGTTAACGCCCATCCCCTCCTTCATTAGCCTATGCAGACCACACCTGAATCGCTCCCCTGCCACTTACCCTGGCTCTTGAATTTAGTTTTGGAGACCCCATGACAACATAGAGCAGCCAGATATTTGCCCTGATTCTGTCAGCCCTGAACCTCTGAGCCCTGTACCCAGTCCACACTCCTATAAACTTCACCAGTATTGATGCGGGAGGGCCTGAGGGACATTGCTGGGCAGAGAGGACTGTGTGGGGGTCCTCGCATCCTTGGGGTACACAGGGTTCTTTCTTATCTCATTCTTTCTAGAAGGAGCCCCTGGCCCAGGATCCCACCATACTAGCCCTGAACCTCTGGAACAGCATGGTGAGTGTCAGAGAAGGAGGCTTACATCAGTCTGAGGGGTGGCCCAAAGGGAGAGGATGGCTGCTCCATTGTGCCCCGCTGCCCAGTGCACTGAGGAGGGGCTTGACACTGGAGAGTTTCCCACAAGGACACCAACATAGCTCAACATCCAGGAATTTAACCTCCTGGTCCCAGATCTGAGTGGCTGTCTGCCAATGACAGGCCCAGCCCCACCCTCCCCAAAGCAGGGTCATAGCCCTAGAGTCTGTGAGGAAGACCTGCTTTGAGTGGGATTCCAGGGCATGGGCTTTCTTCCCCTCCCTCTCCAGCTTTCCTTACTATTAGGCAGCACTCTATATGCTTAAAGCCCCAGCGGAAAGCCTGGAGTCAGCATGGATGTCAGTGATGACCTGGGTTCATATCCAAGTCCCCTCACAGCCATGTGATCTCAGGGTCACCACTCCCTTCTGTAACACCCAGACAATAACCCCTCCTCACATCCATCCCATACATGTCTCACTCAACATGTACAGGCTCTCTGTTTTGTGACAATGACAGGCATCCCCAGATCCTAAAAGTGCCCAGGGCCTTGGGAATTAGTCAGTGGATGCAATGCTACCCCATGGCTTAGAGCCCTTTCAGGACACTGGAGGCCTCTCTTTACCATTTTGGTTTTTTTCCCATCCAAGTTGCCCTACCTTTGGAATTCCAGCAAATTGTTTTTCTTCTTCCTTGTAGTAGAAACATTTTTCTCCATTTCCTCCACTTGAGTGCTATACTGAGTACATGAGTAGCTGTACTTGGGTCCATGGTAGTCAGTGGAGGACAGAGCAATAGAGGGAGGGGACAGCCCTGGCAGCCCCACCAGTGGACATGCACTGTGCTTTGAAGAAGACATTTGATTTCTTTGACAGGGACCCTTGTCGGTGGGCCTGCCCCTTGGGTGAGCTAATCCCCCAGAAAAAATGCTTTGTTGCTGATCTCCCCATGATGGGTAGAGAAGGACCCTGACTCCTCTATTGGGGGCTGCCCTCCTATCCACTATCTTAGGGAGAGATGGCTAATCATTCCAGCTCAGTCAAACCTCAGTGTTCTTCCCATATCACCTTCCCCCAACCAACAAGTGGGCACCTTCACCGTGTGTGCCCTGTCCTGTGCTGGGAGCCAAGGAGGATGCAAGAGACACCAAGTACGGCCTCTGTCCTCTTGGAGCTTAAGGTGTAGTTGGGAAGGTCAGATAAGCAGAGGAACAAGAGAAACAGAGACTCTGTAGTAGGGATATGTTGGGCTCTGAGCCCAAATGTGAGATGGGCAACGAAGTCAGGAGAGGCCATGAAGATAGGATTTAGGCTTTGAGGGTGTATGGAAGAAGGTTGGGAACATTCCTGGCAAGAGGACCTTTGTGAGCAAAGGGCATGGCAAGAAGAATGAGCCAAATGCAGTAGCAAGGGGAAGGTTCAATCCAAGAGGAAATATGGAGATAATAAGGCCCTGAGGGGCAAGTAGAGTGGCAGCTAGAGAGAGACTGGGCATGGTGGGGGGTTGGGGAGTAAGGGAGGGGGACTGATTTCCTTTCTCTTTCTCCTTCATCTTGCTCTTGACTATCTCTGTGTTGGTGGCAGCAGTGAGAAGAACCACCTTTAGAGGCTGCCGAATGATGTCCCCATGCATTGTCGCTGGCCCGGTTTCTTTTAGCCTGCTCGAGGGTCAGGAGAATCAGGCACCAGAAGGGAACAGGTCAAAGGGGTACTGCAAGTGTCACAAGGGCTCCAAGAAAGAGGTAGCATCTGTCCTAGGTGGGCAGTTATTCCCACTGTGTCCAGATCTGTCTAACCAACCACACAAGTCTGCAGTTCCCCCATAAGTCCCTTGAGACTCCTGAAGCTCCAGGAGGGAGGGAAGAAGGAGCTCCCAAAGTGTGATATTCCCCAGTTTCCTTACCAGCAAGATGCCAGGCCATCCATGGCCCCGCGAGAACTCATCCAGAGCTCCTACAGGCCCTTATCCACCCGTGAGCCATCAGGAATGTGACAGGTTAAGGCCAAGGGCACTGGGCAAGGAGTTAGAAAACTGGGTCCTGGTTCCAATCCTGCTTTTGGTTGTTCCTGAAGCAGTTCCCATTTTCTCTGCCTGCAAAAGGGTATAATGATCCTCAGCCTTGTGAAAATACAGGAGCCTTTGAGTTCCTTCATACCCCTTGGTTCACTAATTATAGACTCCTGGGACATGGGGCAGGCAGGAGCTTTTGTTCCACTGTATTGGGCTTACCCAAGATCACCTAGGTAAAAGCCAGGCATGCCTGATCTATGCCACATTCTCAGACCCAGAGTCTGGGTGAGGATTCCCCTCCCAGGTGGGGGCAAAGAGGGGGCAGTGGAATCGCTGGGCTCCCACTTCTATTCTGACCACATCTAGGACATACCTGTAGAGTCCTGTGCAGCTGTGCAGGGGACATGTCTGCCCCAGCCACAGGACAGATGTGAGCTCTGAGCTCCACACACTGACATGCAGTGGTTATGAGTGGCCCTGTCTGGAACTGTCCTGGCTACATCACCCCTAACCCCCAGTGAAGCTCATGCCACAGTACAGGGCTGAGAACTCAATTCCCTGGGTCTTTTCTATTGCTGCCTCAGTAGACTCTGGGAATTCTTGCATAGCAGGAGTGTTGAAGGGACCTGGAGTTCCCAGGCCTTTTCAGTAATCATGGCATCCACCTTCAGTTGAGCCCTGCATAGGAGAGGGAACTTGGGCCCTACTCACACTTGAAAAAAACAGCTCCTTACAGAGGATTTTTTTTGAGATCAGCCCCCATCCCTCCCACCCTCTAGTGAATGGTAGCAGAGAAGCAGAGTAGAAGCGACAAAGCAACTAAAGGACCAGAGAGTGGAGTAAAAGCACAGACCAGCACTGGTTGTCTCTGGAGTGCAGCGTGTACTGCAGTTGTGTGCAATACAGAATGGCAGGAGGAAGAGGGGTTATTTGAAATAATTCAGGTGTTCTCCATCCTCTCTGAGGATATGGGGCAGGTATAAAGGAAGTTAGTGGGAGCAAGAAAAATGCATGTAACTAATACATTTAGGACTTTTCTTGTGGTTCTGGGGTTTGAACTCAGGGCCTCACACAAGGCAGGTGCTCAACTGTTTGAGGCATGCCTCCAGCCCTTGACAGAGCAATATCTGGCCATCAACCCAGGCCCACAGAATACTCCCTTTGCAAACAACCTTGAATGTCCTAGCTGGGACCTCCTGTTTCTGGGAGTGGTCACCATCAAAATAAAACTGAAAGAAGCATGGGGAGCCCACATCCTCCCTCAGCCCCGGAGTACAGGGCTGCACTCCTTCTCCAAATGTGATCATTAAAACTCCTTATCTGACTCTTTTGGTTAGAGCCAGTCCCAAATAGGGTAAAGTTCCTTCTGGGCTCTGTGTTTCCTGGGGCCCAGATACTAGATAAGATATTGCCAAAGAATCTGAAGTCTTCATAATAGATACAGAATCTGTGCCTGAGCCACACAGGGCGCCCTAGCTGGTAGCTTCCTGATTCCCTATCAGCATCTTTACAAGGGGAGATGAGGGACAAAGTTGCCATTGGAGCCCAGTACTGTGGGTATCAGAGCTGACAGCAAAATATGAGGCTCCCATGCAGCAGAAAATGGAACATGTAAAAGGAAATCTGATTCTTCAAAGCCACTGCAGTTTTCCTTTTAAGCATGTATATATGCATAGTGAACATTTCCGAATAACAAAGAGAACTTTTAAAAAAATCCCGCCATCTAGTTTTTCAGCTGCCTTCATTCCTCTTTGTCCAATGCTTTTGTCTAAGTCTATAACCTACTGGTTTCCTGCTGTACCATCGACCATCTGTCTATGTTGTGAGGTGGTGGTGTTAGGTTATTATTTAAATAGCTGGTTGCTTCAGAGTTGGTATCAATGTCACTCACTCCTGAAATGCTAGGAATCCTTGCTGTAAGTGTGGGGGTGGAGTTGTGTTCCATATTGCTACAGCTCTGTGACCCAGTTAAAGACTAGGACTTTGATAAGGCCTATAACTGGCTTATTGTGCAACTGGGTACACTGGGAGTCCAGAGGTTTCGTTCCCAATTGGTTTGTATACATGTATGTAGGTCATGGCCCCAGGAAGTGGAAGGCCAAGGAAACGACACATGCTTTACACATAAGCCATGGATTTGTCTTCCTTCCTGCACCTACTGGTCTCTCCAAGGGAAAAGTAATGAATGAGCCAGCCACAGGCTGGGCAGCAAGGAGGAAGAGGCCAAGCAGGATAACTGGCTCCAAGAAGCTGCATGACATCTGGCTGGATTCAGGACACCGGCCTTGTGGTCTGTCCTGGCTGGCTGACTCCCCACCCTGCCCCTGTGTTCAATTTCACCTCTGCACTGTTGGGAAGGATGGACTAGGAAGTCTCTTTCACGTCAAAAACCCACTGATTATTCTCACACAGTGGTTCTCAAACTTGAGTGTGGGCAGAGCCACCAGGTGGGCTTGCTAAAACCCAGGGCTGCACCACAGCCTGAATTCCTGACTCAGTAGGTCTGGAACACAGCTAGAAATGTGCATTTCTCATGAGTTCCCCAGTGGTGTTGATGCTGCTGATCCAGGGGTCAAATTCTGAGAATCACCTGTTGAATGCGTCTTTCTTAGTGGTGTCTTGGAGGGCTGCTATGTGCCTGAAGTTTCCCTGTTCTAGGGGGTCACCTTCTTTTCTAGATGGAGCCAGCAGGACGCAAAGATGAGCCTTTCAGTGCTACAGAGAGGAGGCCGATGAAATGTCCTTCTGAGGTAGGAGGACTGGACTTCAAGGGGAGACATGGGTAGCCACTTGGCTTTGCTGAGAAGTGGGCCTTACTGACAGGCACATTAGCATCCTGACAGTTGGTCTTGGGTCTGTTGTGGGCTTGGGCACAGCTTTGCACATGTGGATGCCCTCAGGTTTATCCCTGTGGGCCATGAGTGAAGTTCTAGCAGAAATGAGGTCCTCCACGCCTGTAAAAGTCACAGGAGCAAAGCCACAGCTCACCTGGCCTCAAATGATGGTCCTACCCACTTACTTGGGCCCCTGGCCCTGTGGCCCAGATGTCGTTTCCAGCCTTTCCTCTACCTCAGGGGAGAAGGAGGCAGGAATGGTGAGCATCTTAGTGGTCTCAAAGGTGAGTCATTTTGGTTGTGTCTTCAGTATGTGCCTAAGGTATAGTAGCTACATAAGTAATGTCAAATAAATGGAAGAGATTCCTTTTATCATTCAATGCTTGTCAAATTTTTGGCTTTTTTGATGAATTGGTAAGTTTTTCTTATTAGACAATAAGAAGTATATAATTCACCTTGTTTTGCTCTTTACTTTGGCTACCAGAGCTTAAAATTAAGGGAGCATGAACCTTCAGGGTAGAGAGGGCCAGAGATGTTGACTTGCAAATGGGACATTTCAAAGCATTAGTGAAGTCCTTCAGAGAGTGAGTAGATAGCACAGAGAAGAAAGGCCAGAGATGCTTTGGTCATCACTGAAAGAATGAAACGAATGTTCCAAATTGGCCAAAGGTATTGTTGGATGACAATCCCTATTTATTAAGGGATAGTGATTTCTGGATCATGGTTACAACATGTTACGTTCCTCTGCAGGAGAGTCCCTATCTGTTCACCTACAAGAATAGCAATTACCAGACCAGATTGCTACAACCTCAACGGACCGGGGTAAGGAAAGGTCTTCTATAATTAAAAACATGCAGATGAACCCTTACTAAGTCTTTGGAATCTTCCATCTGGTTCTTTATGTCCTATAACTCCATTTGCCCCTGGGTGCACTGAGGGGTACAGAACCCTGAAGATGGAACAGATGTCTAAAATTCAGTCAGGGCAGGGTGTGGGAAGGCAAAGGGTCAAGTGTGTGACTGGTCTTCTGGTGTCTGGAAGCAGATCTCCCTACAGTATCATCTTAGAACTGCCTCAGCAACCAGCTCCTGCAGTGTCACGGGGTGTCAGGGTGGTTCAGCACTACACTTGCATTACTATGTACCTACTACATATTAGGCACATATTTAAAACACAAAGAACCAGTTGTGATGTGAGACAAAAATGCCTCAGACCCTTCCCAAATCTCTGACAAGTTTTTCCAAACTTGTCTGAGCTCTAAGTTTGAAGAAAGTGAAGAAGGGGCAGAGAAATGTGGCAAAGTCTGGAGCTAGACAGAATGGGGACCAAAAGGTCTTAGAAGTCAGTCCACACCCACAGTGGTCACCTCATACTTACTCCTAACTTGCTTATGGTTTATTTCAGTCTTTGCTTTCTGATACTCCTGCTGAGAGTAGATAGGGCACCTTGACTCTGAGGAACACAGAAACACTTAAAGCTTGATATCTTTGTTCTCAGGGAATTAGGGACTGAGGTGGCTTGAGTTGAATTTGGTCCTAATCTTGCCTCCCTATTTTATAAAAGAGGGAGACTTGCTCCAATGGGTAGGGGCTGAGTTGGTAGCCTAGGCCTCCATCCCAAGAGACCCGTGAGAAAGAGTCTTGATTTATCAACTTGTCCCACCCAGTCTCACTGATAGCATAGCAATGAGAATGCATTTAGGGGGCAGTACGGCATAGTGAGGTAAGACAATTAGCTTTGGGTTCAAATCTAGATTCTTACTGGCTCTGTGTTAGTGAGCAAGGTACTTTGCCTCCACTGGTTTTTAAATCTGGGAAGTGACAGTAACAGTCTCACCACAGAGTTAGGAGATCGTAATGTTAGTAAATATGAAGCACTTATAATAGTATCTCACAAACCATGAGTTCTATATCAGTGTTGCTATTGATATCATCTGACAAAAGTCAGTAATACGTTCCTTCTTTAAATACATGATCCGTGTCTCTAGAATGTAAGCTCGTAAGGGATAGGACTCAGGACGGGGCATCCAGATAGCTATTTTTTGTTTGCTTGTTTGTTTGAGTCAAGGTCTTGCTGTGTAGCCCAGGCTGACCTAGAACTTGCTATGTATCCCAGACTAGCCTCAAACTCATGATCCTGAATCAGCCTTCTGAGCACTGGGATTATAGGTATGTGCCATCATGACTAGCCCCAATGGCTATTTGTTGAAAGCATAAGTGAATAGATGAATTCTAGGAATGGGAGATAAAAACATAAATAAAATATATTACCTGTCCCAAGGAACCAGTCTTGTAGAAAAACAGATAAGTCAACCAGTAATTATAGTATAAGGTAATAAAATTTTCATGGGGTAGTCTGGGAGCACAGAGGAAGGGAAACTCAAAGTTGAAGAAGGCTTTCCTAAGGGTGCTTGTAGCCTCTGCCTTGAAGGATGAGTAAGGCTGAACTAGATGGATGGAAGGATGAGAAAGCAGAAGGGAGGAAAAGGACAAGAGAGAGTATGGACAACTGCTTGGGGAAAGGCATGGAGTAATGGAGGGAGTACAGAGACTTTGGTCAAGACCTAGTTGTTTGGCACATCAAGAGTGCTCTTAGGCCATGAGAAGGAGAATGGACTTCAGGCTTAAGTTAACACAGGGTAGTTAATTATTTGTTCAGTCAACAAATAGTGTTGATCAGCTACTGTGCCAGGCACCATCCAGGCCTGGGGACACAATAATAAACAAGATAGACTGAAATCCCTGACTTCACCGAGAATTTGGAGAAGGGAGTGCCATACTTACATCCTGTTGAGAGAGACCACTCTGAGGGAACTCAGAAGGCTGGAGAGGAGGCCCACAGTACTGAAGGCCATGATGCAGGAGAGGGCTGCAATATTCCAGGCCAGAAATAGAAAAGGCCTCAACCCAGGCTAAGGATGAGGTGCCAGAGAGGAGGGGTCAGATTTGTGAACAATTTGTTGTGGACAATGGATATAAAGGAGATGGAAAATCTGAAAAGACACCAAAGCTTCCATCTTAAGTGATAGTTTCCAAAATGGAGGCCCACTTTCCTCCAGTTTCCAATTCAGTAAGATCCAGTCCTTTTTATTTCTTTTTCTCCTTCCAGGCAAGAGAAGGAGCAGAAGTCAATTGTATTGACAAGGACCCTTCTGACGAGATTCCCACCTCAGGTATACAGCTTGCATTCAGTGATTTTTAAACTCACTTGAGCCCTGGGATCATCCAAGTTAGAGCAACCTTAAGATGGCAAGGGATATCCACACAATCTGAAATGTTCCTGGCCTTGGGATGGGGGAGGAAGAATGTTCTGTTTGTGTATTGTAAGGTCATGCTTGTGTTTCATTATTCTTTAACTAAAATACTGATAACGTCATTATCAGAAAGCATTTATTGAGCATTGATCCCGTGCTAGGCCATATTCTACAAAACCCAATGGTAGTTGAGTATATTGGTGTCATATTGTCACTGCCTTGAGGCCTTGATGGGTGAATTCATTCCTCAAAAACAACAAGATTACCTTTAAACAGAAAGCAAAAGTAGCCAATCTATCATCTCTGTCCAAGGTATATGCAGAATGCACTCAAATACTGCACAGAACAGGAAAGCACAGTGTCTTACAAATGTGCTATTTTCAGTGCCTCTCAGTATGTCTAAAAGGTCTGGGGCTGGGCTCTGAATATGAAAACCCAGTTAATAACCATCTTCCCCAAGAGCAGCTGCCAAAGGGCTATGCCTTTTCTTCCAGGTGAGGCAGCCTGAGACTGATGGCTACATGCTTGTGATCTATGTACTTGTGAAAAATTGCGTGAGGGTCATATTGAGACCCATGTGACTCAAAAATTAGTCTGTAGTGGGTGATTGGATTTATTCATTCATATGTTAACTTATTTATTCACTTATTGAAGAATTACTGAGTGCCTCCTAACCCCCACTCCCGCTCAGGAGTTTGTGTTTCTATTGATCTATTGCTGTCCATGGCTTCAAGATTGTTAAAAAGATAGACAATTAAGTTTGGAGATGACATTTGTCTCGTTGTGCTGTGAGGAGAGTGAATAAGTGTTGTGGCTTAGCTTGCCCTTCACACACAGTTTAGCTTTGTACACTCAGATTCAGTCAAATAACTGGCAAGTAAGTTAAATATCTTCTCACCAAAACCTTGATATATAACTGACTCTTGTTCTAACCTGCAGTAATAGAATAGGTGGTTGTTTTCTGTTGGTATAACAAAATACCTGAAGTTAGGTGCTTACAAAGGAAAGAGGTCTATTTAGTTTATAATTTTGGAGACTGAATGTCCAATGTCAGGTAACCTATCTGTTTGGCTTCTAGTAAAGTTCTCCTTGGTCAGGTTACAGCATGGTGGAGGAAAGGGAAAGGAATTGACCATCTGCAAAAGGAGCCAAGTGTGTGTGGTGGCCTTGCTCTGTGACAACCCACTCTCATGAAAACTCACTTTGCAAGAGCAGCATTAATCCCTTCTGATAGTGGCACACCCAATGACCTAATTACCTTTCACTGACTCCATCTCTTAAAGATTCAACCACCTGCATATCTCTGCCTCGAAGAGCAAGCCTCCAGTGCTTGACCCTGTGGGGAATAAACCATTTCCAAACCATAGAAGTGACATATATCTGACACATGCACGCATTTGGTTTTAGACTTCTTGTCCCCACACTTGAAGACAAGTCATTCCTATTGGTTAGTTTACTAGCTGGGTAGGTTTTCTGTTGGTTTTAGAGACAGGGTCTCACTATGTAGCCCAGGTTGGACTTGAACTCACCATTCTCTTTTCTCTGCTTCCTGAGTACTGGGATTACAGATTTTCACCATATGCCCAGAGACTAGCTTGACTTTAACAGCAGAAATAAATCTTCATACACAGGCCCTCCCATAGTAAAAATCCTTATCCAAAGGTACAGATACGTGTGTATGTAGATCTATCTATCTATATCTAGAGGAGTATCAATCCAAATGCTTTAATACCCATGTTTTTTTCAGTAAAATAGTATCCATTCCTCTTTAATCTTATCACTCTGAAAGAATTTTGCAATCTGTATAGATTATGTTTCTGCCATGACAACTAATACACTAGAACATATCTCAACATCCATAAGCCAGATAAAAAGGGAACTACTTCTTCCTCCCTGACCCTGAAGATTATTGTTTATTGGTACTTGAAGATGTAAGAACAAGAAATCTCAAGACCTTAAGATCTAAAATACCTTGGTGATAGGAGCTGTTTGAATAAACAAATAGACTTAGGTCTCCCTGAGCTAACCAGGATGGCATGGAACCAAAACACTCGCTCTCTACAACTTGGGGGAAGGGCACAACCTGGGATGCACTTCTTAGATCCCTGGAAAGTTTCATTCAGAAAAATGGCCACAGTTAGGTGGACAATAACGAAAACCAGGGCTGGAGTTGCAATTCGAGCAGTAGAGTGCCTGTCTAGCAAGTGTGAAGCCCTGAGTTCAAATCTCATACAAAAAAATGAAAACCACATTTCATTATTGTACCATTGATCTATGATTGAGCATTCTAACCTTACTGAGAAGGTTGGAAAACAAAAACAAAACAAAACTCCTTTGATACTGATTGTGTTTCGAGTGAGTTCTTTCCCTCTTCTGGATATCATGTTTGTAATTTCCTATCAAAATGAAGTCATTTGACATGTATCTCATAAGAGCTGCTCATCTTGTCTCCATACCTTCAGTGTCTCAGCACATGGTAGGAGCCCAATAAATGTTTGTTGACTCACTCTGTATTACTGAGTATTTCTAATCCATCAACTAAATTCTCAGAGTTGAGAAAGATTTAAAAAATTGACCGAAGTGCTTTTCATTAAAACAATTTTCACTCTTATAACTACTGTGTGTTCAGAATTATTTTCCAAATCTTTTCTAGTATTTCTCTCAATCCACAGATACATGACTAAATATCACCAAGAGCAATATTTCAAAGAGTTTCCTTCTTTTCTTCCTTCCTCCCTCCTTCCCTCCATTCTTTCCTTTCTAATGCAGTACTGGGGCTTGAACTCAGGGCCTCATGCTTACTAGCAAGCATTCTACAACTTGAGCCACTCTGCCAGCCCTTTTTTGCATTGGGTATTTTGAGATAAGGTCTTGCTTTTTATCTGGGCCGGCCTTAAACCATGATCCTCCTGATCTCTGCCTCCTGAGTAGCTAGGATTACAGATGTAAGCTTCTTGTGTTCAACCAATCAAGCTATCTACAATGAATCTATCTACAGTCTTTCCTTCCTTCCTTCCTCCCTCCCTCCCTACCTTCCCCCTTCCCTCCTTTCCTCCTTCTTTCCCTCCCTCCCTCTTTTCCTCCTTCCCTTCCTTCTTTCCTTCCTTCCTTTTCTGTCTTTGACAGGGTCTCAACATGTAGCCCGGGGTAACTAGAATTTGTGATCCTCCTGCCTCAGCCTTCTGAATACTGAGATTACATGGTACTACAATACCCGATTGCAAAACCAGTATTTTAAAAATAGGATATTTCCTGTCACTCCAGGCCATGGCCCCTGGTGGCCTGGTTGCCCCATTTGTGTCACATTTATGAGCTCATGGATGATGACTCTCATTCATTGATCTACAGGTCTTTAGAATTAGATATAGAGAGTTGATACAAGTAATTTTTTAATAACCAATTGGCATTTGGTAGCCAATAAAAAAAATAATAAAAGCTTGCAAGGTTTCCCCTCTGGTCAGTGCATATGTGCTATTTGTCAAGAGCTTTCTCCTATGAGCTTTACAGCTTTGTAAAGATTCACATCAGTATTTTGTCACTTGGCTGGTGGAGAGGCTCAAGTGATAGAGTGCCTGCCTAGAAAGCATGAGGCCCTGTGTTCAAGCCCTGGTACTGCTGAAAAAGTAAACATATATATTTTTAAAAAGCTTAATTTTTTTGTTACTTGCTGGTCCTCTCATATAATTGGAATAACTAAAAAAAAAAATTGGGGGTCTAGTATCTGACTTCAAGTTTTCTCAATGAGAGAAAGTGTCACTTTCTGCAAATAAGACTGACACTGAGGAGTGGAAAGAGTCATGACTTGTTGGACATCTATTGAAGGTGGCTATCTAGAAGTCAAGTTGCTAATTCCAGGCAGAACGAATAATCCACAGCTTCTAAAAATAGGGAGTCACAAGGCTAAAATGCTGCTATGTGCTGTTGTCACCCATAGTATAAACCAGAATGGCTTGTTCATATATTTTAAGCTATTCTTTTCTAAGCTTCCAATATCATATCTTTGACCCATTTGGTTATATTGAGCTTGCCAAAAGCTCCTATTTAAAGAATGCTGGTGTTACAGCACTGGGTGGTCCTGCACTTGTGGCTCATCTCCTCGTCAGCTGCAATACAATGTTCAGTGTAGGTCCTGATGCTGTTTCTATGGTCACCACCATCTGTTTATGGGTTTTGCGACGTGACCTAGCTTGCCATCAGCAAGGAATGATGCCCCACAGAGAATAATAGTCTGCTGTCTCTAGATGCAAGCATCCCACTGAGCAAGTTCACATTCATCCCCAAGATACAATCTGTTTCCCTGCCCCAAAGTTTTCTTCATTTAAAACTTTGGGAGCTATAAAAATTTTTGTCATAGAACCAGAGGTTTTAATTGAAGTTAGCGCTTTTAAAATTTAATGTCTGTTTTAATTGACACATAGTAATTGTACCTGGTTACAGGGTACAGTGTGGCAATTCGGTACACAAATACAACATGTAATGATCAGATCAGGGCAAATGGCAAATCCATCACCTCAGATCTGTATCACTTCTTTTTGAAGTTAACACATTTCTTAAGTTCCTACTATGTGCCTGGTGCACATTTGTCTATATTAACTCAAACTAAGACTCCAAAGCCAGGAACAAGGTTCCAGTCTTGTGCCAGCAAAATGCCATCATTGTGGAAGTCTTTTTATAAGTTCTTAAAATCAGAGAGCAAATAGGTAGGACAGCGCTGGCTGACAAGTGAGTTGGTTTTGCAGATGACATACCAAATGTTAAAGTTGGATAATAGAGGACAAAACACCAGAGTGCTTCTCCTGAGTATAGCTTTTTGTGGGTGGGGGGCAGTTTCCCCATTCTGTACTCTAGCGCAGTCTGCTTGCATTGTAATACTTCACCAGAGCTCTGATGGCCTTTGGATAAGAGGTTCCCTCTGTAGAAATTTTGATGAGTTATTGATATGTTTATCAACTTCTTTCAAGGTAGTGAACAGCTTGTGCCAGATAATGCTTGGCTAATCAACCCACATAAATTTAATCTTATCTCTAAATAGTTCTTTTTCCAAGGAGAGCAATTGCTAAAGTGCTTTGCATATTTATAGGCTGTGTCTTTATCATATAAGATGACATTAATAGAACTCAAAACAAGGTCTACAGAATATTAAACCAATGAAATGTATTGGGCTCTATCTTAACAAGAAAATCCCAGATGAGTCAACTCTTCCCACTAAGGCTTGCTTCATGTGACTTATTATCTCTTGCCGAGAATGTCACAGAATGGCCAACTGGAGAGTTCTCCCTGTAGAACCAATCTATTCAAACACACACACATGCACAGAGAAATACATGTGTATGTATCTTTGTATTTCCTTGTGTTTACTACAAATTTAAAAGACAGGAATGGTCAGTTTTGACTGCCTTTTTAGCAACCTACAATGATCAAACTTTGGAAACCAATCTGTCCATAACTTCCACATTTTACCATTCCCAAAGACTTACCCTAACCATGCCAGCCAGCTCTCAGAGAATTCACTCTGTCGTGGCAGTAAGAATGTAGTCATTGACTATCATCACCGGGAGCTAAAATAAACCACTCTGGAATGGAGGGGAGGGGTCTTATTTTCCATTTTGTTGCCTTTTTTGACTCATAGCCTGATTTCTCTGAGAAGAGGTCATTTTAACGTTCTCACGCTTAGCCCTGTAGGCATGTGCTAATGTGTGCAGCTGGCTTTATGATTTGATATTGTTCTTCTAACCACATAGTGTAGCTGTGGAAAGCTGGGAAGGGCCAAGCAAGCTATAATCATGTGGAGGGGTGTGTGTGTGTGTGAGTGTGTGTGTGTGTGTGTGTGTGCTTGAGGCATGGTGAGGAAGGAGGAGGGAGGACTCAGAAGAAAGACCATCAGTGACTCTAGAAGCTAAGAGGCAGGGCTGCAAACCCACCATCAGGTTTTGCAATGATAGACAGGGTTGTGTGAGCCAAGAGACAATTTGTACATACACGGGCAAAATGGCTCTGGTCTTTTCCACTACAAGTGCAGAAACAGACTGCTGTCAACAGCTTCAAAAATAGAAACGTGTCTCTACCAATAGTCCTCAAATGGTGGTACCCAGCCAGGACTGGCAGCATCTGTAGTACCTGGGAATTTGTAAGAATGTAAATTCTTGGATCTGCCCAGACCTACTGAATTAGAAGTTGTGAAAGTGAGGCCCAGTGTCTGTGTCTTAGGAAACTCTCCAGGTAGCCCTGATGCACAATCAGGTTTGAGGAATGCTGATGTATATATTTTTCTCACATGCGTTTATAGTCATGTGTGTGTTAGTCTGCATCCTGTCCTAGGAAGTGGCAGGGACTTTTCCTTCCTAGTGACAATGAGTCCTCAGTGGGACTCTGCAGGCAGCCCAGAAAGAGGTGGTCAAGCTGTCTCCATGGAAGGAGACAAGACCCAGAGGGTCCTCTGAACACCCTTTCTGTTGCATGATACACAGGTATAATTATTAACTGTGATTTGGCTGTTGATGGGTGCTTTGGGTAGTGTGCGTGTGCGGGTGTGCGTGTGTTTTAGTCCAGCTGGATCAAAGGTGTCTTCTGTGATTCACTGCAGGTGTTAATAGGTTATCTTGACAAAGAAAACCATCAAGGAAGCCTCCTGGAGACAGCTTTCAGTTTACCAAGTATAAGCAATGGTCCACTGAGATGACTGGCTTCTTCCCTAGACTGGGCCACTCCCTGGAGCAAACTCAGTAGTAGGCTTCTTCCAAGGCATGAAAGCTATTTTAATGATTCAGTGCAGCTATATTGGACCACTAGAGACAACAGAAGGCACATGTGAGAGCAAAGATGAAGTTATGGCAAAGTCAGGGTGACCTTGGGAAAGTGGGGACAAGCTTATGACTTGAGGGACTGAGCTATATGTGGCATGAGGAAGTCTAGTGTGGTCCCCAAGATATACTTGGCCTCACATTGATAACTGTGTGGGGTAACAGGGGTAAATAAAGGATGGTGTATGTATGTAAGTAATTGCATAGGCAACAGTGTTCATGTTAGTCTATTAACTTGTTAGCTGGGCATGAAAGGCCTTTGGGTTCTAACTTACCTTTCCAGTGGTATTTTTGTCAGTGTCCTTTATAAACTTAACCCAAACTGTTCAGATAGTTGTGCTTTGTAGACGTCATGTGTCTTACCATACCATATCCACCCTACTTTTTTATCTATCATCGACCTCACTCACCCTCATTGCCCCCTCACCATTTCCCAGGGCCTGAGCCAAATGCTACTTTCTCCATGAAGTCTTTTTTGACACCATCCCCTGACACAGTGCTGGGGAATTTATCCCTCCAGTTCTAGACCTTCTTATCACACTTGGGCTTCCCAAGGCTATGAATTATTATAACTAGGGATGCCTTGCAAGACTTCCTTAGCTGGTGAGCCTCAGGAGGGTCTTTTTTCCAGTCTTTGGAGCACCAGGCCCGGCCGGTGTTCAACGTATTTGTTACATGAATAAATAGCTGCCAGGCCATATTTCAGAATTAAAAAATATACAGTAGAGGCAGTGTATGGAAAACAGTTTGGTGATTCCTCAGAAAGGTTACCATGAGCTTATCATATGACGCGCCAATTCTACCCTCAGTTATTTCCCACAAATAATTGATAGTGGGAATTCAAACACAGATGTTCATAGCAACCCCATTCACAATAGCTAAAAGTTGGAAACTACTCAAATGCTCTCCATTGTATGAATGGATAAGGCAAAATATGGTATTTTTACAACAGTGTAATACCATTCAGCTAAAAAAAAAAAAAGGAAAGGAGTATTGATAAAAGCTGTAACACCGTTGAACCTTGAAGACATTATGCAAAATAGAAGCCAGACACAAAAGCTCCTATGTTATATGATGTATTTATATAAAATAGACAGAGTAGGTAAATCCACAGGACAGAAAGTAGATTACTTGATGCTAAGGCTTGGGGAAGTAGGAAATGGGGAGTGACTGCTTAATGGATACGAGATCTCCTTTTGGAGTAACGAAAATGTTAAAATCAGATAGAGGTGGTGATTGCACTAAATGCTACTGAGCTTCATCTTAAAATAGTGGATATTATGTGATGTCTTTCACCTCCATTAAAAATGTCAGTGGTGCAAAAGTGTTGTCCTTTCACTTTAGAGAAACTGATCTCTCATATGTTTATCCCAAACATCATCAGAACCTAGAACTGATAAGTATTGATTCTGTCTCTACCATAATTTCTCCCTTGCTCCTAAGTCACTTTGCAAGGGCTCACCTTGTAGCACCTGGTGTCACCCACAAATGTGAGCAGAAGAGCCCATCTTAGCTCCCGACCCCTGCATCTAAGACTGGTACTGCTGAGCCCTGTGGACTGTATCTTTTGTCCACGGTGGATTGCTATGAAAACTGACTTTCCACTTTCCTGGAAGATGTTCATTGGTTTTGAAGGGAGATGGGCCCGGTGCTTTCCTGGAACTCCCACTTTCCATTCATTCCAACTTTGTCTTCTCAGTTCATAGGCTGAAGCCAGCTGACATCAAAGTAATAGGAGCCATGGGTGACTCTCTCACAGTAAGTTACTCCAATTGTAGAAAGAAAGCGTGAGATAGAAGATTTTGATGAATAGGATAGTGTGGAGGGAAAATGGAGAGAAGGGGTTTTTACCCCTTCTAGCTCTTAAATGTTGTTGTCTTGGGTCTTGATCTCTAGGCCCCTCCATTCAACCTGCTCACCCTAGCACCCAGCATTTCTTACACTCGTGTTTCCCCACCTCCATTCTAACCTCATCATTCCACTCCCAATACTGGAATAAAGGGAAGCACAGGAAGTGGAAGGGACCCCAAGGGAGCATGAATGATATAGTAACTAACCCCAAGTCACATGGCCCATCAGTGGTGGGACAGCATTGAGCTAGGTCACCCTGCTACAAGACCTGGTGCTTTGTTTTGTCCATGTAGGAGAACCAAGGTACCAAAGAGAGGACCAGAGAGTTGATGAGGCAGGAACAAGTGCTAATGGGGGACAGGAGGTAGGGGTGAGAAAACGGGAGCCACAGAAAAATCACACAGCTGCTCAGGACTTGAGGAAAGACAACACTTTGAGTGTGACAAACCTGGCAGGTAGCATCAGAATTGGGTACCAGAGAATGGGGACCATACCCTAGGGGGCACCTCTTGTGAAGCTCAGCCCTCATCCCAGCTGCCTGGGAGGCCCATCCTGCACATGTCCTTTGGAATGGTCTGCCATTCCATGCTTTGGGCAAGGAATGTGACCTCTGTTCCCACTGTTTTTTAAATGACCCTACTCTTAGTCCAGCAGGTAGGACTATGGGGTTTCACTTTATTGCTATTTTTAATTGTATATATGTGAGATATAATGATATGAAAGAATTATGGTATGTGTCACTTTATGATGCATTTTACTGTTTTTTAAAATGAGACATAGGACCCAGAAATATGTCCTTTGGAAAAAGGCATGCTACAGTCTCATTTCCAGAGCACTTTGCTCCATGCTTTCTTGGTCAGGGTCCGGTCAGGGTTTCTTGAGAGGAGGCAGAGCTGTGAACAGCACTAGGCTTTCCCAGTGGGAATTCACCCTCATCTCAGAAAAGACAGGATACACATTGAGATGTGAGGCCATATAGACTCTGTACTCTAGAGAGTACTGGGGTGGGACAGCCCCAGGATAAGAGCACAGACCTGCTGGCAGGTGGGTGGGCACAGAGTCCAGGGAAATCAGGATCACTCACCCTTTGTTTTCCCCTCTCAGGCAGGCAATGGGGCTGGGTCCTTGTCTTGGAACCTCCTTGACGTCTTGACTGAATACCGAGGCCTGTCCTGGAGGTGAGTGAGGGCACAGATAAGCCCTGAAAATCCCTGAGTCTTCTAGAAAACAATGTCTCAATGGGCCACTTAGTTCTTTTCCATTATAAACTTTTGGATTCAATAGTTGGAAGGTGGTTATCAGCTTCCAACCAAACAGGGTGTGCAAGTTGAACAGGAGTTTGGGGAGAAATTGTACAAATATTTAGGTTGGAGATTCTTCTTTGTCTTCCATTTCTCCCCCTGTGATGTAATCTCAGAAGGAGGCAGTGGCCTGTTAATGAACAGATCTTAGTCTTTGGAACCAGAGTTGTGCCTGAGCCCTAGCTATATATAACCTTGGGCAATTTATTTGGGCAAGCTCTCTGAGCTTATCTCCTCATCTTGGATGCATAGATAATGCTGCCCAGGCATTGTCTGAGGATTAGAGAGAATTTAAGTGCCCAGCCCAGTGCCTGACACAAAGTAGATCTAAATGACAGTTGGCCTCATTATTAAATGGCCTTCATTTTACAAAGCAGGAAACAAGACTCAGACAGGGCAAGTAACCTGTCTAGGATCACATAACCAAATGATAAAGAACAGGAAGCAGAGCAAGGGGTTTCTGACCCCTAAACCTGCCCATTCCCCCACTGTGGGTTGCTTGGTGCAAGCTCATTCCTACTAGCCTGTGATCCCATGCAGCCACAAGCTACAGGTGAGCCAGACTCACAGTGTGTAGAAAGGCCAGCTCTGGCTCATTTAGTGTTTCTTCAGCCTGGAAACCAGTGTCTCCATCCCACACCAGCTCTAACCTCATACCCTCCCTCATGTTGCTGCACAGTTAAATCCCAAACATTCTGGGAACATTTTAGATGATCCCAGATATACTTGGCACAGAGGAGGGCTATATAGAAAAGCAGAGACTGCAGTCCAGCCCGGAATGCTACGTGCTTTCATGCCTAGAAGCCCATCTACACTTGATCTCCTTGAAAATTTAGCACTGGCTTACTCTCTGCAAGGTACCCTTTTAAAGATGCCTTTCCCAAGCCAAACAGAAAGAGAAAGATCAGGGGAAACGTTCAAAACAAAAAAACAAAACTTTTTTCACTAGCAGTAGTAACGTGAGGCTGTAGTGGCTTAGTGGGTGCGGGGCGGGGCGGGGGGGGGCGGCTACAGAAGGACCACTGTCACTTTGGAAGGCAGGGTGTAAGGGACCAGTTTAGTTCTCCCTGCCCCCACATCAGAGCACATTTAAAAAACAAGAAAAGCAGCAATGCCACTTTAAATCCATGTTTTGTTTGGATGTTCTGGGGCGGGAGTTGTATTCTGGTTTGCTTTTCAGTTCTACAGAAACGATGGGGAGAGGGCGGGCCCCGGGGTGTTGGCAGGAGAAAGGTCTGTCCTGCTCGCGTTTGAAATGTTTTGGCGTCAAGGGCATTTTAAACCTTCGCTTTCTTTCTTGACTCCATGCACAGTGGCGGCGGCGATCAGAACATCAGCACGGTGACCACGCTGCCCAGTGAGTACGCGCGGCCGGCCGGGACGCTTTGGCTGGGCTCGGTGCACCTGCGCGCTGCGCGGCTCCCCCTGGAGGCCGCAGGCCTCGGAGCGCAGCGGGAGCCAGAGGTGGGCAGCAGGGGGCGCTGCTTCCCCGAGGCTGCCGTTTAATCCCCAGGAGCGGGATTAAAGCCATGGATTTGGGTTTTGTTTTTAAAGAGAAATTGTCTTTGTTCTAGAAAGAAAGAGTAAGAGAATAAGGGCAAAATAGTTTCTGCCTGGCAGCGAGGGGTTGGGGGGGAAGGGGAAGAAGAGGGGAGAAATGACCCAAACAGTGTATGCACATATAAATAAAAGAAAAAGAAAGAAAGAAAGAAAGAGTAAAAGAGGAAAAGAGAGCTCCGATTTTTATGCGCCACTGCGATTGCAGGAGGAGAAGATGAAGCTACCTTGTGCAAACACGCCCTCTTCGGGGCTCAGCATTTTCCTTAATTACTGCACCAACAACCTGCTAGGAAAGATTTTTTTAAAGCCTGGCTACATTCTCTGAAAGGTGTGGTCTTAGTTATCTTTTCATCCTCTTTAGTGCAAACCCATCAAAGTGCTTGTTCTTAAAGTACACCTGCAGTAAATGTTTACATTGAATTCTTTCCCTTTACAATCTGATGAATAATATTGCCCGAAAGGGATTTGAATGGTCTTATTTTCCTTGACTTCTCTGGTTCATATCCCTTTGTAATATACCTTGAGGAGCTAAGAAGTTCTTTGAATTTTAGATCACTGAGGCTTCATTTCCACATAGGCAGAACTGATTAGACTTCACATTTGTTATGTTTTGGTTATTGGCAGATTGGGTTGAATTTAAATTCAAAATGACAAAATGCTTTTTCTGCTCCATTAAAACAATTGTGTGCCATAAGTACTCCCTGTCCTCTTGATTTCTAGGTTTATATACAAGAACTATAAATAAGCTCCCCATTGCTAGGAGATGGCTTAGGTTGCTTTTTTGAGTGTGATGACTTAGCTATGAGTTGGCCCAGCAAGATGACTGGAAATATCTGGCTCAAGATCTTTAAGCAAAGTGATCCACAAAGGATTGAGATGGTGTTGCCTCTCAGGTGGAATCCCCTGACACACAGTCCAGTGGAATGGCTGCCATTCAGAATTCTTTGCTAGAGCTGTGAAGGCAATTTGATTGTAGAGGCTGAATAAGCCAGGGCAAAATAACTACCTGGAAATGCGTTTGAAACTTATAAGGATGTGAAGTCAGAATAGAACCTCTGCCCAACTCCTTGTTCAACTGAATCCAGCAGATGCTCTGGCACTGGGTGCTTGGGAAATGGGAGAACTATGTCCTGTTGATATCAGTAAAGTCTCCCTGGGGACATGCCTCCCTAAAGATGGGCACTTGGACTGATAATTATAGCCATGCACAGAGCTTAAGGGGAACGCTGCTAATGCTGTCTTCTAAAAAGAGCTTTAAGAACTAGATTTCATCAGGTAGGGAAAGTGGATGGAATGTTCCTGGCAGAGATGACTGCATGCACCAGCAAGTTCTTGCCCTATCCAGTGTATACTTCCTTTCTATGACACTCCTGCCAAATAGCTGGATAGCTGTGCTGATTCCTCCAGTAACCGGGAGCCTACCCACCTCCCAGGACAGAGTTCCATTTTCAGATAACTCTGGTGATTGCACAGTTCTTCCTTCTACTGAGAAGACACCAGAGTAACTTTAAATGTTCTCAAAGCTACCGAATAAGTTCAATCCACCTGTGTTAAACAGACCCTGCAGCACTGCTTCCTTCTAGAGAACATTCTGCTGGGTGACATGAGGCCCTAAAGCTCCAGCTTCTGCCACAAATTCCTTTCCCACATCCTAGTAGATTGTAAAACAGAGGAACGTACCCTGTGTTGGAGTTGAGACACCAGGGTTCTAGCCAGGGGTTCTGTTCCCAGTATCTATGTGACAATTCTTCTGTCCTGTTTGAACTTTGTTTTATTCCTAATTCAGTATGTATGCACAGACCCTGCTCTCTCAGTCAAATGGAAGAGATGGAGAAGTGAAAAGTCAAGAATAGATCCAATGTGGTAAAGGCCAAAAAAAATTAGATAACTTAGATGAAATGGGCAAATTCCTAGAAAGACACAAACTGCTGAAATGGAAAAGTCAAATAGCTTTATAACAAAGAAGAAATCAAATTAGCAGTTTTAAAACTTCCCACCACAAAAAGGTTTTTCTGGCCTCACTGGTAGGTTCTATAAAACATTAATACTAATTACCAATTCTTCACAAACATCTCCCAAAAACAGAAGAGGAGGGAATAGGCCCTAATTCATTCTGTGAAATTTACCTGATACCAAAATAAGACAAAGACAGCACAAGGAAAGAAAACTAAGACCAATATCTCTTATTAATCTAAACACAGAAATTCTCAGTGAACTACTAGCAAATCAAACACCAGCAACATATGAAAACCAAATGGAAATTAGCCCAGGAATACAAAGTTAAAAACACCAACATCAAGTAATATAATGTATAAATAGAATAAAGGACAAAAACTACATAATTGTTTTAATGGACCAGAAAAAACATTTTGTAAAATCTCAACCCCTTCAAGGTGAAAACACTCAACAAACTAGGAATAAAAAAAAAAATCGTCCATCTGATAAAGGGCATTGACTAAAAGCCCACAGCTAACATCATACTTAATGTCGGAAAATAGACTTCTGTCCCCTCTCTCTGAGATCAGGAACAAGGCATTTTTATTTAACATTATACTGAGTCAGGTATAGTAGTACACTCAGCACGTGGGAGGCAGAGGCAGGAAGGTCACAAATTCAAGGCCAGCCTGGACTACATAGCAAGACCTTGTCTGAACAAAACAAACTCTACTGGACATTCTAGTAATGGCAGTTGGGCAAGAAAAAACATCAAGTTTGGAAGTAAAGGAATAAAATTATTTTTATTTGAAGATGACATCATCTCATATCTATGTAGAACATCTTAGGGATCTTCTAAACACTATTAGAACTAATAAATGAGTTCAGTAAGATTGCAGAATACAAAATCAGTATGCACAAATCTATTGTCTTTCTGTGCAGTGCCAATTAGTGATCTGAAAAATGAAATTAAGAGAACAATTCAACTTACAAAAGCATCAAAAGTAATTAATACTTAGGAATAAATTTAATAAAAGAAATACATCTCTAGCTCAGTGGTGAAGTGTTTGCCTACCATGCATGAGGCTCTGGGTTCAATTCTTCTTAAGATCACAAAATATTGCTAAAAGAAATTAAATACCTAAATAAATAGAAAGATATCCTGTGTTCATGGGTCAGAAGATTTAACTTTGATAAGATGGTGATATTTCCCAAATTAATCTATATTCAACATCATCCTACTCAAAATGCCAGCTGGCTTCTTTGCAAAAATGTGCAGCTGATCCTAGAATTTATGTCCAAGTTCAAGGGACCCAGAATAGCCAAAACAATCTTGAAAAAGAACAAATTTGGAAGATTCATACCCCCTAATATCAAAACTTATAAAGACACAGTAATCAAATCAGTGTGGGCCTGGCATAATGATAGACAAATAGATCAGTCAAATAGAATTGAGAGTCAGAATAAGCCCTCGTGTTCTTTATTAACTCATTTTCAACAAGGATGCCAAGATCAGTAAACAGGGAAAAATAATCTTTGCAACAAATAGTACTGGGACAACTGGATAGTCACATGCAAAAGAATGAAATTGGTTGTATTCCTACCTCACACCACATCAAAAAAGTAACTCAAAATGGATCATAACCTAAATATAAGATCTAAAACTAACTCTTAGAAGAAAATATAAGAGCAAATCTTCATGACCTTGGATTAAACAAAGTCTTCTCAGATATGCTACCAAAAGTACAAGTGAAAAAACAAAACAAAGTATATATTGTGCTCCAAAGAACACTATCGCCGAAGGTAAAGGCAACCCAAACAATGAGAAAATATATTTAATCACTTGTCTAACAGGAAACATGCATGCAGAAACTATAAAGAACTCTTAACAACTCAGTAATGAAAATACAACCCAATTAAAAATGGGCAAAGGATCTAAAGAGCATTTCTCCGAGGAAGACAAACAAATGACCAACGAGCACCTGAAAAGACACTGACTATCAGAAGGCAACAGTAGAAATTGAATCCACAATGAGCTGCCTCTCCACCTCCACTGGCACAGCCTCCTAAAAAGACAAATATTAACAAGTATTGGTGATGATGTGGAAAATTTGGGGCCCTCATATACTGCTAATTGGAATGTAAAATGGGACAGCTATTTTGGGGAAAATGTCCAGGAAGTTCTCCAAAAGGTTAAGCAGAATTGCCATACAATATAATAATTCTACTCCTCGTATATGTTTGTACGTAAAAACTTTTGTATAGATATTCATCAAAGCAGCATTATTCATAATATCCAAAAGTAGAAATAAATCCAATCAAATGTGATATATCCATTCAATGGATATCATTTACCAAAAAAAATGAACGAAGTGTGACATATGCCACAATGTGGGTGAACATTGAAATCATTATGCTAGGTGCCAGTCACAATACCAGTATATTGTATGATTTCATTTATATAAAATGTCCAGAAAAATTTTAAAGCAAATCTTTAGAGAGAGAAAGTATATTAGTGGTTGCCAGAGGGTTGAGGAACACTGGGGACTGACTGGGAACAGGTTTCCTTTTGGGTAGATGAAAATATTCTAAAACTGATTGTGTACTATCTAAACATACTAAAAGCTTTGAAGCTCTATCCTTCTAAATTTGTAGGTTTTAGTGCGTGAGTTGTATCTCAGTATGGTTTTATATCTTTAGAAAAACACAGAAATCCATGAGAAAAGCACCTAATCCAGAGTCAATTTACCCGACAACAGTTAAGCTTGTGTTGTGTGCCACTGGTGTGGTCAAGCATCTACTGAACATTTTATTCCCAGGCTGAGTGAGTGGGAGAGTAAGAGTAAGGGCCATGTGATGAGGACTTGGCCTTGTCCCCAACATTCAATGGTGCTCATCAAAGGAACTTGAACGCCAGGAATGGTAGTACACTGCTATAATCCCGGCACTCAGGAAGCTGAGACCAGAGGATTGTGAGTTTCAGGCCAGCTTGGGATATGTAGTGAGACCTTGTCTTTAAAAAAAAAAGGGAATTTGAAGGTTGCATTGGAATAGTTACTAAACATGTCTCTTCCTCATATTTCCAGACATCCTCCGAGAATTCAACCCCTCCTTGAAGGGCTTTGCTGTTGGCACTGGGAAACAAACCACTTCGAACGCCTTCTTCAACCAGGCTGTAGCAGGGGCCACATCTGAGTGAGCTGGAACACCCTGGGGTTGGATAACACAGGTTCCCTGGGGGTAGGAGAGGGGGCTTGACCTAAACTGGAGTTCACGGCTGAAGGTTGAGAGGCTTATCCCTCGAGAAGGGGTCTGAGGCTGGGCTGGGCTCTCTTGGGGGTGTTCCTTTGCTGTCAGATACAGAAATCTGCTAGTGTGCTCCCAGCCATACCCCAGGAACTAGTCACAGTTAACTGTGGTACCCAGCATATGCTTTGGGCAAATCAGCTGACCTCATCTATAAATCCCATGCTCACGTACAACAGAGACTGTAAGAGGGCTCACTTAGAGGGAGTCCCAGTTGTTGTCGTGGCACAGCTCTGTTTAGAGTCCTGACCTCCTTCTGTTCCTCACACAGGCCTTTGGGGCTCTACTCTGTGTGCTTCTCATGTCCTGAGAAGAACACCACCTGGGAGGGGAGGCCCAGTTTCCTCCCTGGCCTCTCTAAGCCTCAGATTTTGAAGCTAGGGCAGGTTGTAAACCTCTCTCATAGGATGGTCGTGAGGCTCAATTGCCATCTTGGATACAAATGTTCTAGAGAGCTGAAAGTAGTGTTCACACACACGATCAGGATGGCATCCCAGTCAAAATGCAGCAGGCTGCAGGTCTCGCCCAGGGAACTGCCAGTGAGCACAGAGATCACTTTGCTGTAGTCCATGGGCACTGACTGGCTGCTTCCTGGAGCTAGCAGGTCAGCTTTCCTGGGCCCATGGCATACTAGATTCCAGCCTGGAGTGTTCAGAATAAGTGATTGCCACACTCAATCAAGAAGAAGTCAATGGAAAGATCCTTTCTGTTTAATAAGCATCATAAACCTCAATCTTCTGAGTACTTCCTGGCGTTCCTGTGGTTTGGTTCCTCGATTTCCTGATACTCTTGTAGCTTTCAATACTATCCTGAGGCTACAAGCCACCTAAGTAGCTTTCTCATTTATCCCCAATAAGAAAGATGGATCATACAAAGCCTAATAGATTTTATAGTGGATTCTTGGGAGCTAGTTTTCCTTTTGGTGGGGGAAGAGTGAGAAACTACTGACTTACTGCTTTAAATTTTGGGGTTGCTTCAATATTACCAAAATTTAACTTTTCCCAGTATATGTCAGTTGGTAGTACAAGAGGAGAGGCAGTTTTAAGTATGAGAAGGTTAGGGAGACATCCAAGTATGAAATCTTAGAGTCAAGAATGTTGGAATAGCCAAAATAAGTGTGATTCATATGATCCTGGATTCCTGGCCCTGCTTTTCCTGAGGCCTTGGGGACCCTCTCATGCAAGCAATCCAAGCAACCTTGGGAGGTAGGAAAGAATGGAATTGTTATTCCTATATTACATTGAAAGAAACTACAGCACAAAGAGGCCAAATGGCCTGAACAGATGCATCACTTGACCTTGGGGTCTGGCCTTGTGTCTTGTAGGCTTTATTCCAGCCTATGAGGGGTTATGATCATAACCCCTCATATATACATAGCAATGACCAATCCACAAAGCACCTTCATGTTTGTCATCCATGTGTTCTGCCCAAGTAACTCTAAGGTACATAGAACAGAGGGTTGATCCCCATGATTCATTAGTGACAAAGTTGACGCTCAGAGAAGTGGAGTAGTTGTCCCCAAATTCTAGTCCATAGACAGAGCTGCCCTGATAACCTGAGACTCACAGATGAGGAAATTGAGGTTGAATAAATTAAGTGACCTACTCAAGTCCCCTCCAGGGTATCCAATACCTAATGTGCTATGACAAAGATCAGTCTAGTTAAGCTAGCAGTTAAGAGAAGAGGAGCACAGCTCATGTTTCTTGCTAGGCACTGTGCCAGGGACTATTGATGGTAATGATGGAGCTATGGTAGAAAGAATTCAATGGATGCTTACCAAGTACCAGGCACTAAGTTCTTTCCATGGCTCCTCATTGAATTCTCCCAACAACTCCATGAAGAAGGCATACCCAATACCCTATTTTGTGAAGGAAAAAAAGTGAGCATTTTCCAGGTGAAGTATTCTGCCAAGATCTTAGAGCTGGTTGAACTAGGATTCGAACTAGGATTCGAGCCAGTAATGGTTCTTACTCCAGGGGCTATTTTGTTGATCTCATTTTCTGTCCACAGTGACCTTCTAAGATAAGTGGGTTTATCTCCATCTTGTGATCCTTTTAAACTAAGAATTTAAGTCATTTTCCCACAGATAGCAAGAGGGAATAAAGTGTCCAAGCCAGGTGTGTTCTATTTGGCCATGTCACCTTGATGCGTGATGGAGCTGATGTCATGACATCTGCCACACCACGCATAACATAAAGTCCTCACATGCAGCTCTTCTGTTTGCCTTGAAAACCCTCACTTAGAAGAGAAGGAAGTATATCATCAACTATGCCAATCAGAAAATCATCCCACTGAGAGTCACCCCCTCAAATGTGCAGGGCTCAGCCCTTCCCAAGCACAGTCACTTTTCCCACTCAGGAGTGACTGAATGGGAAAGGAGCTCTGGGTGGTGGCCTTCCATCTCCCTTTCCTGCAGGAAGCCCATGACCATCCTCTGCTGCATATCTATGGGTAGTCTCTCTGCTAAGTTCCCCTGCCAGTCCCTGATCTTCACCTAACTTCCTGCTGTGTGTCCCCACAGGGGGTTAGTTGCCCAGGCCAGGATGCTGGTGGACCTGATGAAGAATGACACAGTGAGTCTGGGGTAGATGGGATGTGATTCCCCAGGAGGAACAGGAGGTGGGCAGGAGAAATCCATTATTACAGAGAGGTCAGCAGTAGGGTGAGGAGTGCAAAGGAGCCAGGTCAGATTTGTAGCCCTCACATCTGAGCCCTAAATTTCTGTAAGGGGGATTCCTGTTCACTTAGCTTGCCAGCTAGCTGTTCAGATAAACATGGGTTACAAGTCAGCCTGAGGCTGGAAACGGGAATCCAATACAGTCCTGTCCTCACAGACCTTACAAGGAGAGACCACGATGAAGAGTCAAAATTTTGAAACAGTTGATATGTGCTTTATAAAGATGGCGACAGCTCAGCATGGTGGTACAGGACTATTATCCCAGTTATTCAGGCGGCAGAGATTGGGATGATTGTGGTTTGAAGCCATCCCAGGCTAAAAGTTAGAGAGATCCCATCTCAACAAACAACATAGGTGTGGTGGCATGTACCTGTGATCCCAGCTGCTTGGGAAGCATAAATAGAAGGATTGTGGTCTGAGTTTGGACCTGGGCAAAAACGGGAGACTCCATCTGAAAAATAAAGTGAAAATAAAGGAGGGAAGTGTAGGGGGTGTGACCCAAGTGGTAGAGCACCTGCTTAGCAAGCATGAGGCCCTGAGTCCAAACCCTGGTACCACCAAAAAAAACCCAAACAAGATGGCTATGAGTAAGGTAGAGTAGGGCACCGAAGGCACAGGCCCTTCTGTTTGGAGAGCCAGGGAAGGAGACAGAGATGTTTACGGTGGGTTCTGAAAGATGACTTGAGGTTCTCCCACAGGTGAAAGTAGAACTGTCTTTGGAACTGTTTCCATTTGTGTGAAATCATTGAAGAGGGGATTGGAATTCATTATTTTGTATAATGATTTGATGTACTCCAAAATGCATTATGGGGAAGTTTCAGGATATTTCTATTGTTAATGTGAAACTTCTCTGAAATTTTTTTTTAACCTTTCTCCCTCCACCCTCCATTGGAAGCATAGGTCAGAGAAGCAAAGCTATGTTAGGCAGGGACAACAGAAGAGGCTGTGAGGGTCACAGCTGTCCTTGGCCATGGTTTATGGGATGTATATGGCTATATCCCTTTTACCCAGCCCTATGACTTCAAATGCTTCCCCGGCTCTCTCATGAAGGAAGTGAATTCCAGCAGTGGCAAAATAACCAGCCTCCCCAGCTGAATTGGGTCACAGACATTTTTAACTTGTGTGAATGATCTGAGTTTGGAGAGTTCCCTCATATTGGAAGATGGTCTTTTGTTCTATAAGGCAACTTGAGCATTCCAAAAGAACTATGGGATCCTAGAATAAAGTTCATTTCCTAGCACCGGGGCCCACTTCCTTGCCATGCTAGAGACAGGGGACAAAGCTCAGAGGATATCCACATCCACTCCCACCAAGGTGGTTGGACACTGTGACCTGTGAACTTCCTATGTGTGGACAGAGGCACATGAAGGTCCAGTAACTCCATCTAAAATAAGTGAGCCATTTAGCACTAATGACCTCAAAACCAAAGAATAGAAAATATGAATGCCTACTAATATTTTGTGGTTAACATTTTGTGTTTTCTCTGATGACCCTGGAACGAGTGCTTATCTTTGATTTCTATTCATTTCAGAGGATACATTTTCAAGAGGATTGGAAGATAATCACTGTTTTTATAGGTGGCAATGACCTCTGTAGTTCCTGTGATGACCCGGTAGGTCCCCAAGCTCTTCACTAAGGACTCCATGGGTGGTCTCTGGCTCTTGGAGCAGCATAGCTGATGTTTTGGTTTGGATGCAGCATGAGATTAGCCCTGAGACCAAGAGGGCAGCCACCTCTAGGGAGAGAGACAACAGGACAAGCAGGACAAGTTATAAGGTCGATCTTGTGCTGTCACTAGAGAAAGTTGATTTCCTATGAAGGCATTTAGGCAAGGTTCAGGGAACCATCACTCAAGAGTAACAGGAAACTCAAGATTGGGGTTATTGGTTGTGACAACTGCACTTCTTCCTGGAACCCTGGTGTGTCTGAACTGAAAGAAACCCCTCAGGCCACAATGAGTAGTCTCACACTCATGCCTGTGCTGGAGGCTGCACTCAGAGCTGAGCAATGATGAATGAAACACTTGCTCTGTTCTTGAGGAGCTCACTCTGCAAGGGGATAGAAATACAGGGTGTCCATAAGTGAGAAGGAGCTCTCCATGTGGTTCTGGTGATACACAGAATAGGGTCTGAAATCAGAGATCGGGGTTGCCATGGGAAGTTGGTGTATGCATGGAGGAGCTGAGTACAGTGCAGGAGACTTTCCAGAGGGAGCTTGAAGATGGGTGTGTGGGGCAGAGAGCAAAGGGACCAGTAGAATGGGGTGTAGGAGGTGATGTTCTTGCTCTAGCCTGTGAGTCCCTGCCCTGAGGGTGACCCTGTCCCCGCCTACCCTCCTCACAGCCCACTTTCCTGACATCAAAGTCATGTGGGACCAGTGCTTTCAAGCTGTGAACTGAACAACCCACAGAGAAGACAAAGGAGCTACTGGGGGGCGTGGGGGGATTGGGACCTTGGGCTATTCCCTGGCTTCCCTGAGTGACACAGCTTTAATAAGTTTCCTAGAGCAGAGTGCTTGGTTCTATCTTGGCCAGAAAAAGAATTCCACTGCTTTGTAAAAAATATTTAAGACCCACAAATATCAAGATCAGGAGAAATAATTAAAGTGTATTTATATTGGGATGGGGGGGTAACAAGACTCCTCCCATTTCCTCCTTACTTGCTTAGGATGTGGTACCCTAGACACATGAGGCTCCAAGCACAAAAGATCAGACAGTTCTACCATCCCCATTTTAGAGGGGCCCATAGATGAGATATGCCTTAGCTGAGGCTCTATATCCAATTGACATAAAGTAGCTCTGTAGCTTTCCATAGCTGCATGCAAAAGAAAGGGTATTTCCCTGAGGGTCACAGCCATGACAAGCTTGAAGACCATAGGGTTGGTTGGGGTCAAGGCCTGGTGCCCCTAAAGACAAACTCTCTATATCAATGTTGTCCACTTGACTCAACTACGGGAAGAGGAGGAGCCAAGAGAGGAAACCATCCTGGTCAGTAGAGAGATGGGGTGATATATGGGGCTCAGGAGATCTTTCCTCTCCCTGCAGGCTCGCTATTCTCCTCAGAACTTCACAGAAAACATCGGGAAAGCCCTGGATATCCTTAAGGCTGAGGTATGGAGGCTAGGCCTACAGCTTCTGAGCAGCTCCACCATGGCCTTTGTCTTGGGCCTCAGACATCTCTGGGAGGCAACTCTGGCTTCCTGCTTCCTGCCATGTTCCTTTTGTCTGATCCCCAGTAGCCTGAATGCATAGGGGCCCATGGAGAAGCAAAGAGGAAGGAGAGGGAGGGATGACGGAAGTGGATTGGGCCAGCTGAAAATCCTAGCTGTAAATGCCAACAGGAGAAGCAGGACCCAGGCTTCTTCCCTGACCTTCTCGGGATTGATTCTGTCATTTTGCAGGTTCCTCGGGCATTTGTGAACATGGTAAATGCGCTTGAGATCATCAAACTGAGGGAGATATACCTGGATACTAGAGTCAGCTGCCCTCGGCTGATCCTCAGGTCAGGCAGAAACTTTTCCTCCTGTTTCTGAAAGGGCCAAGGATTCTTAACAATCTGTTAGAAAAAACCCAGGGTAGAGGAGAACTGATATCACCCCATTTTTTAACCCAAAAAGTCTCACTGGGGGACCTCTCAGGGTTTTTTAACCCAGTATAGGCTTTAGCTACCTCCCTCAGCCTGCATGTGTAGAACCTAACCCTGTGGTTGCCATGGCAGCTACAGGACACCTTCATCCTGCGAGAGGAGAGCAAGGCATAAGGAATAGAGTCAGGCCACATGAGCAAGATTTAAGGAGCATTCAGGTAGTTGCTAAGACCTACTTCACCATGTGTCCAGAATGTTCCTGTCCCTTCCTACAGGCCCATGGTCGGTATGTGTGCTCCAGGCTGGACATTGACAAATACAGGGCCACTGTCACTTACTAGAGGAGGAAGTGGCCAATCAGAATCAGCAGAGTGCATAGGATAGGGCTTTCCCCAGAGAACAGAGTCCCCTGGTCCTGGGAAGGCCCCTGAGAGGCAGTCTTCATCACTCAGTCTCCAGAGCCAAACAAAGATGGTTTCCCTGTCTAGTATTGCACATTTTCATGGCTCTCAGGAATAAAATCCTTCTAGCTGAAGCATGACCATTTCTTATATCACTCCTTCCTGAAAGTCCTCCTCTGGACCATTAGCCCAGGTCACAGTGGCTATGCATCTCTGCCCCTACCCTTCCACCCCCACAGCCCCATATCTCCGTCCAGGCCCCCACCATATTCCTGAGCACATCACGTGGTAATTAGTCACCCCCACAGCCTGTGACCTGAGTCACTGCTAGCACAGTGGAGGGGCTCAGCTGCTGTTTGCAGTATGACTGAATGAATAATTCACAAGGGCAACCTTGTTCTTGGAAATTAAAGGGTATGCTGGCTGATCCCCTGAGGATCCATGCCAAACCCTCCAGCAGGGGTGGGGGTGGGGAGGTGGGGGAGCAGACTGCCTAGAGAAGGCCTCAGGGTGCTGTGAGCAGAGAGAGGCTGGCTGCCCAAGTGACACATGCTTGTTAATGCAGCTGGTGTCAGGCATGCTATTTTCAGCTGCTGACTCATCTGCTGCCTCCCCCTTCTCCAGTCCCTTGGCCACATGGGGGCTTCAGTGTATCCACTCCACGTCACAGCAAAAGGTCTCTTGCTACCACTCACTGTGACAATTAAAGGTTTAAAACTTTAGGTTCAGGGTAGGCATTTGCCAGGTCTGTTTGAAGATCTGAAATGGCTAAGTCACTGCATGTCAGCATTGGATGGATTCAGGATCACCTTGTCCTGTGACTCCAGTGCTCCCCACGCCCCACCTCCCTGCCATTCTGTCTCAGTGGCCGAGTTTCCTCGGTGGTGCTGGGTCTACAAAGCCATCTGTGCTATTATTGCCTCATGCATTGAACCAAAAGCCCAGATTTGCCTGATGGCCAGCCAGGAGCTGATCTGCAGGGCTTCAGACTGGACAGAAGCAGTTTAGTATAGAAATTAAAGTTCAGGGTCAAAGCCAGATAGATTTGAGTTCAAGTCCCTGCTTCTACAATCTGTATGGATATGTGAGAAAAGTTATTTAATCACTCTGAGTCTCGGTTTCCTTTCCTTTCTTTTCTTTCCTTTCATTCTCTCTCCTCTCTCTGTGTCTCTGTCTCTCTCTCTCTCTGTTTATGTGTGTGTGTGTGTGTGTGTGTGTGTGTGTCTGTCTGTCTGTCTCTTTCTCTCTCTCTCTGTTCTTCTCTCTCTCATACTAGAGATCAAACCTAGGGCCTACTAGACAAGCACTCTAACAGTGAACTACATCCCCAGCCTTTTTAATTTTTTTAATTTTGAGGCATAGTATTGTTAAATTGCTCAGGCTGGCCTTGAACTCACAATCCTCCTGCCTCAGCCTCTGGAGTAGCTGGGATTACTGACATGCACCACCATACCCAGCTTTAGTTTTCTCACCTATAAAAAGGAGACAATGATAATTCAACTTCTAGAATGGTTGGAAGGATTAAACAAGTTAATAATACCAATAAAACTCTTACAGTGCTTGGCATAGCTAGCATTCAATGAATACTATTAATTATTATTGTTGCTGTCACTATTATTGTTTAAAAGAAGAAGTGCCTCTCTGCACAGCACTGACCTCAGACAGCCATAGGTGACTCAGCTTTCTTAAAGTCACTCTTATAAACGACAGAAGTGACTTTCACTTTTAAGAGCAATCTAGCTCAGGGAGATTTTTTTCAACTTCATTTGGCCCAGTCAACAGGCTCTCTCTTTGAACAGATTCCTAACATCTCCAACTTGAAAGGACGTCAGCTGAGTCTCAAGCTGATGTTTCCACCTCACTTGTTCAGGATGGTGATCTTGGGTTGGGGCCTCTCTTTGGTTTTGTCTGTAGATCTCTGTGTCCCTGTGTCCTGAAGTTTGATAATAACTCAACAGAACTTGCCGCCCTCATTGAAAGAAATAAAAAGTACCAGGTAAGCTGGGAAGGGGTCCTGTGACTGCCCAGGGCTGCAATGTGGATTGACAGCACTGTGCCAAGAAGAGTTGATGCTGGGTAACCTGACCCTGACTGGGTGGGTGCTGACCATTGACTGGAGTGCCCCTCTAAAGACATCAAGGGCAGAAGGGCTTCAGTTCAGCTCCTTTGATGCTTACAGTGAAGTCACAGAACACTTCTCTAAGAATCCCAGTTCCTGGCCTTCATGTGAAAATGAGTGTTTCCACTTGTCATGAACAAGCATGGCTTGTGGAAAGAAATCTCAGTGTAGGTCCGTATAGATCCAACTCCAACTCTCTGAGCTTCTGGCCCCTGTGTGGGTCCCAGAGGTTGCAGGACCCCCTTTCCTAGAGGATGACACATGTCCTGAGAGGGTGTGCTATCTCCACCCTCCCCTCCCAGGGAACAAGGCAGTCCTGGAGAGCACAGGAGAAGGAAAGTCAGAATATGATCTCTGTCTCGTGGGTTGTTCCTTTTAATCTTTTCTGATATCAGACTGGATTGTTGTTCTCTGAGTTCGTGTCCTGGCACAGTTATGACTGAAGGTGCTGGACAAGCAGTTAGGAGTTAAAGCAAGTTCACACCACAGACCAGGAGTTAAGAGTGAAGCAAGGGCAAAGTTTATTGAAAGGATAAGAAAGCACCTTGTCAGGTGGAGCTTAAGAAAAGAACTAAGCCAAAAAATGGCTGAAGTCTAGGAGATGATATAGAGCATTAACTAGCTTAGGTCGAGCTGTTGTACCTTGAAACTAAATTTGTGATTGGTTGGCTCTGAATCAGCTTTTGCTGAACTCAGCCTCTCCTTATCAAACTGAGCATTCTGAGAAGGTATAATCAACTTGCTTTGGCCTTGGGGCCCACATTTTGTGGCTGCAGTTTGTTATTTTTGTGAGAAACAATAGGTTTCTCACATTCTTTTTACATATCTGTTTCTAAAGTGCCTCTCTCATCCAAAATGGAGTCACCTCTGTCATTGCTCCCCTTACATTTTCTTCATCAAATATTTGACAGGACATCTGACTCTTTTGACAGTCTTGAGTTTTCCCCCAAGTCCAGTCACTTGAGGGGGACAAAGGTGACCTTCCTTCCAGAATGGGCTATAAACAGCCTGCAGAGGTGATCCATTCTTCGAAAGTCCCTGGGCTCCTTGGACGGAATTACTTTCCCCCTGCACACCCTTCTGGGGGCTGCCATCATGTGGGGTATGCTGGATTCAGAGAAATGAACCTTTCTTTACCCTCTGTTGTCATCACCCAGCTCTCTGGTGATGTTCTCCCCAGCTGTGCTTCCTTTGCTGTGAACAGGCACCTGCCACTGTGGCAAGGAAGTCTATAGCCTGCACCAGGAGACGGAGAGCTATGGCCATGGGAGCAGCCCTGGGCCACATGGGGTTTTTGAGTGCAAGCAAAGAAAGTTTGTGTTGTTTCTAGTTGACTTAAGTAGACCTGAGGCATCTCTGCCATAGGAGCTCTTCTCCTTTGGCCTGACCCTATGGTGACTTCTGAAGTGCCTACACTAATGTTCCCAGTTATGTGAGCCGGACTTCTCTCTCCTGCCGGTCTTGGCCCCAAATGCTGAAAACCCTTGTGAGCAGTGAAATGACAGTGTGCAGAAGTGGGGTAACTGGTTGTCTTAGAACTGAGCCCCAAGCAGAAGCTGTGAGGGTTACAACCTTTGTCACCCAACTAAAGAGATCTGAGATCCTCAAAGAAGCATACAACCCCCCTTCCATGCACAAGCAATATAAAATTCATTACATGTTGTTGATTCTCTTTTGATTTTTCTGAACAAATATTGGGCAGAAATAAATGTATTATCCAAAATGTCACTTAATCAAGCACCACCCCCAAGTCTTTAACCAGCAGAGCTTTAAAAGGGGTCAAGGACCCAGTGTGGAGGCTGATGCCTATAACGACAGCTACTTGGGAAGGAGGATGGAGAATTGAGGTCCAAGGCTAACCTGGGCAAATTTGTGTGACCCCCATCTCAAAAGCGAACTCGAGCAAAGGGACTCAGGGCATGGCTCTAGTGGTAGAGTGCAAGTACAAGGCCCTGAGTTCAATCCCCCCAGTAAGAAAAAAGGGGTGGGGTGGGGTGAAGAGTTCAAATTGATAGACTTAGGTTTCTCTTACCTTCCCTTTTTCTCAGCCTTAATCAAAATACATGCAGTTCCAGCAGAGGTGGGAGCCTGGAGATCACAGTAGGGCGGATCCAAATGTTCCTAGCTGGCTGGTAGTCAGCTGAGACTGCTGAAAGTTGATTTCACTTAACAGCCAGATTCTGTTTAATCCGTGTCTGAGAAGAAATTTCAAGGACCAAGCAGATGCAGAGAGGACCACCTGACTCCTGTCCCTTCTACTCCTGCAGGAGGGGACTCAACAGCTGATTGAAAGTGGGCAATACGACACAAGGGATGATTTTACTGTGGTTCTACAGCCATTCTTGCAAGAAGTGAACTTACCAAGGACCTCGGTAAAGCAAGCATGTGTCCTGGATGCCCAGGTGGTGCACAGCTGTTCTGAGAAACAGTTGTGCCTTCTGAAATCTCTACAACTGCCCCCTTTTTTTTCTGTCTGGTAACTAGGAAGGCCTGCCCGACCGGTCTTTCTTTGCACCTGACTGTTTCCACTTCAGTAGCAAGTCTCACGCCCATGCAGCCACTGCCCTCTGGAAAAACATGGTAAGACAGCAGAGGAGAGACTCATCCTCCAAGTCCCATTGCCTTTGTCCTTGCTCCTCCCTCCTCTGTCCTCCAACCCTGACCTGCATCCTGACCCTTCTGCCCTGGCCACTTCTTTCTCACTCTGCACCTTTCTGCTTTTTGGTTTAGCTGGAACCTGTTAACCAGAAGACAACACAGCATGATTTTGAAAGCGAGATCCAAATCGTGTGTCCGAACCAGGTAGAGTGAGAAGCTGTCCATGCAATACCTCCATGTGCAGCGTCTTCTCCAGGTTCCAGCTCACTAGGCTTTTCAGTTCACTTCATCCCAGTTCCTCAACCCACCCCACTCTGCCCACTTATCCACCCTATCTGGTATCCAGGCTAAATAATCAAAATGCCCCTCTGGTTGAACTGAAAGGAATGAGGACCCCCAGTGACCTGGAAGCCCTGAAATGCTCCTTGTCTGTGCATGGCAGGGGCCTTACCATGAGTCCAGGCTGAACACCTCTTTTTGGGCAGGCAAGAGGAGCATGGCAACTCTCATTCAAAAGGCTGGGAGCCAGGTAGAATGTCAAGGACAGGTGGGATAGAAGGACGCCCTGTCTTCATGTGGCCACTGCTTCTGTGACAGTCTGGAAAGAGTGAGGAATTGAGACTTAGAGTGATGTCTGATAGGATGAGGGTGGAGGGTAAGTTGAAAGCTGGAGCTAAGAAAGCAGACACCAACCAGAAGGGAAAAGAAGAACAAGACTCCTATTTTTATCTACAAATTCTTAGAGATGGATAGTTGCTGCCCTCACCCCTGTGAATTCCTCTGTGTACCCAGAAGGGTCCCAGGCTTGACACTGAGAAGCACTGTGCCAGAGCCTGCCTAGGCAGGAAGGATCCTAGGCGACTGCAGGGTAGGGTGGGCATGAGATGCCAGGGGTGCCCAGGGTGTGGAGACAGGGGATCCTATTAGCAGAAAGAGGTGCACTGTTGGAAGGGGGCAGGGTAGAATAAGAGAGGCATCAGCATCCTCCATCAGCAGGCCAAGCGGTGGACAGAAGATAGGCACACTCTTGGGAGCTTCTTAAATGTTTGTTCTAAATCTTGGTTCAGGTCTCAGAGAAGGCCCCAATGCATTCTGGGAGGTCAGCCTGGCTGGGAGAGACTGGGCTTAGAATGTGACACAGGGGAGGTGAGGGTGCATGTGTCCAGGCCAGGACTTACTGCAAGTTGGTAAACAGAGAGGCAAGCTGCACATGGAGCTATTGCCTTCCTCTTCCCACAGAACTCGCCGTTTCTGAGCACCTACAAGAACTACATAAAGGTAACTGCTTATTGCTTCCCTTTGACTCATCAGGCTGTGAGTTGGCATCCTGAGTAGAGATTGGCCCAGCAAGATGGGTGGGAAAATGGGTGAGAGTTCCCAACAGGCAGTCTGAGGGGTTCATAAAAGACATCCATCAGCCTACACTTTTAGACAGGGTGGAGGGCAGAGTAAACTCCAGCGATAATGGCTGGTCCAACCAATCAAACTACAGCTCTGCCAAGATGTGGCGAAGATAGCCATCCTCACAGAGCTGGAACAGGAACAGAGGGCAGGGTGGGTTGGGGTCATTTGATGAAGCCCCAAGTCTTGCCTTAAATGAAGAAGCAGTCTGAAGTAGATTAACGATCTCAACCTGAGAGCTGCTTTCAACTGCTATTTGAGGCCCCTCCCCAGGGGTAGGATCCAGGAATCTGTATTTTTTAAAGCCTCTTGCCCAGCCTCTCTGTCCTCTTTCAACCCTGAGATTCTGGGGCTCATTCTATGACCTTAGGACTATGGCACCCTGATGCTGTGCAAGGACCGAACTCCTTCTGCTTCAACCCCAACCTCAGGTAAGCCCCTGTGACATACCAGCACCCAGGGTCCTTCCACAAGGATTTCCCTACCAGTGAGCATCTGATAAGACATTCTATATGCTAACTACATACACAGTAATGAGAAGTGCTTGCTTCCTGTCTGGGGTGGACACCCATTTTGCCCTCGTCTGGCCTATGGCAATATCATTTATGGCAGGCTCCAAGGCATCTGGGGCCAGGAGCTGTTTCCTGCCCTCTTGCTTAGAAGGGGCAAGGTAGAGCAGCCATGTGAGCTCACCTGTGGCTGGCCCAGCCCTGTGGTATGGTGAAGCCCAGAGGTCAGGGGTCAGTCAGGGGGCTTGTCACCCCAAACCCTGCACTCATTGCTGTCTGCAGTAGAGCCTGAAAGGTTCTCTGGGCTCTTCAGAAGAGACTGGAGGACAGGAAAGGTCCATTGTAATTGCTCCTTAGACTCTTGGTGGAAGCCCAGAACCCAGTTTGAAATGGCTGCATAACAGGCCAGGCCCTTTTCCTCATATCTGATGGTGTGCTGTCACTCTGGTTAAGTAGGACACAATTAGCTTCTCATGGCCACCAGCACTAAAGTGGTGGGATCCTACTCTGCCTACCCTTCTTTCCCTTCCTCTTCCCTTGCTACCTTCCTTTCACTTATTTCTGTGTCCTTTCTTCCATCCTAAAGTAGGTCCCCAAGAGTTATAATAATACTTACGGGAAACTCTCCTTGTACAAAACCTCTTCTTCCATGGAGGTATGGGTGCCTAGTCCTACATGGTCCAAACATGCATGCAACTCTTGTTTCTGGTCTCGCTCGAAGCAAAAGCGTTACAGTCTGACTTCACCTTCCTTCCCGCAGACTCAAGCATATCCATTTATCTTTCCAGTGCACTCCCTGAGACCGGCAGACATCCAAGTTGTGGCTTCTCTGGGGGATTCTCTGACTGTAAGGACCTCTGGGCCCTGGGTGGGTTGGGCATGGCTGGGAGTTCCAGGTCCCACCATCCTCACTCCAGGAACTGCACTCCTGTTCTCTGTATTACCTTACCCTTCGGTGCTGGCTCTGCAGTCCAAGAGGGTGGGGACGATTTAATTGTGCAGGTGTGCAGGGGCTATCTTTTTTAGGGGTGAACTGAATTGTCTCCATTAGTAGAGGTTTGGACTACCCAACAGAAATATGGCATTTTGACTCAAAATTCTTCTAACCCTGCCTATGTGGGTGTTCTTCTCCCTTTGGATCATGCTTTATGGTCAGCTCAGTTCCCTACATCTGTTTCTTCTCCTCACTGGCATTGGAAAGCAGCTTCATCCATTAGTGGTAGATAAGCTCGTCCCCTAACTTCCTAGCACAGGGCTGTGGGCAGCCTGCCTAGAGCTATGGAAATGCCTTACGTCCTAAAGGGAAAGAGGCAAAATGTGAGATTTATGGGAAATCTCTCCAATGCAGCAGCTCAGGTCTATGAGCTCCTTCTTTATGTTCATAGAGAACGGAGGAGCTGAATCCTGGAAATAATATTATTGTCAGTCTCTCCATTTGTAAAGCACTTCAGAGTTTTCAAAATTTTCTGTACAATTATATCCGAGTTTGCCCTCCCCCCAGACCCCCTTAAGAAGAACAGGCTTGTCCTCTGCCAGTCATGAAAGGTGCACAGGTGGAAAGGAGGGTTGTAGATAGTGAGCACTGGTCTCCTGGCTCCCAATCTAGCTTTATTCCTGCTGTGATTAACGCACTAAGAATCCCCTCGTCGGAAGCCCCTTGTGTGTTCTCAGCCTCCCTTTTCTCTCGCTTGCTGATTTTCCTGTGGATTTTGGTATGTTTTCAAAGGCTGGCAATGGAATCGGCTCCGAACCAGGCAACCTCTCCGATGTCATCACACAGTATCGGGGACTCTCATATAGGTAATGTGAAGCCTTGACTTCCTCCTCCCCAGGGCTCACCCCTAGAGATTGGGTGGGGTCCAAATCCTGTAAAGCCACAAATCCACAAAGTGGGTTTTAACTCCTGGAAATCCACAAAGAGCAGGGACTAGGTTCAGAAGGAAACTGATATTGATCTGCAAACTGTGAACATTTGATAGCTGAGGAGGATGTTTTGCTGTTGATAATCTTTTTGTTTTTAAATTATACAGAAAAAGTAAACCAAAGTTCTTATCAAACTCCTGGGTCAGCAAATCCAACATGAAATGTACCTGAAAAGCACCAAATCCTTGAGTTTTCACCTGCCTGTTTACATGTGTTTGTGCATGTGGCGATGCTCCTGCGTCTCTGTCTACGTGTATTTATTTATGTTGTTCTGTAGTCACACCTCTACCTGCATACATATGTACACATCTGTACAGAAAACTTCTAAAACCCAACACAGACTTCTGGAGGAAAAATTGAAGAGAAAGTCACAGTCACAGCCCTTCCTGTGAGCTGGCACGATGTGAGCAGTTGAGGCTGGTGGGTGAGGTATCTGTTAGATGTATGCTCGATTGGCAAGTGCTCTTGAGATATGAGACACCTGAGTGCTACAGGACTAGAGACAGGGAGTGACCCACCCTGCCTGCAGGGATGGGAAAGCTTCCCAGACAAGCTGGTGCCCAGCAGCAGAGGAGTGAGAAAGGGTAACCCAGACACAGAAGTAGAAAAGCTCAGGTGTCAGGTGAGCAGTGGGTGTGGGTATTCTTGTTTCTTTCCTAATAAACTTCATGTGTATGTACACTTCAACGTCATTTGGCAAGTAGTTCAGAATTTATCTGGGGAACAAGTAGACCAAAGCCAGCCACGAGAGGGCAGAACCTCTGCTGACGAGCAGTGGGAGCACGCTTGTACCTCCTTTTTTGTAGAGGTGAATTTGTTTGAACTGTTTCCCCAAAGAAAGCCTGAGGGAACAAGGTGGGTGACAGTTCTCTGAGCAGAGGTGAGGAGAGTCTGAGAGAGGCATCCATGGTCACCCACAGTAGGACCCAGCATATCCTTGGCCTGATGACATCCTCACTTCCCTGAGAACTGAGGTAACTGCTTTCCAGCTCTGAGGTCCCCAAGTTTCAACATGTCCTCAGCCAAGACTCTAACCAACTGCATGGAACAAAACAGAGCTTCAATTACTCACTATCCTCCCAAATGCATGGGGGATGTTATAAGAAAAAGAAAAACCAAATCGAGGGAAAGAAAGCAAGGCTTACTACAATCCAGAAAAGGCATGGGTGTGGTAGCTGTACTTGTTCTAAGCTAAGAAGGCAGCTACCTCACATCACAATATGGGGAAATAGAAAATGAAGCAAACCAAATCAGATAGGTGAGCTATACCTGGCATAGCATCCTGGAGAAGAACTTTATAGTTGAACTAGATAGGCTCCCAGGATTCAGATACAGAGGCAATCTTCTAGAAGTTTCTGTCCACAACCATGGGAAATTTAGCCATTGCTTTGTTCCTTCCTGTGAATGAAATGTCTTAATTTTTTACTTCTACTCCAACAACCCATGGCCAATGGCTATCCCTTTAAACCCTTTATTTGTCTTAAATGTTTCAAATATCTGCCCCCAAATGCACCTGTGTTAAAGATGGAAATTCCAGGTCAGAGTCTAAGAGAATCGGACTCATGGCAGACTATACAGATTAGTGTTTCTCAAAGTATGTTCCATGGAACTTTAACGCCATCTAAGAAGGGAAAATTCCGCTCTGGGGAATTCACATTTATCTCTGCATATTAAAGGCTCTGAGAAGCACTGCGTCGAAGAAATTTCAAATTTTATTTATTCCAGTGTTTCCCTTAATTCCAGAATGCTTTCTTTGTTCATTATATCTACTTACATCCCCTGGGAAATGACCATGTAGCAGATTAATTGAAGAAAAGCAATTTTTGGAGCCATTAAAGCTTCTAGCTTGGAAATACTAAGCAATTAATAATTCCAGGTTAATTAAGGACTCAGTCTGAGCCTCTTCCGCTAAGGAAGCAGTAGAAAGAGTGGATGTCATGGGACTAGGGGAGAAGTGGGTCCAGGGTTCCTGGAGGATGGGTGGCTGTGAGGCCCCTCGACCTGTGAGATCAAGAACCAACAGATGCCTCCAGGTTCACTACCTTACCAATGCTCAGGCTGAAGTCTTGAGCACACAGCCTTTTCTTCCACAAACACAGTGGCTTGTATGGGATCATTCAATGGACCAAAATAAAATTTATTTACCAAAAAATGCATTTCCTTGTTTTTTTTTAATTCATATCATTGAGGCCCTTTTAACAAACATGACAGCATCTACCCCACCTTTTTGTACTCTGTGGGTGACAACAGGTGAACAAAGCTTAACCATTGAGCACGGAGTGTCATAAATTATATTCATGAAGAGACTAGCAAAAACAGCTATTTGGCATGGGTCTATTTTTCATAGTTCTGATCAAAATGGTAGCTTAGTTTTGCTTCTCTGTATTCATTTGTATGATAGTTTTGGTTTACCTCCTAGACATTTTCACTCTAAAATGACACAGCAGGGCTGGAGGTGTGGCTTGAGCAGCAGAGCTCTGCCTAGCAAGAGCAAAGCCCTGAGTTCATACTCTAGTACTGCCAAAACATAAATAAATAAAATGTCATAAGGGAGGGACTTTCCCAGCCTGTGGCCTTAGTCTGCCACCCCTTATTTTAGCACCAAGATATATTTAAACAAGAAATTACAGTAGAAAGTACTTGATGTATATATTTTTGTGAATGTTTTCATGTTTACATGTTTATTGAGGGGGAAAAAGGGGTAGTTAGAAGACAGAGTCTGGAGGAGGTATTTGGATTTATAATTTCCTTTCAAATGGAATATGCTCCAATTTAATACCTTTGGTCCAGAGAAAGGAGGATCAGGAAGCAGTTAAAGTAGCAGTTTTGGGCAGAGTTGGAAAAGAATCTGCAGTGCAAATGAATACCCCACCATTGACCAGCTTAGGTTCAGATCTCTGATGGGCAATGGGAGCATGAACTGAGTAAGGCCGGAGGACAAGGCTTACTCTGGCTTCTTTTTCTCTACCTGGGCTGCTTGCTGAGCCTGTGGCTTAAGCCCTTGATCATTCAGGTATGAAATGTTCAACTTCATTCCACCACTCTTTGAATGAAGAGCAGCTATGACTCATGGCCTGCCATGGCCACCAGTCTCTTCTGGTAGGTTGGATGCTAAGGCTGTGTTCTTAAAATCCATTGGCCTGGAATAACATGCTAGGACCCAGGAAAGAACCAATAAAGAAAAATATTGATAAATATGGAACATCTGAACATTGACTTTTGTTAGAATAGACTGCTGCCTGTATATTGTACTCAATTTAAGCATGTGGAAGGAAATGGAATCTTTAAGTGTGTCATGAGGTTAAGTTAGATGGGGCACTGGAAGGCAGTGAGTGACCACCATGCTCTGAATCTTCCAATGGAATTTACCTGATAACTGGGCAGAGAAGAGCTTATCTGTGTTCTAAAGGTTTCCAGCTGAAACTGGGTTTTAGTTACTTTCAGCAACTTAACCAACCTCTTTGCACCTCAGTTTCTGCTCTGTCAAATGGAGATAGCCATGCCCACCTCATCCACTTATTAGGAGCTGAGAAGCAAGGCAGAGAATCTGCCCATGCTGGGCCCACAGCATATTCTCAGCTAAGCACTCTCCTTCCTGATTTGGTAAAGCAAAGAAAGATCTCACTCTCTTTGACCTTCAAATCCTGGATTGGGGGAAAACAATCCATCGGTGAATGTAGAATTTTCTCAGGATTCCTCAAGTGCTAAGAAGGGTAGATTTATTATTGGTAAAGTTTATATATTGACTCAGTCTCTCTCCTTCACTGGCTTGCTTACTCCCTACAGTTCCGGTGGAGATGAATCCCTGAAGAATGTGACCACTTTACCTAGTAAGTAATTGCCAAGAGCTGAAGTGTTTCTACTTGGTCCAACTGACCTGAGTCCTCCTGAGAGTGTCTCCCAGCTAAGAAAGGAACAAATAACATATCCCTCTGGACCACCACTGAAGTGGAGGAGAGGTGCTGGACAGGCAGCCAAAGGGGATGGAATGAACACTGGATTTGGTGCCTAAAGACCTGTAGACTTCTGCCCCTCTATGTGCTTATGAGGTGACCTACACCTCATGTTTTTCCAACTGGTCCAGGGAGTACTGAGACAAATTAGATAGGGACCTTTCATTGTACTGTAAATTGTATAAAGATCATTTTTAAGGTTCTTGCTACCTTGGCCCACATATCATCCAGTCATTACAATTCAGAAGATCTAGGTTATGTTGGGTACATGCACAGCCCTTCCCCAGGAAGCATGAGGGATGATGGTGTGGCCCACCATAGAAACCCTGGGCCCCATGGTAGCAGAGGAGACATCCTGACTATTGTCCTCAGCTGTCCAAACTTCCTCTTCCAGATATCCTCCGGGAGTTTAACAGAAACCTTGAGGGCTATTCAGTGGGCACCGGTGATGCCAGTGCCACGAATGCGTTCTTTAACCTGGCTGTTCCTGAAGCAAAGGCTGAGTTGAGTATGGCATTTGGGAGGGGGGCTGGGAAGCAGGGAGCAGAAGTGTACAGTCCCTTTGAGATGTCAATACCAACTTCTGTGTGAGACAGACCCTTTATCCATCTATGGCAGCTTACCGTGGCCTAATGGTGCTAGAAAGACTCACTCTCCTCAGAGCCTCACAAGTAGCAATTCCCCCAAAAAGATCAGGGAAAGCCCACCAACTGGATGGGCAAGCCAGGATCCCTAGCCTGAAGGGCCTCTGGGCAACAAGTCTCATCCACTCCCTAGTGCTGTTACGGAGCTAGCAAGAATGGAGTGGAGAAATCCAGAGGCTGCTGAAGCAGAACTGCCCAGCCTCCTGGGATGGTCGCCAAAAGGGGCTGTCATCCTGCTCCTAGAGGCCCCAGAAGCCTAGGGTTCTTGCTCCATGGCACTCCTGGCCCAGCCGTCTGAGCCTCTTGCTATGTGTCATCTCTTTGCTCAGGTCTACACCCTCTGGTTGGTGGGTACTGCACACAGACCTGCTCACTGGGCTTGGTTAAAAGTGCTTGAGGTCTATTCCTCCCATGTATTAGAAACCAAGGCATGTGCAGAGTGTGTGTGTACTCCCATCTCTTTCTGAAAGAAGCATTTAGATAAGTTCACAAAAATAGCAACATATATAATTTCATACATATAGTGGCTATATATGTACATGTGTGTGTGTATATATTATTGTATGTATACATATCACGCACACACATACACATATATGACATCATGGACATTAGGAAAAACACAAAAGAAGCAATTATGTCAGCATGAGCATTTTTATGCTTGAGCGTCAAATTCTCAGCCTCCTGGAAGCCAAAGTGGGAAGAATAAGCATGCTAAAACTTTCATAGGTCTAATTGCATGACCCAATCTTTCAAAAGGGAAAAATAGGCCAGGCAGGTGGTGCATGCCTGTAATCCCACCATTCAGGAGACTGAGACAGGAAGATTGGGGCCAACCTGGGCTATATAACAAGACCCTGTCCAAAAAAAAAAAAATCAAACCAAAAACCCAAAAGGCAAATGGTTTTTTAGCACGGAATCTTAAAAGACATTTTACATTTAGAGCCCTTCAAAGGTCATGAGCAGCAAATGTAACTGGAAGAACCTTTGACTACAACTTTTAAGACAAATACATACTTGGCTTTTCCAATGGTTATTTGTTGTAATAACTCTCCAGAAAGGATGCAAATCTTCTGGTCTCTGAGCATCAGGCTCTCTGCAACTCATGCAGTGGGAATATCATGGAAGACTTTAGTTAAAGGCCTTTTGAGAGGAAAATCATGAGCACAGTTCCTCAACAGGACTGACTTTCTTTCTCAGGGATCTCGTGGGCCAAGCCCAGGCTCTGGTGCAGAAGATGAAAGATGACCATGTGAGTCACGTTTATGGTTATTTATGAACACTAATGTTGCCACCAAATGGAATGGTCTGCCATGAAAAACAGTGAGCCCCCTGCACTAGAGGCATCCAAGCAGAAGTAGGGCAGCTTCCTGTCCAAGGGCCTCTGGGGGATGTCATCTCAATGGGGAGGAGATTGCTGATGGTCACAATGACCTCAAAAGTCCCTCCTGATGCTAAGATCCTGGTCTATAAATAAACCTGCAAAACTCCCTCAGCTCTGAGATTCTGATTCTGATTTCAAATGGGCGAGGAAGCCATAAAGGGTTGACTGGATTTCCTAGAGCTGTGATGTTTCTTATTTGTTGGAAATCATCCAGGATTTTCCTCTTTCCATGTAGAGAGTAAATTTCAATGAAGACTGGAAGGTCATCACAGTGATGATTGGAGCCAGAGATTTGTGTGACTACTGTATGGATTCGGTAATGGGGTTGGAGTCCCGCTCTGCTGTTGCTCATGACTTTGTCCAGTAGACCCAGGAGAGAGAAATTCCACAAACTAACCCAGAAGTAGCCAACTAAACTTATTTTGGCACATGTGCATGCCCAATTCTCTCTCTCCTCTCTCTCTGTCTCTCTCTCTCTCTCTCTCTCTCTCTCTCTCTCTCTCTCTCTCTCTCTCTCTCTCTCTCTCACACACACACCTTACTTCATGATGCTTAGGCTCCTGGCACCATCTGTCCCAGGTGGTGAGGTAGCAGGTAGCAGATGTGCAATACTTCCACTCCTCTCTCTAACAACTTTTGAGAACTCAGAAAGGGAAGAAACTGTAGAACCTGAGCAGTTGGGAGAGGACTCTTCATTTCCAGCTCCTAAACTGAAGCGCTGGTGGAAGGTTCCTTCTTCTAGCTGGCTCATCTTTGACCACAGTGAGTAGTCAGCTATTCAGCTCAGATTCTGACCTATTGAGCTAGTGAGAGCTGAAAGCCTGAGGGAGAACAAGTTCTTAGGGCTAAAGCCAGAAGGAGAGCCTACAAATGCTTCCCTGCCTTCTCACCCGAACTGGAAACTCCTTTCCCTCCCTGCTTCTCTTTCCAGAATCTGTATTCTGCAGCCAACTTTTATGACCATCTCCGCAAAGCCTTGGACATACTGCATAGAGAGGTGGGTGGGGATCCCATACCTGCTGATAGCCCTGGCATGGTGGAAGTGATGGTGGGGGGATGAAGGGTGAAAGTTTTCCATCCTTTCAAGAAGAGAGCCAAGGGCATGGGCTCTGTCCCTGTCCAGAGGTTCGGGTCTAGCCCCCAAGGAAGCCTCATTCTTTTTGAATCAGCCAAAAAAAAAGGACCTTAGGCTTAAGGAAAGGAAGGCAGTGTGTTTCTCCACCACTACTCAGGTCATTCCTTAGAAGCAGCATCCAAGTGGTACCCCAGCTGGGCACTGCATTCTGAGCTACGGGGAGTAGTAGCTAAAGTGGGGTGGTCTGTTTCTGCAACCAGCCTCATGTCTTCCCTCCCCACCACTACCCCCCTGCCCAGGAGGGAACATTCTTGACCACCAGATGCCCTGCTGGGTGACTGAGTCCCCATGCCTACTCATCAGGGGCAGACCAGATTGGGCTGAGGGGAAATGGTCAAGGGCCAATGCACTGGTGAACAAGTCACTTAACTCACCAAATTTAAAACTAACATGTCTGGGCTTGCTAAACAGACATGGCTGAACAGAGCTGAACTCTTAGCATTTATTGTCCCCCACTGGTAGCCGTGTGGTGCCTGGCCTGTACTGCTCTGGGTGGTGCCCTACGTAGACAACTTCCCAGAACTCCATTGGAGGGGTGGACTGAGTCCCTCAGTCTAAAGCCAGTCCTCACTTATGGTCCCAAGGCATCCTGAAGAAAAGGCCTTGGAATCCTTGTCTCAACTGAAGTTTTGCCCTTAGGTGCCCAGAGCCCTGGTCAACCTCGTGGACTTCATGAACCCCAGCATCATTCGGCAGGTGTTCCTGGGGAACCCAGACACGTGCCCAATACAGCAGGCCAGGTAGGCAGGTGCTGACTGCCTAAACTGCAGACACCCTCACCCCTAGCCGGGCACACATGCTAGTGAGTCTCTGTGGCTTGATTTGTCCACAGGTCTATGTTTATAAAACAGGGCTTATGCCAGAATCATCCCCTTCTGGTAGGTGGGAGCCTTAACCTTTCCCCTCCTTACCCAGTCCCAAGGTGCTAGGTGCCAGGCAGAAATTTTTGTGATATCTAGAGCAACAAGGGCTGATGTTTAAGAGACAGAGCAACTCAGATTGCAAAGGGGCAACATGGAGGTAGGTGTGGATGTGTAGCTAAATTGTAACAGACAGCAAGAGAAGATACATATGAGCGAGATATTTTATGAGGAAGAGAACTGAAAAGGACATAAGGGAACTTCACACTGGGACTGTTTTGCTGCTCAAGCTGGGCAGTCGACGTATACCTACACTGACTGATTTAACAAATCTCACAGAACTGACTGTGCGCCAAGCACTCGTCTAAGTACTAGAAGTACACAGCCCCTGATTGTTCATGTGGACTTATTTAAATGCCAGCTGCCTTCAGAGCACTTTCTCCAGTACTTGGGCAGGTGCTTCAGAGCCTCGAGGTATACATGCTCCAAAAGCAGAGCTTGAGGGAACCACTGCACCCCAGCCCAGGCAGCCAGAAGCAGTCCCCGAACAGAGCTTTGACACTGGGTTCTCCTGCCTCCCCCTCTGTGTGCAGTATTTTGTGCAACTGTGTCCTGACCCTGCGGGAAAACACCTATGAGCTGGCCAGGTTGGAGGTCTTCACCAAAGCCTACCAGGTTTTTATTCACCTACCTTCCAGTTTTTATTCCTTATGAGACTTCCTGCCCAGCCCTTCAGCAATTGTAGACTACTTAAAACCAAAATTAAATGTGACCCATCACTTCCAAATTCTCTGGAATGGTATTTGCCATTCTTGTGTTGTGTTCTCAAGAGAAAGGTGGAGTCAGCTTCCCTGTCCAGGGGGATGAGGGCAGAGATGCTGTTTGCTACTGCCCTTGCCCTACCCTGTGCTGAAGGTCCCCATGTTTGTGAATGTCCCCAGAGCAGCATGCGTGAGCTGGTGGAATCAGGCCGCTATGAAACACGGGAGGACTTTTCCGTGGTGCTGCAGCCCTTCTTCCTCAACATCCAGCTCCCATCCTTGGAGGTATGCTCCCTGCCCCCACCATTGACTAAGGAGGGAGAGCTTTCATGGTGACCTTAGAACAGGCCAGGCAAGGCAGAGATGCCAAGTGCTTCCATGAGCATGTCAGTAAACCAACAAAGATGCAGAAAGCTCTCCAGACACTGTGCTGGCAGGTGCAGTGACCTTGAACACCTGAGCCACATTCCCAGGGGCAGCCTGACGTGGGGAGTTCCCAGAGTTCCTGAGATAGTCTCATTGTACTGAGCAGCCACTGTGGGCCAGGTAGTGTGCTTCCCACAGATAAAATCACAACTGCCTTTGGAAGTGTTGTCATGCCTAGGTAACAGAGGTACAGAGATGTGACACTTCCTTCCTAAAATCAGGTGGGAAATAAGGGACAGAGAGGCAAGAGTCACAGTTATCCAACTCCACATTATTTACCTCTCCCACATGCGGCCCTGCAGTTAGTTATAAAGGAGGGCTCTAGCTGGACATGTTGATGCACACCTCTGATCCCAGCACTTGGGAGGCTGAGGCTGGAGGGTCTTGAGTAAAAAACAATAAAGGAGGTTTCTGGCAGTACACTTCCATTCTCAGCATGCTCCTTGCCTGGTGCTTCCACAGCACAGAAGAGATCCGCAAGGGGACCGGGTCAGGCCTCCATTCCAAGGGCCTTAGCTGACTGGAGGGAAGCTGGAAAGAGACCAGCGTTGTGCATATCCAAGTGCCACAAGGGAGAACAGCTGGAGTCAGGTGGCACTCTACCCTGATGCCAGCTTTTCCTAAGCTTGCCCTGGGCTTTGGTCCATTCTCCCCACCAAAACCTCCAGGAGAAGTGTGCTGAGGGCTGGAAAGTAGCCTTTGACCTTGTCTGGTCATGACTCATTCAGGGGAGAAGCTCACTCCCTCACCCATGCCACAGGCTGGAGCATCATACAAATGTGCCTAAAAATAAATATAGCACTTTATTGTTAAATAAGGGGGACTCACGGGTACAGAAAGGAGAGTGGGGGCATGGAGTCACACAAAGCTATTCACCTGTGAGATTGCTCTCATCTCCCTGTCAAGACGACCAGATTCTGTAGGGCTGATGGCCTGGGGCACCCCCCGGGGGAGAAGGGAATTTCATGGTCAGTTCCAGGGGTCAGATCAATGGGCTGTAGCTCCTCTAATCCTGCAGGATCTTGAGAAGTACATTTGTCTCTTTCAGAATGGACGTCCAGATAAGTCCTTCTTTGCCCCAGACTGCATCCACCCAAACCAGAAATTCCACTCCCAGCTTGCCAGAGCCCTTTGGGTCAATATGGTAAGACAAGGGAGTGCCCCTGGAGTTCTAGTCTAGAGCAAAGCACCAGCTCCTATGGAATGGGGGCAGGCCCAGAAGAGCACATTTATAAGAGTTACAGAATGGAACACAGGGAGTCCTTCAGCTCGGCTTGACCAGGTTCTACCGCCTGCTCTTTTGCCAGGAAGTTTAGGCCATGTAATCTTAGTTTTGCTTCTCTATAGCCCTGAAAGATAACTATTATGAGTTTTTTGAGGAAACTGAAGCAAATCCCACCACTGGCACCTGGCAGAGCCAGGAGTGGAAGCCAAGCCCCCTAAAATGAGGCTCTGAGCCTTCCTGCTGCAGAATACCACAGGGAACGTTCACTTTAGTGGAAACAAAGTAATGCATCTGGGTCCCTCTTTTTCTTCCCTGAACAGCTTGAACCACTGGGCAGGAAAACGGATACGCTGAATCTGGCAAAAGAAATACTCCTGACCTGTCCCACCAAGGTAATAAGAGTAGACCAGTTTTGCCCCTTTCCAGAACCAGAGCCCAGACCTGTCCTTCCCCCCCCATCCTCCTGCCCAGCTTCCTCAGGGCCCATCTCTCCCCCAGGCTGGAGCTTATCTGGGAGGGAGGCATGGGAGATGGACTATGGAGGACAGTGAAAAGTCGCATAGAACAGAGTACAAACGTAGTTACTTTGGGGATGGGTAAAGCAGCTGGGCCCATGCTGAGGGAGAAGATCAGGGTGTGAAGAGGGCATTTTCATGAAGGGCAGGAGAAGCCCAAAGGACGAGAGGCTCATTTTGTTGCAGAGGCATTCAGAGCAGATGAAAATGTCTGACTGCAGGTGGGAGATTCAGCGAGGGGCAAAGGCTCAGAAGTAGTGGTGAGAAAGCATAGCACATGGATTGGGTGGTTTCCAGTGCAGAAAGGGTCAGAGAAGGAGTAGCAAAGGGAGGATCCCAAGCTGTGTGGCAGAGGGAGTAGGAAGACTGTCTGTGATTGGGGCTCCTTTTAAGGAGGAGTATGTAAGTGGTTGTTAAACTTGACTTCAGGCCTGGGGTGGGGGCAGGTTCACGTTCCCATTGCCTTTAGCTCCAGTTTCTTGGTCCTGTCTTATGGCTTTTTAACCAAATAAGGCTAAGACCCAAGATCCCTCAGTGGCCATAAAAGCAGAGGGCCTGACCTAATCTGGGAGGCTAAGTTTTCTGCCTGGGTAGGGTTTTACCAACCTTTCCCACCCTCCCAACCGAGCAGAGCCGGGGCATGGGCCTGCAGCTCCCCCGTGTGACTGCTGGGGTGCCCCTGCCCAGACCTGTGTTCCCTGTATGCTGCTTTCCTCACCCCAGTCTTGGGTACTGGATAAGTGTGATGTGTCATGAGCAAAGGTGGCTTGAGGAAGGGCTGGGAAGTGAGTACAGTGATGGTAGAAGGCTCAGCTGCGGGATCTGGTACCCAGGGTTAAGAGTCATATCATGCAACCCATGGATGGATGTTTCAGTCCCAATGGTCAGATGGTAGCCAGAGGGCTGGGGCAAAGGCCCTGTGTTCCAGATGTAAGTCCTTTCATTGCCAGGGACTAGGGCAATTGGGCAATGGGGAATCAAAGCAATGGCTATAAACTCTACAATAAGTGAGCATTTCAATATTTTAACAATCCCTACGGCCATGTTGAATATCAGTAACGAAAGCCCCTCCAAACGGCCAACTCGTTTTCCATTAAACAGTAAAAGTAAAATTCACACCAAGCAGCCATCATTTTCTTCTTCTCCCAACAAATACATATGTTAAGTACCAAGTTGGAGCTCCATGGACCACAAGGCAACCTCTGTTACACTATACCAGGCAGGGAGCCCAAATCAATGATGCTCTGCTCAGCATCTCAAGCCACCAGTGGACTCAGTTCACTTCTGGACAGAGCCTGGTGGAGCCATGGGTGAGCTGAGAAGTCAAATCCAGCCTCCTAGAGCCAGTAAAAGCCCAGCTCAGAAGAAGCTGTTGCTAAGCAACCCTGGAGCCCATTTCAAAAGGGTCCATCTGTTGGCCAGCCCAGTTTCACTGCACTGTGCCTCAGGTGCCATCTGCTCCCTGCCATGTGCCTCAGAGCCATACAAAAGTCCACTAGCATCTCAGTGTGAGCTGACAGGGGCCAGGCAGCACATATTTTCATCCTAGCTGTGTCTAAACATAGAAGCAACAGGCAGGACGTAGGGGAAGGAGGTGGTGAGATGAATGTGAGCACTAACTAGCTTCTCCTCCTCCCTTCTCCTCCCCCATCCCTGGCCCCACTGCTAGCACATTCTGCTGTGCCAGGTAGGGTGACTTAACAGCACTCCTGTTGTTTTGTACAGGTTGCATGAATTATTTTATATCCAACTCTTGATTATCTCTGTGAATATTTTCCCCTTCCTACCTTAATCAACTCTCCGCCTACTCCCTCCCTGACGCCTGGACAACTGGCTGAACCATCAGGAAGATCAGCTTGGTCCTTTTTCAGCCCTTAGTCTTCTGGGCCTCACTTGTCATCTCCTCCTTGAAATTTACTCCTCCGTGGGCTTATGGAGACTAAGCCACCTTGATTTTTCTAGCTGCTATTCCTTCTCATCTCTCTTAATTACACTCCTCTCTTCTAACCCTGAAGATGCAGAGTTTCTCCACCTTTCACATCTCAATCTATTGTCTTTTCTCTCTCTCCACATCCCCTCACTGAAGTTCATTCATTTCCAGGATTTCATTGCTCTGCATTTCTCCGTCTCTCAATCGGTGTCTTCATTTCTTCTTTCCCAAGCTCCAGTCTTAAAATCCCAGCCCTTAAAATATGTTCCCATGGAGGCACTATATTGGTGTAAGGTTACTCAAAAGGCAGATTCAATGATGGGGAAGCTAGAGAGAAAAAGAAGGAGGGAAAGGGAGAGGGCTGAAATAATGTCACGGATTTCATCTTATTTTTTATCATGAGGAAAAGCAAAGTTTGTTGAACTCCCTTAAACTTATTGCTTAGCAGTTTTTCTACTTCAAGTTACATATAGTGGACTTGTTAATGCTCAGAGATACTAAATATCCTAATCCTACTCTGACCCCACTCTTGCCTCAAAGTTAACATTCATTTATTCAAAAACTTTTTTTTTTTTTTTTGGTGGGACTTAGGGCTTTGCACTTGCAAAGCAGGAACTCTACTGCTTGAGTCACACCTCCAATCCATTTTGATCTGGTTATTTTGGAGATGGGGGTCTCTAGAACTATTTGCTCAGGCTGGCCTCAAACCATGATCCTGCTGATCTCAGCCTCTCAGGTAGCTAAGATTACAGGCCTGAGCCACTGGTGCCTGGCTCAAAAACTAACTTTTTGAGCATGGAATATCTAAATAGGAACTGAATGTTTATCATTCCAAGCTCTCTGCTCCTAAGACTTCCCACTTCTGCAGCATTATTGTGGTTTCCAAATTCCCCGGGCAGAAACTCCAGGCACCCTGCCTAGTAGGACTCTTACCAATACCCCTCTCCCCATTCCCACAGTCCCCATGTGGCTTGCACCCTCTTCATACCTTCCCATTATAAAGCAGTAGAGAATTAGACGGCCTACGGATCTTGGAGGGTGGGCCTTAGAGAGCTACTGATGCCCTTTCTCAAGGGCATATCCCTCCCAATCCCTGCTTACCCTTCCACCTTTTCTTACTTATGGCTGCTTTTCAAACTGCTGAGGGCTACCCATCAACAGGTCATGCTATCCACAAATGTAGGTAAAGAACCAACACATTCTGAACTGAATGGGATGGAGTAGAACATACCAGAGGGCATTCCATGGAGCACTAATATACTCTCTTCCCTCCTACTGCCACTTACTATGGGCTCTCAGCCATTTCTTGCAGACATGACTGCTGACCCCTGCCTCAAGAAGGCATTTCCCCTTGAAATATGGCCCTTTTAAGTTGGTGATTGTACCCTCTTTTGGATTCAAGTAGCACAGCACAAAAAAAAAAAAAAAAGCACCCCTCCTTCTCTGTGAACATTTATACCTAATATAGCCAGGGTAGGTGTGGCCTAGTCCCCCAGTCACTGACTCAGCTTCTGGCTCACAGCAGGTGGTCATCTGGGCTCCCTCTCCCAGGCAGCCCACTGTCTCCACACAGTTGCAACTAGACAGCTTCCTTGTGCTGGCATTCAGTCAGCTTCACCTTCTACCTGCTCATGCTCCCAGCCTAAACCTAGAGAATCCCTCTTCTATGAAATCATTCCAGACCTTTAAGCCACTCTGACTCATGTGCACCAAGCCATCCATGGTCAATAAAACCACGCCCTTGGAACCCAGCTCACCTGTCTGCCACTACCATCTACCTGTTCTGATGGTTCCTGCCCTGGCCTCACTCCACTGCATTCCAGTATCTCCTTGACCTCTGACTCTTTCAGCACTATCTCCCTTGCCCCACCCCACTTTGAAACCACTTTAGATCCTATGATCAAATGGACAGGACCAAATAGGTTCTGCTGTTTGACTCTCAGCTCTCCCAGAAGGGCAAGGATTATCTTTGCCCTCTCCTTCTTCCTATACTGATCACTCTGAGGCTAGCTCCAGCCCCCGGACTCCACCAGGGCTTCCCTGTGGAGGGAAAAACAGAGTTAGTAACAGCCTCCTCTAACCTCCATCTTGCCTTGAGGAGTGTGGGGGTATTGCAGCAGTCTCTCAGCAATTACTGTGTTTTCGGGCCTGCTGTTCTCTGATGTTGCCCTGCCTTAGAACATCTCACGTCCTTCTCCCTGCATGCCTAGGGAGAAGGGTGGCCTTCTTGTGTTACCTCCCTCCTGGCCCTCTGAACACAGGAGCCACTCCACAGATATGGTTACTCCTTTACAGGATGTTCCCAGGCTGCCCTCCTCTGAGTGGCTGTTGAGGGGACACTAAACAACACTGAGCCAAGACAGCTTAACTAGCCATGCAGATAAGCTATTGAAAGATACGTCTTGCATTGATGCAGACCAGTGCATGCTTCCTGCCCTTGATCTTGAGTGCATATCCATGAAAGGATGTTCTCTGGCCTATGTGCCAGGTGGGGATGCTGAAACTCAGAGGAAAAGGGAAACTGATTGCTTTGTTGTCCCAGGGAGGCAAAGACTGTTCTGGGGACTGAGAGCTTTCCCCATGTAGATTTTGTCTTTTGTTGGCCTGGCTCCAATGTGAAGAATGGAATCAGGCAATAGACCTGTCAGGTCAGGGCTGATCCCATCTCACAAGTACTCACTACTTGGAAGAAGAGGTTATGGACAGAACTGAAGAGAGCATGTCCCTTCCGAGAGATTTAGATCCTCCTTTCTCCTTCTCTATGTCATGGTTGGCCGCTGCTTCTCCCTCCTCTTGTTCTTCCTCCTCCAAAATAAATGAAAACCTCTCCTGCCTGAGTTTACCCATGGGTAGTCAGTTTTCAACACTTGAAATTGACTTCTAAAGACTTCTTTTCCGACATTTTCGTTTCCCTTTCTTATTCCCAAACTTTCCAACCATGGGGTAGAAAACTCCACAAGTGTCTTCTGTGAGTATTCCCAACCTCAGGAGCACTTTGATATTTCCTGATCCAGATTTCACCTGACCTTGCTTTGCCCTTGTTTCAACATTTCCTCATTAGCTTGTTTTCCCCAGTTTCTCCTTTGCCTATTTCCTTCTTCTTTAATCAACCCATTATCGTGACTGAGTGAACTTGGAGGCTTGTGTGAAAACTGATTGTGAGATAGATAGGCATTAAGGAATGAATAGTACATTTCCCAAGAAGGAAAAATGACTGAAAATATAGAAAGTCAACCTAAAGGGGAAAAAACACAGTACAAAGCAGACAAGAAGAAAACAACCCAACTGATCATAAAATATATGGATAATCATAATACTTCCTGGAAAAGAGAGAATGCTGAATTGTGACTCCCTTGCCAGAAAAATTACAAAGGAAGGGAAATAGGTAAATCTGAGGATTAGGAAGTTGTTGGAGAGTTAGGGTGAAAACAAAAGCATTGAACCCAGCCTGGAATTTGTGTGGAGCCATCTTTAAGCCTTTTATCCCTTGCCAAAACTGTTACGTAACACCCTCTAGGGAATGAATGAAATTATGTTTATACAGTTCTTGTTATTTAAGTGCAGAAGAGCAGTGTTAAATAAATCTAGAAGGCAGGATTGTTAGTTCTTAAGCAATCTCCAGTGCTGTCAGATAATCTCTCCATGTGGTTCCTTTTCTCTCTTAGGATGAACCCTTCCTGAGAACCTCCCGGAACAGTAACTACACTTACCCCACCACGCCAGACATTGAGGTAACCTCTGACTCACCCCAGTCTCTCTCAACACAAGCCATTTCCACCTGCCAGGGACTTGGGGTGTGGCACAGGTTTCAGAGTGTTAGCTTAAGCACAAATGTGCCCTTCTTACATACCGGAAATTAGAATATACCAAAAAGAGCTTCGAATCATGAAGCCCCAAGACTGTCCTAACATGTTCTCAAGTTGCCTACCTGACGACAGCAGTCAACCAGAAGAAGTACTCATGGATCAGTTTGCTTTGACCTTTGTAATCCAACATTGTTTCTGCTTAGGCAGCCAGCCTTTCAGAAGGGATGAGGGGGAGGCAGTGGGTTTGGAGTCTCATCAACTTCCTGAAGGTGGAAGCTGAAAGGAAAGGAATTTCAGAGCTGAGGTGGGGCCCAACAGGAAACTGACTGACGCATATCCACATGGACCCCTAGGCCTTGTTGGTTCAACTCATTCCTTCCAGCTCTGAGTATTCTTGAGCCTGTGGCTTCAGGGACTGCTACTCCAAAGATGGCCTGCCAGATCTTGGACCACACCAAGCCTTGCAAGACAGGCCTGGTCCAGACATGTTGGCCACCAGGATAGGGACTCAACCACCAGTTCCGGTTTCACACCAGTCTTATGCTAGGAGCTGGTGGAGATTCAGAGAAGTATCAAATGTGATCCTGACTGGAGGGAGTCCCTGATCATTTATTGAGCACCTACTATGTCAGGCAGTGTTTCAGAGAGTTAGAGTGGATGGATGGGTCCCAGTTCTCATCAAGTTTACAATCTTCTGAGGAAAGCATCCAGTAAAACAGCTAAGAATGATCATTTTGAGTAGTGACAATAGCTCAAAGACTGGTGAGGTTAAAAAGAGTGATGGGGTCAGGGGAATGGTGGCCAATTCAGAGCATTATACAGGCTGGTCATCTCTGAGGAGAGGGGATTTGAATATGCAAGGTGAAAAGGTGCCTGAAACAGAGTCCTTAAGCAGAAGGACCAGAGAGCACAAAGGCTCACATCACACTGGGGAATGAGTTGGGTGTATTTGAGGAAGAGAAAGAAGGCCAAAATGCCTGGAGGGTGGAGAAAATGAAATCAGAGGGTGTTCATGGCTAGATCACACAGAGCCTGAATCCTTGAGTAGAAAGTTTGGACTTTGAGTGGAGAGAGGTCGGAAGCATTGGGACTTGAGGAGAGGATGGCATAATCTGGTTTGCATCTTTAAGAGGTCACCCTGGCAGCTATGTGGAGAATGGGTTGGAGTTCAGGGACTGGGGAAAGACATTTTATAAGGCAACTGAAGAATTGAGCCTAAATTATATGAGATTGTCACAGATCTGTCAGATCCTAAGCTCTGGGATACAGGCAATAACAGTCTCATGTTATTGGGAGTTATGCCAACTCCAGCCTGGCTTCCTGTCCTGGTTGACCCAGTGGCCAGATTGTTATAATTGAAACATCAGCTGTGTCTTGTCAAGCAGACATTTGTTTATCTCACACTAATTTCTTGGAAGCCTGTCTGGAGAGGTGCTATACTAAGGTAGCTGGGTGGGCAGAGTGAAACTGGGCCTCCTCTCTTTGATTTTCTTTGTTTCTGTTGCTGGAAGAGTTAAAAACCCAGGCCTAAAAGGGCGTGTGTTTGTTTTAACATCCTGCTGCTTAAAGTAGCCACAGATAGCCACAGATGGGAAGTTGTTAGAAATGCAGAGTCCTGAGCACTACCCCAAACCTACAGAATCAGAATCTTCAAATAACAAGATCCTCAGGGGAGTGGGAAGCATGGGTTTAGGAAGCAGTGTGTGGACCTCTCCTTGTGACAAATGAGCGTGCTCAGGTTCCAATCTGTGTCTGTTAATCCACACAACGTGCTCATTTCTGGCTCCCCAATTATCAGAGATATTTATAAGGTGCTGGTGGCTGTATAACTTTTTCTTTAAAAAAAATGGCATTTTCCCCAAAAACTTGTCATCTATACATAGCCTGTTCTTGATTTCAGTAAAACATCTAAACAGTAGCAGAAATCCATCCGTGTGATAAATTGAGCAATCCCTCAGAATCAACTAAATTCCACTGGATTAAGCAAACAGTATTTAAAAGAAGTTTCATTTTCACTCCCTCATGATAGGGATATTTTTTACAAGGCCTGTCTTCATCATCATCTGACTGAATGGATGAGATGGTGTCAAAGACTGGCAGACACACTCTCAGAGACTCAGTCAATCTGTCAGTGGAGCCCTGATGTGTACTCAGCCTGTAGATACTTGGGACTTTGGGCAGAGTCAGTTCTCTACCAGCTTTCTGGTACTAGTCATTTCTGTGCCCTCTGCTTTCCACACCCCAGAACCTGGAAAATATGCTCTATATTACAGAGACAAGGAAAGTTGACCAAAAAGTATCCAGGGTAGCAGGCATTAATATATACACATAGGAGGGATTGGTCGTTCTTAAATAAAATATTCAAGAAGATATACAGGTGCACAAAAAAGCTACATAGAAACCAGGTCCTTTGCAATTGTAAAAATTAGGTATTTTCCTAAATGTATTTTAACTAATGATTGGTTAGACCCTAGCATTATAATTATTATCAATTGGCTTAATATTAACAATACTGAAGCACACCTATCATCTCTTGTATTATGCATCCAAATCCTGTATCCCTTTGGAGGCCACCTGTAGTGAGAATTCACTGTTTTCTCCTCTGCTTTGGGGCAGCTGCTGGTTCCATTCAAGAGTGTAGATGAATTGGGATGGGAAATGTGTGTGTGTGTGCATGTGTGTGTTACGTGGAGTAGGCTGATGCCCATTTTGCCCTCTAATTTCCCTCTTGGCCCACCTACAATTGACAACTCTTATCCTCCCATGATCTCCTCCAGTGAGGTATTTCTAGTCTCCACCAAAAATTCCTTCTCTGGTTCTTCTTGTGCTATCACTCCCTGTAGAGTGAGTGTTGGCCCTGTGTCTTTCCTCCCATTTATTTAGAACTGGGGCAGTGACTTCCTGTGTACAGAGTGGAATCCTTCCAGTAGTGTTCCCACCTCAGGTGAGTGAAAACATCATCACCATCACCCCCTTGGAAAAAGGGCCTTGCAAAGGATTGGGTTGAGTGGGAGATTCAAGCAAAGCTTGCTAATTCCCATGCAAGGCAGAACTAGATGCTGGGAGGCCCCAAGAAGTTGGTTCACAGCCACTTTAGGGCTCCCATGTGGAGGGGCAAAGGCCTCTTCCCCTATTCATTCTTCTTGTTTCCTTGAAGTCTCAGTGGCAGCCCCTCAGGCTTCCCTGTCCAGTGATCAGGTACAGTCAGGGGTGAGGTCCTAATGGCCTATGCTTTGTGACCCTATAGCTGGAACTTTCCTGGATTGCTCAGAGGTGTGGCCTTATCACAGGATGGATGGTAGCCATCAAGTCTGTTATCTTCAGTGCCTCAGTTGCTCTAAATGAATGGAAGAGGCAAAATTGCTAAAGCTTTAGGCTGGAAATAAGTGCCCTGGGGATCTGTATGACTAGGGCAGAATCACAGGCCTCAGATGAAGTTCATACTTCCAAATGGCAAATCCCCAACCCCAATTATCTCTCTTCTTGCCTGCTTTATTAGTCCACAAGCTCCGACCAGCAGACATCAAGGTGGTGGCCGCCCTGGGTGACTCGTTGACCGTGAGTACTAAGTCATGGGCACTGTGGTTCCCTGGGAGCCCAACCAGCCACTGGAGTGCATCCAGCTCTTCCACAGAACTGGCTCTGCATTTGGCACTGAGTCCCATTACCAAGGGTCAGCCAGCCTACCTGCATCAGGCACAGAAGCACAGGACTGCCCTCCACCTCCCCTAGACCTGCACAAACCATCTCCTCCACAAGCCCCACCTGGCCTCACTGTGCCCAGGCATTTCATTGGTGTATTAGGTACTTATCCAAGTTGCCTGCCTGTATCAGGGAACTCATTCCCTCAACCCAAACCAAGAGTGGCTTCCCAACGCCCCCAACCCACTTAAGGACATATGCTTCCGGGGTAGAGGGAGCCTAGCTCAGCACAGCACAGTCTGGTTAAATGATCGGCATTAGCCACTATTTAGCTATTTCTGTGTGCACTGTGCTCTCTCAGCAACTCTGAAAGAAAGGAAGAATCAGACACGATCAGAGCCTTCTGATTAGGACAAGAAACTTACAGAAAAGGGGATATATGATCACATAGGAGATGCATGGGCCTTTCACTGTTATGGATACAAAACCACCCCACATATGTTTACGGGTATTTTCACTGTGGAATGAATGTAAGAAGGCGTGGAAGGGTACACATGAAAGTGACAGCCATGACTTCACCCTGGTGGGGTGTGCACGTGGGTGCAAGGGGGAGGAAGGGATGTGGAATCTAGCAGGAGCAAGATTCTTAAGGTGGGAGTAGGTTGTTCATTTTTCAAATTTTTTTGTATTGAATGCTGGACATGGTGGTGTGTGCCTATAATCCCAGCTATTCAGGAGGCAGAGATCAGAAGATAGCATTCCCAGGCCAGCCCTGGGCAATATGCAAGACCTTATCTGAAAAAATAAAGTAGAAAGGGGTGGGGACATGGCTCAAGTGGTAGAGTAGCTGGCAAGTGTGAGGCCCTGAGTTCAAACTCCAGTACTGTCAAAAAAAAGACTTTTAAGTCTTTGTATTATTTCACTGATTATGGTGAACATGGGTTACTTTTGTCAATTTCAAAGAGGATTTTCCTCTTAGTATATAGTATATAGTATATATATATATACTTAGTATATAGAGAAAGCTCTGTAGAGGAGGTAGGAACTGACAAGCATTGGAGAGAATGAATTACATATGCCAGAGCTGCAAAGGAGGGCATTCAGCACTCCAGGAAGGGAAGCACGTGGGTGGAAACAGAAAAGAGTAAAGCAAGGCCATGGTGCTTTGGAAATGCTTAGACCTCGTCAAAGTGCTTAGACCTGAAGGTTTGTTGGGACAGGGAAGAGGGAGCAAACTAGGAGAAGGAAAGTGGACACCAGCTCATGAGCCCCCCACTGGGGACAGGACTTGCCTTTGACCCTGAAGGTAAGAGAGACACATAGATGAGAGACAGGTGACATTCAGAGAGAGATGTGCCCGGAGAACAGTGTCAGCCCTGCTGGCGGGAAAAGAACAGAGACTGGAGCCTGAGAGGTTAGGGAGGAGGCCAGAGTGTTGGCCATGGCAGGGAGGGGAGGGTCTCCTTCAGCAACATGGCAAAAGGAACGAGAGAAAGAACACGCACTAAAGAGGTCAGGAAGAGAGAATCGACAAGACTTGGTTCCTGAAATGCCTGACCCGGTTCACTGATTTTCTGGTTGTTGATAGAGGTCTGAGAGAAGAACGTGACAACTCAGAGCTTTAGGTGGCAAATCTGGGTCCTGGCTGCTACACCAAGACTAGAGGGGCCTCTCCTAGTACCCTCTACCTGCATCCTGGCCCAGGAGCAGACTGGAAAGTTCTTTTTTCTTTTCACAGACAGCGATGGGAGCTAGACCAATAAATTCTAACAATCTACTCACATCCTGGAGGGGGCTCTCCTGGAGGTGAGGCTGTTCTTGGTTCACTCTATTGATAACATTTCCCCAAAGAGACGTGAGGAGTGTGTTTACCCCTCCAGAGTAAAGTTGGGTACCCATGGTCCAGCTGTTAGACCCAAAGAGACTCCATGATGCTTGTGTTGGCCCTGAGGGTGGTGAGAGTGATGCTTCAGGGCAGAATCTGCATATGACAACACCTGGAACAGCAGGCCAGGGACCCTTTAATAAAGATGCTTTCTCTTCCCTAGCATTGGCGGAGATGGCGTGCTGGAGAACCACACTACACTGCCCAGTAAGTGGTCGGCACCGAGAAGCACTGTCACTATGGCCATCACAACCTCACTGAGGTCAAGTTCTTCTGTCTGGAGGAGGGGAAGAGGGAGGGAAGCCTGCTAGCTCCAGAAAGTCCAGGACCCTCCTGCCACACATTTGTGCCCCAAGACTGCACAGCCCCCTCAGTTCCTGAGGGCTCCTGCCTCCTGTCACCTGTGCTCTCGCCTCTTCTTTCTTTGAAGACATTCTGAAGAAGTTCAACCCTTCCATCTTTGGATTCTCCACTGGTTTCTGGGAGGAGACGGCGGGATTAAATGTAGCAGTGGAAGGAGCTACAGCGTGGTGAGTAGACAGCTACAAGAGGGAGAGGGGCAGTGAGGTTGAGAGGTCAAGGTGGGATCGAGGTAGAAACAGCAGGAAGCAAAAAGGATGGTGCCTGGGAGCCTGGTCCAGATGGGTCATAACTGCTGTGCAAAGCACTGTCTGTGTGCTGGCCCTGCACCAAACCTTCTGTAAGGATTATCTCATGTGATTCTCATACCTTCGGACACAGGCACTATGATGAGGACACTGAGGCTTAGAAAGTTTCCTAAACAGTCAAGTTCACCCTGCAAGTTATCAGAGGAGCCAGGGTCAGACCATGCCTGAATGAAACTCTAAATACTGTGGTATCATGGCCTCCAGGGGAGCAGGAAGAGCACATCTATCCTGACAGGCAGGCGCTGGCCTCAGTCTATCTCCTACCTAGCAGAGTTACACATCACACATGCAGGGTGGCTCTCAACACCATGGGAAACTCAGTGCCTGACCTGTGATGTCTGCCCTTCTTCTCTTCCCCATCTCATCTCAGAACTTGCAAAGTCTACTACTTTGCAAAAGCTATATTTTGACACTAGAGAGTTAGAGGTCACCCCCACCCCCACCCCATACATAGCATGGTGATCATTTGTTTTCACTGGGATTTCTGTTGTTGACAACAACTCAGACAATTAAAGCTGAAATGCCTGACTGGTTCGTTGATTTTCTGCATGGAGCGTGCTGGGTATTTGCTTTGTAGAAGGATTGCTATGCTTACATCACCAGGGAAACGACATTGGCTTGACTCACTCTGCTTACAGCGAGCATTCCCTTCAGAGCCTGTAACCTGGACCCCAAGTTCCTCTTAGGTCTGTGAGTCACAGGAAGCATTGCAAGTTCCTCAACATCACAAGCAGGAAGGACTTATTTTTCTGAAAAACAAACAACTAGACTTTGTTGGGCCCATATTCCAACATCTAATCACTGTTATGATTTCTGTCATCATTGTCATTGTTATTTAGCCCAGGCATTATTAACCAGGAGTTAGTTCCTTAGTCTGATGGCATTTGAACCCCTTTCTTCCTTCCCTTCTCTTAATTGCTTTATCTATTCCACTGCTGCTCAGCCTCTCCATCAGACTAAGGTCAGTGGAAGAGAGGTAGTTCGACATATAAGACACCTCTCGTGTCCAGTATCGGGGGAAATGAGAGTAAGCCTTTGTCACTGAAGTAAGATTGGAGAATTATCCTATTACTTTCCAGATCTCCAGAGCAGAAATCCACTGTATTGTTCATTAGTGTGGCTAAGGATGAGTTCACTAATGACAACACCATAGCAGAGCTTTGAGGATCATGAGGTATGCGATCAGACCATCTGTGTCCAAATCCCACCTCAGAGACTTGCTAGCTGTGTGACCTTGGGCAAGTTGTTTAATATCTGAGTCTTAGTTTCTTCATCTGTAAATAGGGATACTAATAGTACCTGGCTCTCAGAGTTGTCCTGAGGATTAAATGAGGTAATCTTTGGAAAGACTTTAGTACAATTTATAGAATACACACACACACCAGGATAAAGTTTCAAAGTTTTATTTGACAGCTCGCTTCCTACCCATTGATCAGTAAGCAAGAACTCATTCAACACTGTGGGTCATTACTAAGAGACACAAAAGAACAAAAAGGTGAACTCTCTGCTCAGAGAGCTTCCAGCCTAGGTAAGGAGACTAGACTAATAGGAAATAACTTTTGAGAGAAGACAGTGTTGTATATGGCAACGTTGCAGGCTGAAATAATCAGATACTTACTCATGGAATACAGTAAGGAGGACAGTACAGTCTAAAGTGTCAACTAGGTATTCTAAAGACAAATGTCCTCCTGCCTCAGGACAGGCAATCCCAGATCCTGACTTGGTCAAGCAAATGAAAATTAGCAAGGACCCTTAAAACCATTTAGCTCCTTGCTAAAGGAGCTGCCCTAGCAGGATTCAGTGACCCATGCAAGCTCACAGAGCCTGGGGGCTGAAAAAGAAATGGAGGAGCTATGGATAAATAAGCTCAGAGCAAAGGCTGATGGGAAGAGGGAGGAAGTGGATACTCCTCACTTCTACAACCCTTAAGATAATATTAATCACATCTTGAACCTATTAAGTTTGTAGGCACTTCTGTGGTCACCTGTGACCAGGATAGACTTTGTAGTCTTTTGACATGGCTGTGGATGACATTAATGTACAGGATGTGATCCTGGATGTATAAATTGTCCCTAAGGACAAGTAAGGGCAGTGATGGTGTCGTGCATGCTTGACCAGTGCCCTGTTTATTAGGCTATCCTACTTAGGTTTTTACTTTGATGGCTTCTTCCACGGAAGCTTCTATTGATTGTATGTCTTTGTTGACCCAACTTCTCATATACATATCTTTTTTTTTAAGAACCAACTTTACTGAAGTATAATTGATACACAATAAACTGTACATACTAAAAGTATACAATTTAACAAGTACTGGCATGTGTTATCTACCTGTGGAACCATCACCCCTAACCAAGATAATAAACATATTCATCACCCATAGAAGTTTCCTTGTGCCTCTTTGTGATATCTCCCTCTGCCCCTTCCTGTCTCTCCCCTTTCCCCAGACCTAAGGCGACCTTACTAATCTGTATTCTATCACTATAGGTTAGTTTGAATTTTCTAGAATTTTATGTAGAATCAAAGAGCATCTATTTGTTTTGTGGGGGAGGGGGAAATGGCGGTTTGGCCTGACTTCTTTCATCCAGCAAAATTATTTTGAGAAGCATCCATGTTATTTGGAATAGCACATTTGTTTTCACTGCTGAGTACTATTCCATTGGCATACGCATCACGCATCCAAAATAGCATTGTTCGTTTGTAGCAGACGTCTGGGGATGAAGGGAGAGCTAATCTTGTCCACATTGTCTCCTCCATCCTGTTTTGTTTGAGGGGTTAAAAAAAAAAAAGAGGCAATGGGGGGGTTCAAGTAAGTACAGAGAAGAGAAACAAAAGGATTAAAGAGCAGAGTGGATCCCAGAAATAAAAGTTAACTTTTATTAAGCCTGGAAAGGAGAAAGCTGAGGATAATTTAGGGCTGTGACTTTTTTCAAATATACCAAAGTTTATTTTTAAAACAGGCAACTGAGGGAGAATTGAACAGGCTTGGCTTGCAATGAAAAAGCCTGATGAAATAGCAGGGAAAATCCCCGATGGCCAGGTCAGCCAGGTCCTGGCATCCGAGGCCAGTGAGGCCCTGCCGAAGGGGTGGTTAGAGACTGCTCACAGGGTGGCAGGGTCTGAATCAATGTGGCCCTAAGGTCCATGGCAGCTCTCTGAGTAGGACAAGACAGATTTATGGAAAGGAGACATCGTATCAGCACATCCTGAAGAATAACCTTTGTAGCTATTTTGCCCTGTCCCAGATCCACATCTCAACCCTTTGCTCCTGAACAACTCTAATCTCCTTCTCTTCCCCCTGGCCAGGGACATGCCAGCCCAGGCCTGGGACCTGGTGAAGCGAATTAAAACCAGCCTTGTGAGTACCGGCTCCAGGCCACTCTTGAAAGGTGCAGGGAGGGTACAGGCCTCTGGGTCCCAGGGGGCTCCCCAGCACAGGCTACAGGAAGGTGAGGTGGATCAGAGAGTTGGTCAGTTGTGACCTTGGCCTCTGGTAGCGTCCCTCTTTACCCAAGAGTTGGCTTCCCAGAGCCCTATTATGTAAACACAAGGTGCTAAAAATAGGCTTCTCATTTCAATCCTTCCTCCTTCCTGATCACCCAGCCCCTCTGAAAAGTCTCTCTTGTACTTTTTCTTTTTCTTTTCTTTTCTTTTTTTTTTAATGCTCTGTGTTTATGCCTTGGAATTGAGCTCCTGGCAGGACTCCTATTATGGTGGTGGCTGAGAGGGAATGTGTTGCTTGAGGGCCTTCCCAGGCTCCACCCCATCTCTCAGTCCCTGCTGGGCTCTGGCTGCCGTTCTCCCTCCCTGGACGCAGGCCCTAAGAACCTTTCCAAGTGGTGGCTTTGGCTGCTGGCTGCATCTTTTGCCATAGACTTCTTCAAAAAGCCTTAGATCACATTTTGGGCACATGTTAATCCACACAGCCTTTAATGGACTTAGGAACTGTAGAGCATACGTCATCTACTTCATCGTGGATTGGCACTTTCTCAAGAAAGACATCATCACATCTGCCCCTGTGAGAGCAGACAGCCCCCCTCCAAACACACGCAATTCTGTGTGTGTAACTCCCTTCTCGCCAGACAGCATGGGAAAGTAGGGTCCTCACCCTGTGCGTCTCTGTGGTAATAAAAAGAGCATGAAAGGCACCTGGGGTACGGGCTGGGAGGGCTGGTGAGTACCCCCTCCATCCCCTCCACCAAAGTCTAAACTCAGGGTCTGTCCCTTCAGGAAATCGATGTGAAGAAAGACTGGAAGCTGATCACACTCTTCATTGGGAGCAGTGACTTGTGTCATTACTGCCAGGATCCGGTGGGTCCATGACCAGCCCCACTGGGGGCCTGAGAATGAAGTTGCTGATGTCTGTCATTATCCTTGCTCAATGCCCCCCTCCTCCCTCCTGCCTGCCTTCCAAGCACCTGAATCTTCCCCAGGCAGCCCCTGGTTCACACAGAGCAGATGAGACATGACTTTCCCCATTGCGTGAATGGACCCTGGGGTTGCAGCTGAATTGGCTCTCCTATTCCAGAAGAAAGGTCTAGATGAACCTATTCTTCAGGCACTGAGGAGGCAGCCTCTGTTAAGCACACAAATACTGCTGTCTGCTGTCAATAGGTTACTAGTGACTCTCCAACCCTCAGCTACCTGGAGTCTCTTCCCTATTGTGCAGGAGAGGCAACACCATCTTATAAATGGGGTTGGACAAATTGAACCAGCCTGGTATTGTGACTTATTTCCCTTCAGGGCCATCACGAGTTAACCAACCGCAGCCATCTGGCCTGGGAACCCAACCCCATTCCTAACGTTGTTTCTTTGGAGAAACATGTCCAGACTTACAAATTTTCAGAAGCTGTAACTTTTGGAATACATCTTGTTCTAAGGTGGGGACAGCCTGTATTTTATTTGGCCAGGAAAAGGCAGCTGCCCTGATTCTGAGGTTGTAGTAAGATATTTGACAGCCACAGGCAGGGGAGAAGGTATTTATGGCTCCTAGTGGCTCATGGAGAGTAACTACCAAGGGCTTGGTGAGATTATCCTCCCCCACACTGGGGCAGCCTTTCCAAACTTCTTGCCTCCGTCCTCTCCCTTACCACACAGAGAGACAGGAATAAGCCAATGGGATTTCAATACTCCTGGGTACCGGACTGTAGGAATCACTGGAAGCCAGATGTGACCCACAGCTGCCTGCGGACACTTGGTGTGGGGAGATGCCATCTGCAGCCCCAGCACACCTGCCCTGCATCACAGTCAGGTCTAGACTCCTGAGAGTATGCTCTTGTGAAAAGGGTCCAGAGGCCATCACCAGGTCACTCAGGTCAAGTCTGAGGAAGGAGACAATAGTCCCTTGGCTCCTGCTCTAACTCTTTAGCAGAACTATCTGTCTTGATAGTTCTTGAAAGGCTTGTTTCCTTTCCCCACTTACTCTCAGCACCACTTCTGGTGGCTGTGGGCAGGAGTTCTATGATCAGGTATCCATGGGGCACATTTGTTGCCCAGCAATGAGTCAGAATTGAGCTCACAGGGTCTTGCCCTGCCATAGCTCGTTGTCTCAAGAAAAACAAAAACAAAACAAAACAAAAAAACAGGCTGCTGCTCCCACCTCCTGGTGTGACTTCCCAGGCACCTCCCCTCCTGCAGACAGGAGGTTTTCCACATTTGGCATGAGATTTTGGGGGATCACCCATGCTCTGGTATCAGTCTCCTTCTGACACTTGGCCCAGAGCCATATCCAAATGTGACTTCTGCATGATATAAAGCAAAGCCCCAAGAGTCAGTCAGCAAGCATTTACTGAGCACCTATTATGTGCCCCATACACATCACCTAGAGTGCTATGGCTCACCTTTACATCAGCCTCCACATAGGGAAATGGGTCAGAAGAGCCCCTTAGGCTGAGTCACAGGCACAGGATTTAGCAAGATGCAGGAGAGCAAAGGGTTCCAGGCAGTGGGACCAGCATGAGCCAAAGGAAAGAGATAGGGAGATCATCGGGGCTCTGAGATCAAGTGACAGAAGGGTTGGAGAAGGAATAGGCCCCAGGCCAGTTCTGTCTGTGTTTGAGTTTGAAACCATGAGGGGCAGGGCTGGTATGGGTCAAGGAGGAGCTTCTTACAGGAGTCTCTGTGTAAACCAGCAACAAGGTTTGGGCTTCCCAACCTGGCCAGGACCACCAAAGCCCCTCTGTACTCCCTTAGCCATCAGCTCAGGCCCCTAAGCCCTTTCTGTGCTCTTGTCTCCTCCCAGAGTGCAATGCAGGGGCTAAAGAGAGCCCTCTTTTCTCTTTGTAGAAGAACCACTCCACTGCACAGTACGTCCAGCACATCCAACGTGCCCTAGACATCTTCTATGAGGAGGTAGGAACAAATAGCAGCCCATTTCCAGGTCCTGCCAGCAGCCTACCTGTCTGCTTCCTCACTGGGGGGAGGGGGTTCCCTCCCTGATCACACCTAGGCAATTTGTGTCTAGTGAGATGCACACTGAGTGGAGACCCCCATGAGTGGCCACCTAGGCAGGATGGGAGGGTAGCATCTCCCAGCTGATAAAGAAATTCTGACTGGCTCAGAGACTGAATTATAGAGTAGCAAAGAGCCAACTGACTGGGTTTGCACCCAGGCTCTGTGCCTTAATAGCAAAGGGACTTCTCTGTATCTCTGCTTCCCAGTCAATGAAGTGGGGCACTAAAGAAGATTCAGTGAGATCATACAAGTCACACCCCTCTCTGGGCCTTGTTTCTTTTTTGGTTAAAATTGGAGAGGAGAAGTTGGATTGAAGGCAGTCCCCCAAGCTCCTTCCTACAACTGCCTGGGGACTCATGAAGCCCACCCCTCTGCTCCCTATAGCTTCCCAGGGTTTTCATCAATGTGGTGGAGGTCATGGAGTTTGCTGGCCTGTACCAGAGCCAAGGCGGGAATTGTGTCATGCCTCTGGCAGTTCAGTAAGTACATAGGTCATGGTTCCAGGGCAAGGGTACCTGGGGAGGGCAGGGCTCACAGGTATCATCGGAGAACAATGGGGACAGAGTCAGGTGAGCCCACATGAGCTATTAGCCAGAAGCTTGGAAAATCACTTAGAAATGTCTCTGTGTGACTGGATGCCTACTGTATGTGAGTCCCTTCATTTCTCTGGCTTTAATGTAGACCAAATGATCTTTAAGGCTCCCTGACATTTTTTTTGGTGGCACTGGGTTTGAACTCAGGTCTCATGCTTCCTAACAGGTGCTCTTACCACTTGAGCTACTCTGCCAGACCTTTTATTGGTTGTGAGGTTTTTCAAGATAGGGTCTCGTGAACTATTTGCCTGGACTGGCTTCAAACCATGAGCCTCCTGATCTCTGCCTCCAGAATAGCTAGGATTACAGGTGTGAGTCACCGGTGCCCAGCTCCCTGACATTTCTGATTCTAAAGTCCAGCTTTGGCAAGTTGTTCCCTGCTGAGGGGCAGCATAGGACAGTAAGCTCCATCTTCCCTCAAATCCTTGCTCTGCCATTGAGGAACTATGGTACCTTGAAGAAACCACATAACTTCTCTGAGCCTCTTACTCCTTACTTATAAAATAGGGATATCACCTTCCCTCCAGGTAGACATGATGTCAACAGGAAATATGCATAAGGAGCCAGGGAAGGCTCTAGGGAAAAGAAGCTTTTACTTATCTTTAAAAGCTGGGCTTGGAGACAAGGTTTTCATGGGCAAGACAACAATCCCTGCTGGGGGCTGGGATTCTTAAAATATCAGTGGGACCCTGACAGGAAGGAAGCTGGCATCTTCTGAGACCAGAGGGGCATGCAGAGTTTGTGTGACTGTTGCTGTCAGGGCAGGGATTCTGCCCATGACTGAGGAGTACTCTCTGAGGTCAAATGGATTTGCTGTGAAGGTGGCCAGCTGGTTCCAGGAACCAGCTAGGTGGAATGACTTTGGTGGTAGTGGTGGTAGGGTCCCAATGGTGGGACTTTGCTGGTAGGGTCCCAGTGGCTCCTCCATCTCTGTGGTATTGCATTCCACCTTGACAGGGGTGTTTTGAGCTGGTTGGTTCTCCCCAGATTTCCAACAGACTTCCCATACTGGAGCCCTAAAAGAGTCCTAAGCACTCAGAGGCAAAGCTGAGAGGCTGCAGGAGCATAAGGAATGACTCCATCCCCAAAGACAGAGTCTCATGATGATCTTCCCTAAACTCCAGCCCTCTCCTTGCCCAGTCCTTCACTGCAGGAACCCCAGGGGGCACAGCTTGGGAAGAAGTCATCAGGGGCAAAGGTAATGGGCAGCCTGTGTACAAGGCAACCAGACCTCAGGTGCTAATTTCCCTAACTGTAAACAAGCACCTTGTGTTAGTTAGCTTTCCATCGCTGTGACTAACATCTGAGATCATCAACCTAGAGGAAGAAAGATTTATTTTGGCTCATGGTTTCAGAGGTCTCAGTCCATAGTTGCTTGGCTCCATTGCTTTGTGACAAGGCAGAACATCATGATAGGGAATGCATGGTAGAACAGAGATGCTCACTCGTGGAGGCTAGGAAGCAAAAGAAGAGAGAGAGAAAAGGGCTGGGGTCTCAATATTCCCTTCAAGGTCGTGCTTCCAATGGCCTACTTCCTCCAATGAGGCCTCATCTCCTAAAGGTTCCTCTACCTCTCAATAATACCATCAGCTGGAAACCAAGTCTTCAATACATAAGCTTTTGGGGGAGGTACATTGAAGATCCAAACCATGCCCCTGAGTTAGGGATCTCTGAGCTTCATCCAAGAGTCAGTGTTGTGAAGGTACTTGTATGTCATCTCCCTACCATGTCCCCTTGAGGCAACAAAGGCTGCCCATCCCTGGAGGTAGCAGCTGCCTCAGTGTGTCAGGAGGAAAGAGCTAGGCCATCCAGGGAGCCTTAACCCCAGAGTCCTTGTCTTGTCTCACAGGAGGAACTGCAGTTGCCTCAAATACTCTCAAGACTCCTTGGCAATGCAGGAGCTGAAGAAAGTGAACTGGAACCTGCAGGTAAGCCTGCAGCCCTCCTTTACCTGCCCCTGGGCTCCCTGAGCAAAGATGCAGAACACATGTGTTCAGCAGAGGTTGGTAGACAGCAAGCCACGCCCTAAAAGGCAGCTCTGAACACCAAGGCTGGAGATGCAGGTAGGAAGAAATCCCAAAGTGGCAACTGGGAGAATCCTGGCCACCAGTCAGCTTGAAAAGATAAACAGCACTTGGTCCGCAGAGTAACCTCCATGTGGTTACTCCCTTATCCAACCTTATCCAACCTTCATGTGGGTCACATCTCTCCAAGGGTCGCTGCACCTGTCTCCCTCTTTCTTTTACCTTCCTCTCCTTGGCACGTGAGGCTTAGCCCCACCCTATACACCTCCACTCCCACTTCCTCTCTCATGTTCCCAGTTCTCCTGCAGCTATGCCCCTGTTGTTTCCTCTCTGGGCACATCCACCCTGAGCCTTTCTGAAAACTTACCCATCTTCCCTCATAAAGCAAATCTTCCTCCTCTGAGAAGCTCCCCGACTCCACTTCATGCTCAGATACCGCTCCAGATCTGTTCAGTCTGCATTTGAGCTTGGACCTTGTCTTCAGTTCTCATGTTTTCACATCTAGGCTATTCCTTTTACACACCATGTTTTGGCACTTAAGTCCAACAACCATGGACTCTCACCCCCTAAAGTTCATGGGCATTTGGGGGAGCTGGTGCTGAGATGCTCCCATCTGAGCTGGGTCTAAATGAATTTTTCATGCAGTAAGGATAATCAGGCTCAGGTGGTGTGGTCAGTGGCTCAGGCTCAGCCTTTACAGAGGCCTTACAATGGAACTGGGTAGGGCCTGCAGATGTGTTTCTCCATCTGGGGTCCACTAGGTTCAGTTCAACTCTGATTCTGACAGCCAGTACAGGGCCTTGAGATCCAGGTGTTCATTGAATGGTGCAGGATGAATGAATGCATACATCACACCAGTGTAGCCCCTTTAAGTCATCTGTATCTAGGATGGGTTCACTGCTGTCACAACCAACCCAAAGCTGCAGGGGTAGACCCTGTGTGTTTAGCCTTGCCAGCAGGGTTGAAAAGTCTCCCCATCCCCAGAATGGCATCTCCAAGTTCTCCTACTGGCAGCAGTACATGCAGCGTGAGGATTTTGCAGTTGTCGTGCAGCCTTTCTTCCGGAACACTCTCATCCCACTGAATAAGGTAAGCTGCAGGCATTCCTGGGAGTCTGTGTGTGAGGCCTTATCTTAGGGATGAGTGTATTTTCTTTAGTAGGCTATTCATTACATCGCTCTCCAAGAGGGCTCCCAAGGGTAACTTCTTCCTCCCTCCCTTCTTTCCCTTCCTCCTTCCTTTCTTTCCTTCTTTTTTGTATGTATTTGGAATCAATAGTAACCAAACCCCTTGCCCAGGCATGGAACTGATAATGGCTGCATTGGTAGAGAATGGAAACCTTCCTAAAATTGTTATATTTTTAAGCTTTCAGGGCAGGGATGCTGAAGGAAAAGGGATAAACCATGGGAGGTTATACTTCATGTTTGCTTTTTAACTATCCAAAATATGGGAGATTTTTCCATCAGTATCTGAGCCAGGTGAAGGCAGAGTTGAAAGGATGAGAGGAGAAATGCCCGAGGCACCTGCTGGGAGGAGAGGTGGGCAGGTAGCAATATCCAGATGGTAACCTTCTTTCCTCTGGTTGCCTCTGGTCCCAGCAAGGGGAAACAGATCTCACCTTCTTCTCTGAAGACTGTGTTCACTTCTCAGACCGTGGTCATGCTGAGATGGCCATCGCTCTCTGGAACAACATGGTGAGTGACTGAGGACCTGGCCAGCTTGTGTCAAATGGAGGAATCCAAGCATATTGACTCCAAATTCCATAATGGCAAAACTAGTGGCATAGATCCTTTCTCCTCAAAATCAAAATGGCAGTATACCTTACTTGTCCTGACATATTTTTTCAAAGGGTATTAGTATGAATGTGCACTCTTTATTTTCTCAGCTATGTCTAGGTACTGTGAGAGGATAGCTTTGCAACCAGATAGATTGAATGAAAGTACCAACTTCACCCCTTCCTCTGTCACCTCAGCAAATAATCTCTCTTCTATCTGTATCTATGAAACAGTGAAAAAGACACAGAAATTTGAGATAAAGTAAAAACAGCAGCCAGTGCAATAATCAGTTTCGATAAGTGTCAACCCTGTTACCCTTCTGGTATTCCAGTCTCTCACCACATTTCCAGCTATTCATTCTCTTAGGCCAAGACCTATTCCAGTCCTCTCTGATGGAGGACGAGGGAACCTTATGAAATGAACCTCCAGCTCAGGGCCCACAGGAACACCTGACCTTGTGCCTCACCTCTGCCCTTTGTAGCTGGCCACTCCCTACTGAGAGTGCAAATGCATTCAGTTGTATTTGTAGTGTCTGAACTGTCACCCCAAATACCTGTATCCTCTTGCACAGAACAGATGAAATAAATGCCTTCCCTATCCAATGGCTTCCTTTGATCTAGGCTCAGTGTGTAACCCAATACTCACCCTGACCTGCATGTTCCGTCATTTTTCCCATGGCAACTGAACAGTCTACACACCTCATTTTATTACTGTTTCAAGTCCATGGCATCTCTGCCAACCACTGCTGTGCAAATATTCCCATACCTGTCATCTCATCCAGCATGTCCAGTGTTTTCCTGAGCTGACTCACAATATTGACTTTCTCCTGAGCTACATTACCTCCTCCTCTCTAGCAGCCCCATCTTTTCAGAACATGTAATCAGGTTTTATCCTTGACCTATTTAATTACAGACTCAGTTTTCCTCCACTGGTGGTGTTCTGGTGTTTTCCTCCTATTGACATCATCTTTTGCCCAAATGTAAATTTTTCCATCATACTATTTCAGCCTAGGACTCTAAATTGCCACCAAAATATCTTTGAGTCCCTACCATCCACCCAATCCCCACTGTATTTTAAAATCAAAGTTTGCCCAATATAATTCCTGATACCAGTTATGTTTCTTTTGGAGATTGCGTTTTGAAGGCTAGTTGTCTGTCGCTTAGTCATCTGACTTTATTCCTTTTAAAATTCCCCCAAAGAATGGGAATTTGTTTCCTGTCCCATTTCTACCCCAAGATCTCAGGGGAGTCCACATCTTACAAGGAGAGCTTGGAAATCTAAGCCCTTGGCCTTCCTTTCCCAGCTTTTCCATTACAGTATAGCCTTTATACCTGGGCGGTATTTCCAAGCCTGCTTAAAGCCAAAGCCCTTACAAGAGTCTCCTAGGGCTCTAATGTCATACTGATGACTTAAACGTGACAGAGTCCATTGGTTTCTTCCAGTGTGAATTAACAGTGTAGTTCTAACCTTCCCTTCCAAAGCAGCTCAGTAGTTCTCTCCATTCACCAGGTGAGAGGCTTTTATTTGATAAAGGCAGGTAGAAGAAGTTTAGAAAGGATAAATAAATAAAAGGTGAGCATTGCCATGAAGCCATACTGGTATGAAGACTGTCCATGGTTCCCCAGCCATACCCCAAGTTTCAAAATAACAAAAAACAAAGAAAAACAAAGCTAAAATCATCCATGAGTTTCTTATCCTGTGCTATATAATTTGGGGAAATAATTATAGAGTCCAGTGTTTTCATCCAAAACCATCTCAGACATAAGGCTGTAACTTCATGCCAACTTTTCCAGTCATTTCTTCCTGGAATTTCACCCTTAGAGTCACATCAAATAAATAGGCTGTTAGAGCTGGAACAGATCAAGAGGTCATCTAGCCAGAACATTCTGTAACTATAACACAGAAACATGAAGCAATTTTCCAAGCATCACACTGCTGGTTAGTGCCACAACAGGGATGAGAATCCAGGTTTTCTATGTCTTCCCTTAGTGTCCTGTCCTTGACACTAACCTCCCTCCTGCTCCCAACCTGATAAGCACACATATAGCCCATGAATTCGTGTCTCATAATTAGAATCCTATGACATAGTGTCTGCAGGCTTTGGCTGATGTTCCCAGGGTGCCCTACTGAGGCAACAAACACATTAAACTTTCTTATTTCTTACTTCTCTAGAGACATTTGCAAAGGTGAAGCCAGAAGCACCAGCAGCACCAGGGAATGTTTCCTTTTTTCTTTCCCAGTACTGGGATTTGAACTCAGAGCCCCAAGTTTGCTAGGCAGGCACTCTACCACATGAGTCACATGAGCAGCCCCTTTTTGTCTTCTTATAAAGAGCTTTTTCTTCTCTTGCTGAGGTCTGTTCCTCCACTGCTGTGTGACCTCTCTTCTCTAGAAATCCCACTCCAGCTGACAGATGCATCTTTTCCTACTTGGCGTCACTGTCTCTAGACTTACAGCCCTTAGAACAGTGATTCCTGGCTCTCAGTACAAGTTAGAATCATCGAAGGACTTTTAAAAGGAGTGCCTATAGCCACTTTGGAAAACTCTTTGGCACATCTAATAATGCTGAACCTATGTATTTCCTGAGACTCAAAAATTCTACTCCTGGTTATATCCCCAACAAAAAGGCATGTACACGTCCACCAAAAGGTCCATACAAAACTTTTCACAGCAACGTTATTTGTAATAGTCACAAACTGGAAACGCTTCAATCTTCCAACAATGGAATGAATAAACTGTGCACACCCATACCATGGAATACCTTATGCAAGGAGATTAGCAAATTTTGACAACATGCAAATATATACATTTATATATACACATATATTTCAAAAGCGAGCAACTTAGCATATGGTGTTAGAAGTCAGCATGATGGTCTTTCTTGCTGGAGTGAATGCAGGATGGGGGCAGGTGGTGCTTCCAAATACTGATAATGTTCCGTTTCTTGATTTGGATACTGTTATGTTCACTTTACCAAAACTGATCTGCTGTTTACTTGTGATTTGTATATATTTCTACGTTAGCTTCCATCAAAAGAGTACTTAAAAAAATAAAAAATACCACTGCCTGTCTGGGCTTATCCCCAGGGATTCTGACAGTTGGTCTGGGATAGATTCTGAATTTAGCACTAAAAAAACCCCCAAAAACAAAAACCTCCCCAGATGATTCTAACAGGCAGGGCTTATGAACCACTTCCTTGGATCTGTTCTCCACAGGGCAACTGAATAATCTGGGTAAAAGAAAACCTGTCACTCTCCTGCCTTCAAACTTCCAAGTCCCCCACCTTGGAAAGGGACAAGGCAGTTCTCTTAGCACAGCACACAAGACTCTGATTCACCTCTCTGGCCACCATTCCCCCAGCCTCTGCCTCCACTTCATAGTCAGTAACTTCTGTAGTTTCCTGCACCACCCATGTGGTTTCACACTCTGGGTTAGAGCTTGATCACCCCCTTATCACAGATTGACTTTCTCAGCTCATGTGCCAGTTCCTGCAGGTACCTCCTCTGAATCTCCAGGACAAGGCCAGTGAACACCAACTCCATTGCCCACTGTCCAGGCCTATCAGTGCCTCCATTATTGATACCTGAAGTGTCTGGCTTAGGAAAGGTTGTCTCTAGGAAAACAACTCCGCTTCCTGTGGCCACTCCAGGACTTCTGCCCCTGAGTTTCTCCACTCAAGTATTGGTGACTTCTATTCCTCCATCCATTTAGTCAACAACTATTTATCCCGGGCTACTATGTGGTAGGTACTGTTCCAGGTGCCAGGGATTAAGCAGTAAAAAGGAGAAGAACCCATGGTTTTGTGGAACATACAGTATAGCTGGGGAAAGACATAATAAACATTAGATAAATAAGTCAGCAAGGTCATGTCTGACCACATTCAGGGCTTTAAAAAACAAAGTTAAGGAGGATATGGGATATTCAGAAATGGTGTCTTCACTAAAGACATGACACGAACTGAGAACTGAATGTCACAAGGTTGCCAGGCAAGCAGAAGTCTGGGGCCAATGTTCCAGGGAGAAGAAATAGGACCCAAGTGGGCTTGGAGTCAGGAATGAACTTGAAGTGTCTGAAGAACTTACAGGCCAGTGTGAGGGAAGGAAGTGAACAAGGTCAGAGAGGCAGGGAGGAGCTAGGTCCTTGGCTGATTTTAAACAGCAGTGACATGCTCTCGTCTACCCTCTGGCTGCTGCACAAGTGGAAAGACAGTAGGAAGCTGCTGTTATCCAGGCAAGAGATGAAAGTGACCGGAACCAGGGTGACAGCAGCAGAGCAAAGACATGGTCATTTAGGATATGTTTGGAACTGGCTGATGGGTGACAGAAAACAGGAACAAAGGATGGTTTCTTGGTTTGGGGGGCTAAGAAAAGAAATGAATTATTGATGAGTAGAGAAATTCACTTTGGAGGGGAAATTTTAGTTCCATTTTGGACATGAGATACCTTCCAGACATCCACATATCCTGTTTAATATAGGACTCTGGAGCACAGAGTCAAGGTCAGGCTGCAGTTTTTTTTTTAAAAAGAAAAGCAGAGTTATTATTCCAAAAAAACATAGAATTAACTGAGAACAAGAGAAAGCAAATAGAAAAGAGGAAAGGGCCACCTACCAAGCCCTAGGGCATTCATTCCGTCTTTCAAGGCAGCTAGAGTAAAGTGGTAGAGGGATGTAGAGGAGCATAGTATCCAGGCATCCAAGAAAAGTGTTTCAAGAAGGAGGGGCCAACTTTGACAAATACTGCTGAGAAGTCAAGCAAGATGAAGACAAAAAGTGATCACTGAATTTGGCCATGTAAAGGCCTTTGGTGACTTTGACCAGAGCTGCTGTCAAGTAATGGAGGCCCCAGACCAATTGGAATGAGCAGCCAGACTAGGAGGAGATTGGGAAGGGAAGCCAGCAACTATAGACAATTCAGGAAGTTACTAGGAGCTCTAGCTAGGGATTCCCTCACAGAGGGAATGCGAGGCAAGGAGAAGGAAGGTGAAGGATGGGAGAGCAGCGTAGACATGTGCTGATGGGAAGGAACCAGCAGGAAAGGGAAATTGATGTGCTCATCAAACCCACACAATCACAGCTTTCCTCTCTGCCAATTAGTTTCTGGAACATCCCTGGGAATCAGCCAACTTGACTGTTAGCCTTCACTCTGTGGTTCTGTTACACTAGAACACAGTTGTGTTGTCCTCAGCAATAAGGAAGTGGAAATAAGCTTACAATGTAAGCCGCCCCTGGCTCACAAATGCTTTCCTGCCATCATCTCATCTGATGCTCACAACAACCATAAGTGGAGTTTTCAGGATAGCATTTAACACTTGTCCCAATCTTGGGACAGTTAAGTTGCCTACCTGGCACTGCTCAGTCATTGTGGGCAGAACCAGGACCTGGCCACACAGTAGAGTCACCATGGTGTCTCCCAGGACCAGAGCTGCCCTTCCTCCTTTACTTGTGTTAGTAAGGAATGGGTGCAAAAGGCATTAAGACAGCAGACAGTGAGATCATGGCCAGTTGTGGTCACCAGCTTCGATGGAGCACTTACACTTCTGCACTGGCAGTCCATGGTGGCTGAAAACAGGCAGAAAGCAGATGATATGATGGGGGAGGTTTGTTGTTCGGGACAGAGTCTGAGACCAGGTGAAAGTGCCAGATCTGTTCTTCCCCTACTAACTACATGCTGGGGATAGGCTACTGGCTAAAAATTCTGAGGAGGGGGTACTGCAGCTTCCTGCTCATTCTTAGAGGGACCTGAGATGGGACGGATTCAATCAGAACCCCACAGAATCACAATTGCCCGCAAAGATATTTCAAGTAAATGTTTTCATCTATGTAACAACCACATAAAGTAGCTCAAGTGAGATAATTCCAATTTCTGAAGGTTGACAAGCCAACTATGTAGTAAGGATGTCATGGTAACCAATATGTTTTCAAAGTTTTCCTGAAATTAACTAGCCCCACGCACTTGGACAAGTTGGTAAATATGATTATCACCATTTTATAAAATTGAAAATCCAATGTCTGCAATCACAGCCACCCACAAGGAGAGACAAGAGAAGAAGGGCTTTCTGGTCCCAGCCCTTCCAGAAACAAACTGTGGACTCTGGACTGATCACTCTCTCCTCAGCCTCATTTTTCTCCTGGGTAAATCGAGGGGCATTGATTCAGGGTCCCACCCTTCTTGGACAGATTCATTATTCTGTGAGTCAATTCCAGCTCTGGCCAGGGCTGTTGGTCTCTACTGCACGTTTTATCATGATGTGGTTTCAAGCTACCCTTCAAAGGGAGGGAAACCTATATGAGGTATGTCTTCCAACAAGGAAGTCTCTTCCAGCTTGGGAGAGAATCAAAGTGTCCTTTTCTCTTTGCAGCTGGAGCCAGTGGGCCATAAGACGACCTCCAACAACTTCACCTATAGTCGAGCCAAACTCAAGTGCCCGTCCTCTGTAAGTGAATGTCCTACCTGTCTGAGATGGAGCAGTTGCTTGGGATGGAAAGGGGATGGGGGGTGTCCAACACCTCTCCCATCTCGATCTCCTCACTATTATGGAGTGAGGAAGGGAGCGTCCATGACCATCATGGACAAGAGTCACTTGGGGAGGCAGGGTGGCCAACACTTGGCAGGTGCCTTAAACCACTCACTACTTCTGAGGGATCTGAGGGTCCTCGATCTTAATCTTACATGGAGAAGCTCTCTCATGCCACACACTGGGGGCTGCGAGTTGGGAGGCAAAGTTAAACAAGACGAAATATCTATCCCTGGAGCCTACATTCCTCTTCTTCCCTTTCCACGCCCACCACCCTCATCTGATCCACTGACAAAATCCTACCTGCTACTCAAGCTCTCTTCTATTTCCCCATCATCCTGCACTTGCTGCCAGACATAGATCAGCCTTCCCAGAAAGTAACTCCAGTCTTGTCAAGGCTGTCAAAATCCTCGTCTAGTGTCAACTGCCCAGAGGAGAGACCACCTCCTACTATTATACATTCTACACTCCTGGCAAACAGATTCACATCCCAGACGAGCCCCACAGTTTCTCATGTTTTCACTTCTGCATCTGCTTCTTGAGGCTCACCCTCTTCTCTGTCTATGAAAATGCTCACTTCCTTCTGGGCCCAAATATTTTCTCCCTGAGCTATGATTCCATCTTGTCTTATTCTACCATTCTTGCCCCTAGACACACCCCTGGGTTGGTCTCCCTTTTCTGTTTGTATCCATTCTCCTTTATGCTGTGATTATTTCTGTACCTGTCTTATCTCCCTACTAGGAATGAGAGAGATATCCCACCTCAGCCCTCATCATATAGTTCCTGGCATGGGGCTTCATAGAACAGACCTTCAATTAGTGTACACTGAAAGGGAAGAAAGGAAAGGAACCAGATACCCCCCACCACCCCTCCTCACATGGGTTCTTTAATTCACCACAAAACCAGTGGCCCTTCTTCATCATCGACTTTCCCCAATCCTTGGGCATGCCTGTGACAGAAGGCTGGGAATAGCAATCCAGTAGGGACCAGGAAGTCAGAGGTAGAGGCTCTCCCAGCTTCCCAGGATTCTCTTCCAAAAGTTCCCTGTCAGTTCCAATCTTTCAAAGTCAGGTTTGATAGGAAAGGGAGTTTATAGCTGAGTGTAGACCACTTGAGAGATCCATCTTCACAGAAGGTTTAGGCAATGTGACTGAAGGAGCTTTCCAACAGAGAAGAGCTGTGAAGATGCACAAAGTTATTGTACTTTCTCAGGGATGGGGACTTAGGCAGATAGCTGGGTTAGTGGAGCTACTTAACCTCTAATCCTCCCCACCTCTTCTCCAGGAGAGTCCTTTCCTCTACACTGTCCGGAATAGTCAGCTATTTCCAGAGCAGGCTACAGAAGCTCACAAAGTGCCCTCCTGGACTGTGCCAATAGCAGCAATATGTGGCCTGGTAATCGGCATCCTCATAATGACAGCATGGAGAGCCATAAGACATCACCAGAATAAAGTCCAACCAATGAACCTGAGCACTGTCAGTATCTAGGCCTCTGTGAATGGGTCCTCATCTGACTCCCCAGCCACATTCCTCACCAGTCCCTCTACTACAGCAGCCTTGGCCACCAAGACAGCCTTGCCTCAACATCTGGTAACATCAGAAGCCAAAGGGACCATCACGACTTTTGGGACCAGAGCTTCTTCTCGACCTGTGCTTTTGGAATTAACAAATTTCAATAAAGGCCAGAGTCACTCTATTCTTGTCTTAGCTTGCATGCAGCCTTCACCCGCCATCTGTTGAACACACAGGTATGGGAGCTGGAGTCCTGTGTTGGGCAAAGCTGCCTGAGTAACTAGGTCAGGACCAACAACTCCATCTTGACCCCAGGACAAATGCACTCTCAGTCACCAAACCTACAGTTTTAAAGGGAGGGGAAATGCTAGTCACCAGGTGGTGGCTGGAATGTTGGAGCTGGCTAGCTGCTGTTCAGTTCACTCTAACACACAGGTGTATGTTCATCACCTGTTTTGTTCTGAGGACAATGGAGAGCATTGTGATACCTCCCATGGTGGCATGTCACAACCTGGCCAGGAAGACAAACTCCTTCAAAAAACAGGAGCCATATGACAGTGTGTAATTGAGTACTGGGGCGTCAGTAGGTAGATGTGTCTCCTTTAGAAACGGTAAGAGGCTTCATGGGAAAAACTTCCCTAAAAGAATAATTTTGACATGTCATTTTGGGAAAAAAAAAAAAAAAAGACTGGGACATGAATATGTCATGTCCCTTCAACCTGATTTTCTCAAGGTACTAAATTTAGGCAATAATTCCTAGCTCTGCATTCGCAGGTTTCTGAAAGACAGTCTGAAGTACAAGCTGCCGATAGTCAGCCCCTGCTTGGGCAAGGCTGGAGCTGGGTGCCCAGTACAGATTCTCCCTTTTATTCTGCACAAAAACCCAGGGAAGAAGCAATGCAAAGTTTTAAAAATAGAGGTGGTGGTTATACAACAATGTGAGTACACTAAAATGTTGCTGAATTGTTCTCTTTAAAATAATTGTAGGCCATGTCAATTTCACCTCAATAAAGACAAACAGAAAAGAATCTCAGGAGACAGACATTATCATCTGTGTTTTAAGAATTTCTCTGACCCAAAATCCTGGAATGATAATGCCCGAGTTAGGACGCCAGATGCACCAAACCTCTTTACTAGCCTAAGCCCGAATTTCTTACTTCCCTCATCTATGAAATTGAAATAAGTGTATCCATTTGCCTATCTCATAGTACTTTTGAAAAAATAAGAATTTGTGTATAAAAGTTCTCTGTCATTCAAAAATACTGCACAAATGAAAATGGGATATTATTGTCTGTGAAGGGTCACAGCAGGGCCCAGGCTATCAGAGAGGAGGAGAGGCCCAAGGGGGGGTTGGGGATTAACAGGAATGTGTGGATAAAGACCTCCTGTCTTCCTGTCTTGAGGGTCCATCATCTTAACTCTTTTTGAAAAAGACAGAAGAGAGGCACCACACTCAGTTTCTATACAATGCTCCTTCCTTTGGCCTGAAAAACGTTATGATTTGTGCTTCTGGCTTGAAGCAATGTCATACCAAAGATAACCCATTAAACCAAGAGTTCAAAATGACACTTCTCTCTCTTTTATTTCTGTAAGTTTCCATTCCTCTTGGAGGCCCCACTTCAGAGAAGCGTGGACTTCAGTACTAAAAGTCTACCTCCACTTGGGCTGACGGTTGGAATTAACACCACCAGAATAATCTAGACTAGAATATTTAAAAAGTAGTTTGGCCCCAAATTCTCACCAGCTATATTATTAAAAGTCACAAATTAAAAACACATAAGAAACACCTACATATAACTGGTAGTATTATACAGGTTGAACATTCGTAAATGTTCTAAAACCTCAAACTTTTTTTTTATTGTTTTATTATTCATATGTGCATACAAGGCTTGGGTCATTTCTCCCCCATCTCCACCCCCTACCCCCTCCCTTACCACCCACTTCGCCCCCTCCCTCTCCCCCCAACCCCCTCAATACCTGGCAGAAACTATTTTGCCCTTATTTCTAATTTTGTTGAAGAGAGAGTATAAGTAATAATAGGAAGGACCAAGGGTTTTTGCTGGTTGAGATAAGGATAGCTATACAGGGAGTTGACTCACATTAGTTTGCTGTGCGTGTGTGTTACCTTCTAGGTTAATTCTTTTTGATCTAACCTCTTCTCTAGTTCCTGGTCCCCTTTTCCTATTGACCTCAGTTGCTTTTAAGGTATCTGCTTTAGTTTCTCTGTGTTAAGGGCAGCAAATGTAAGCTAATTTTTTAGGTGTCTTACCTATCCTCACCCCTCCCTTGTGTGCTCCCATTTTTATCATGTGCTCAAAGTCCAATCCCCTTGTTGTTAAAACCTCAAACTTTTTAAGTACCAACATGACAACACTAGTGGAAAATTCCACTGAACCTGACCTCATGTGATGTGTTACAGTCAGAACACAGGTGCACTGAAAATATTATACGGATTGTATAAAATATTATATAGAATACATATGAAGTGTATATGAAACAGAAGTGAATTTCATGTTTAGACTTGGGTCCCATCCTCAAGACATCTCACCACATATCTTCAAATATTCAAAAATCAAAAAAAAAAGAGTCTGAAACACTCTGATACTAATCATTTTGGATAAGGGGCATTCAACCTCCTGGACATGTGCCACACTCCTTTCTTTTAGGAAAGAATTCAGTCTAGTTAGGATGACATCCAAAGACATACCATGAACAAAGTCACCAAATCCCAAGGAAGCTATGCCCTGTTGCACGCCCACAGAGGGTTTTGAATTCAAAAAGAAAATATGGATTAAACTTAGTGAAAATCCTTCACAAAAAGCTTTTGGAACTTTAATTGCACTCTGAAAGACGGAGCTATGAGTTGGTTTTATGCCCAAGGGAATGGAGCCATTGAGTCTGGGGAAATTCCATCTAGGTAGACAATGGATGAACATAGTGTGTATAGGGAATGACAAGCCAGAAAAAATGAGGATGGATGAGCCAGATGGTCAGATAAGAAGGCCATTAAGAAAAGGAATTTAAAACATGAGACAAGATCAAGCATCACTTTTTTAAAAATGAGGGCAGATTTATGAAAGAACTAAGAACCAACTGAAGTTTCAGAAATGAAATATATTGTTATTAAAGACAAAGTTCAATAAATGTTCAAACAGCTTGTGAGTCATTTGGGGAAACAATGTCTCTTGTATGTTAACTCTGTATCAGACACCGTTCTTAGCATTAAGTCTTATAACTTACTGAGTCTCTCAATAGCCCAGTGAAGTAGTTGCTATTAGCCTCATCTTAAGGGAAACTGAAGCAGTTCTGTGGCTTTCCAATAGATTTATAAGAAATAAATGAGATTTTAAAAAAATTTAAAAGAATAAGCATTCAAGAATTAACTCTCTCCCTCCTTCTCAAATCAGCATTGATTCCTATATATGACTCAAGGGCTTTATAAAACAATCACACGAATATATTTGGCACCCTACAGTTTACCACGCACTTTAATGCTTTCTCATTTGATCCACACCACAAATATGTAAGCTATATAATATTATTATTAAGAAAATGCATCCCAAACTTTGAAGTGACCATGTCCTGTCATAGTTGTTTAACTAGCTCATCTAAGAAATATTTAGTTGTCTAGAATACACTACATTTGACTTTGCCATTTACTATTTGATTAGAGCTCAGACACTATGAAGTTATGTTGACTTATGGATTTCTGACAATTAAAAGAGATAACTTCAAGATTGTGGCTTTGTTGTCCCACAGGACATTAACCAGCTTTGTATCTATTCGCAAAAACATTGTAGCTTGCCAGAATTTAGCAAAAGGAGGTCACTCAAGTGTGCACCCCCTGCATCTCTAAGCAATATCCCGAAGACTTGTCACTATGAGCTTCTTCCACTGTTCTAAAAGCTGTCTCTTCAACCTTCCCCAGGGCCTCTCTGCCCTCTTTGCAAGGCCTGTAGTTCACCCTATGGATCCCTGGCTGCATCATCGAGCAACAAGCATGCTATCACAACAATTTCAAATAGTGCTGAGCAGCAGGCATAGGAAAGGAAGTAAGGGAGAAGAAATAGAGATGTTCCCTAAATATATTCCACATGAATGATGTTTTAGTCGTTTTGGCTTTCATTCTTCATGATCAGATAAAACCTCAAATACAATCAGACTCAATGATTGAATTATCACACTGTCTGGAGAGTTGTTGGGGATAAGATGAGGGAAAGAGATTCTGATCCTGAGTTATTAGGAATGACCCTATTTCTCCAACCGTAATAAAACAGGAGGATGCCTGTCCCCCCAAAAAGCTGTTTGTGGTTTAAATGAGCAGCCATCTGAAGGGATCTAGCACAGAGAAGGCTCTAGATAAACAAGAGCTGTAATTATCTCTATGTATAAGCCTGGATGAAAGCATATCTGTCATCCTGCTCTCCATAGCGTCTGCAGCTCATCGCCTACCTTGGCTCTCCAGACATTTCCAGCTAATCCTAGAATAGAATTATTAGTCCTCTGTTTCCAGCAAAGGCTCAGCTTTGTGCTGGTGCCTCTAGGGAGGCCCCTCTGTTAGTGGAACTACTTAGGTGGCAACTTTGGGTCCCACACTTAGTGTGGACAGAGTAGCCAAAGGGCAAACCTCTCAGTGTTCTTCAATCTCACTGCTAAAATTCGATTTGGAACTCCCTGACTGTACTGATCCCAAATGCCCAATGGTGCTTCCTCCATGTGCTAGCATCTTGGGAGGGCCAAGCTTAAGGTCCAAGAATGAAGGGAAGGCAGGCTCTCACTCCCAATCCCCTGGAAGACAGCTGCCTTCTCTGCCCACTTTACCAAGGGACCTTGTAATAGAACCATTCAAAGTCTGGTTTGAGGTTAAGTTTATTTTAAGACTTGATTTCAAGGTGGCAGTGGGCCGAGGGTTGGCTGTCAGCTGGAGTAAATCTTCCAAGCCAACCCTGCTGGGACTACAACAT